GGGGTGGGTGCAGGACCACGGCAGGTTACCGAGGTAGTGGGATCAATTTTGTAGAGTCGACAGCGAGCGAAACACAGCAAATACGGTATTTTCTATTGATGTAGGCTTTATTTCAGACCAAAGGCCTTTGTTTAACATGCAGTGGTGGCGGTTTATGAAAGGTCACAAATTTATTTATAGATCAGATTTCCCGCCGGTCCCTGGAGGCAATGCCATCATGGGCAAATTACGATTAAAGTTCTGTTATTTAGCGATGCATGCTGGCAAAGAGCGCTAGGACAAGAAAATTGCCCAAGAGATAATTTAAGTCGGGGGATCGTTAAAGCCGGTCTCTCGTGGGCACTATGGGGATGTATTTGCATATCGAACGCCATATATTATTTACGTAAAAGACAGAAATAAAAAAAGTGCACCATTTTTTAATACCCGCAGTAAAACGGCATCCACAAACTTTTTAATGGACTTCCGTAACGGACAGAAATCAATCAATGCATTGGTCTTGATTATACAGGACCTTCGCTGCGCTTCGGCCAACCATGCAACTCAGTGTACGCAATAGCCGCTACAATCACGATTTTAGATGCTTATTATAAGGATGAAAACAAAACCACTCGAGGATTAATACCGCGATGGCAAAGGTCAATCAATTTGGAAACCGGACTGATCTTGTGTGCGCTCGTGATACGGAAGCAGATGACTTGGGAGAGTCTGATATTTTGTCCCATTTTCCTGTTTATGTGCGCTTTGAGATCATACCATTTTTAAGTAAGTCGAAGCAGAAATATGCAGCTCCCGTTGCCGTATGGGTGGGGTCGTTGTCTTTCCGGTCTATCACTCGAGAGTGGATAAACAGCGTCTGGATCGGCAAATCATCCATTACCGTCGTGTGTACAGTATATCCAGTGCATTCTGTGAACAAGAACGAACGTATATGCCATTCGACAGCACATGTACAGAATAAGTACAGTGTTATATCGTTAGTAAATAATTGCTACAGGAAATACCTACGCACTAAAATTATTATCTAAGTTAATGATAAAATTGCCATTCGTATAACTTGTGCCGTACTTTGCATCCGGATGATAACTGTCGGAGAATGCTATTCACCTGGGGGAGCGCCGGATACATCTGTTTCGAGAAAAACGTCACGGCTGCACCTTTAAAACGGATAAAAGTTTTGTAGGTTTTGCGCTCTACCGTTTGCCCTGAGCAGTGAGCACTCCTGATGATGGACATAATGACTTGCCGCAAAATGGCTGCCGCAAAATGACTTTATCCTACAGCGCAGACTGGTTTAGAATAAGAGATAAGGGCTCTTTGTTGGCTTCCTCGTAGAAATGGACAATCGTTTTCCATAATCTTTTCCATAATCTACGTGAACCTTTGCCATAATCTACTCGTACATAATACAAATGCAGAGTACGAAACGCAAATGCAAGCTTGCTCAATGCACATAACAAGCGGAACTAAATTACATTCCTGCGAGATCCCAAAAAAGACTCTAAATATATGTAGATCATATTTTATATGCGGTCAGATCAAGTACTGAATTAAGTGACCTTTGAGCACTCTGCTAACTATAAAACCAACAAACCTCTCGTCGATCGTTCCCACACTGCATCCATAATCCACATCACAGACCGGCGCCAGTTTATCTTCGCCGATCTGCATGAACGGTACTCCCATTTTTTCCGTATCCACATTTTTCTAGGGCGGCCCCAATGGACCGCTTACGCTGGTTGTCGGAGAAATAAAGCAGCGACACCGCTACAAGAAACACGCTCCGAATCCACTACGCTGTACGATCCAATGGCAGCGGTTTCCTTATCATCCAGTGACCAGTTTATCGGATCATACCCTAAAACTTTTCTCGTAAGCAGTTATCGATAACTGCATAGATTCATAGTGATTATTTTTTAATTTCATTCGTTCCTATTTAGAAATTTCGTGGTTCTTTGCTTTTTGTGCCTGGTATAGAATTTTACTTATTTATTTACTTAGTTACTTACTTATTTACTTAGAATTTTTTGTGTCTGGCATCCATTTTAATTACTGCTTTTATGCTAAACTGCTCATTACTAGATAAGCGTAGACAGGATTTTTTAAAGTATTGCGCTTTCGCAAACCTTGTTTTAGGTTGTATCATGGCAGTACTATACTATTAAGGCAGCAAAGCGAATTCGATTGCGCAATGCTAAGGCAAGCCGTTGTGTATACGCCATATACTTAAGTATATGGCGTATACACAACGAAATGCATTTACCATACCATCATTAGAAGCTTCTAATGATGGCATGGTAAATGCATTTCGCTTTATCGTGCAACAAAATCATCGTGGCATAGTTCAAAAGAAAGCCCAGAAAATTTTACGTTTTCTGGTGCAAACGTTTTCAGTAAAAAAGGCGAACTAAGGTTTTAAAAACGTTTTGAAAGCAAATCGAGTTACCATACAAAGTGAATGCAACGGTCGGTCCAGACCGCACGACCGTTGTAGGCAAACTACATACACTTCGGAACCCTTCTGAAACCTCTAATCAGCCCGAACTCCACGCAAACTATACATCAGAAATCTTAAAATTTTTTTCTCTTTTTTCCAAGCTGTAGGACATTCGTTTTGAACTTGAACAAACCTCAAAGCGCTTATCATAGCAACCTATGGAGCCTACGAGCCGTAAAGCATTGCGCTGGTGGATGGCTTGCCTTATCGTGACGTAGCACCGGAAGTAGGCGTGTCGCTTTTTTGCCTTAATAGTATAGTACTGCCATGGTTGTATACATACCAGTATAGATAAGACATGACACTTCTCCAACAGCATGACACTGGTTTCCGCCAGCGTTGCTTAGTCTCCGAAACATGGAGACTGTCCGTTACGCCATTATGTGGCGCTGTCAAAATCATTGCGTGGCTTCCAGCTTTTTTTTTACTACAAATGCTGCAACTGCAATACAATAAAATTTGATAAATTCCGAGTATGGAACAAGATCCGATTTTTATGTGCCAACCCTATTATTACTTAACATCAACACCGGCTATCGCACAACGGAAATACTGTATTCGCTCGCACATCTTGAACCACAGAGTGTGTGTACGGGAAAAACGCGCATTCAATATACACACTCTAACCGGGCGAAATGCGCGATTCGCGATTTGATAAATTTCTGATGTCTTTGCAACATCTGCTGTGGAGAACTTCTTGAATATTAAAAAAAGTTAGAGCTCTAAGAATTTTTAACCATGTTATGTCATGCAGCCATTATACATTTTGTAAGCACGAGTTACAAACTGATTTGTTGTGGTTTACTGCCCCGTAGAGCATCAATAGCTTGAACTGCGATAATTAGATAACAGCTCCAGAAACCTTTTTTCAGAGTGAACTGTCATTTAAATGAAAAGTCTTGATTTATTGGATAAATTCACAAGAAGAACTGTTCATCTTGAAACCAAATGAGCAATATTTCGTAGTCGTGCATTTTGCCCGGTTAGAGTGTGTATATTGAATGCGTGTTTTTCCCGTACACACACTCTGTGGTTCAAGATGTGCGAGCGAATACAGTACTGAAAATTAAGAGCGGCAGTACAAAATTTTAACCAAAATCTGAAAATCTGTTAGACTGTTGATTATAATTGATACGTTTTGAAAGAAATTAAACAATAATAATATCAGTGCTGCCGCTTATACATATTCTGTTTTGCCGTGCACATTCCACAAATATTATGCGCTCTCAGCCCAGACTTCCGTTCCATAAATGGAATGCGTGTTATGCGTTTTATGCCCTTTCGCGTGTATATGTAGGTGAATTTTACTGCCAACTGCCACGATTAACACATCCTCTAAATTTGTCTGAAAAAAGCTTTAAACTAAACTAAACAAAACGTGCCATAGAAGCATAAGCAAACGAGCTAGTAACTTGCGTTATAATCATAAAGATAACACATCCATAAAACATATAAGGCAGCGACCTCCACATGATGATGTATTGAGAAAGCGTTACAGTAATGTGTAATTAAATTCAATTCAAGTTCATATCGTTAAAGTTGACGATAAATAATGAGTTTCTTGATCTAAAATTTATTTCCAAATTGAAATGAAAAACCGTATCAAACGTGAGATTTGATTTTGTGCAGTGTGCATACAGGAAAGCAACAACATGTGGGCGCACCGATAGCGGTATGCGTTAACGATAAATCTAGCGGCACTTTACCCTTACCCATAATTGCCCTACTGCATTCAATTTCACTGCACTTAATAATTTTTTGTAAAATTTTGTGCGTTATGCCTCAGATGTTTTAATCAGCGTTTTCACGCCAAAAAATAAATCACTGCATTTTATTCGCGAAAGAAGCGGTACATTCATGCCCCTGCCTAATCACAGTGCAAGTACGTACTGAATAATTTTGCGATAGATGGATGTTTTACGATGGATAATTTACTTTCTTGATTGTTAATCACATATCTTTTTCCTATTCCTGCTAGCGCAATTTGTTTTTACTTTCGCACAGGTAATTATTGCGTATTGTGCTCTTGGAGTACAATTTGATATCCGGTGGCCGCGGTTTAGGCTTTAATACGTTGTGTCAACAATATCGTACTTACACAAATAAACCCCGATTTCCTCCAACCCCCGCTCGCGTGCGTAATCAAGAAACTAGCGAAAATGACATTAGCACGTTGTCCAGTGCTCATTGGAACTAAAGCCAGTTTTTTTGTTCTTAGATTTATAGCTGAAATAACATAATTTTACACCTTAACTGGCGGCAGACGCTATTTGGTTTTAATTCCTATTGTATGTCCCGTATTTTAACCGCATTCTTTAAAAAGAACGTCAAAAAGTGTAGTGTGGAGTAACTTCCTCGTTTTTTTAACTGACTTTCTTTAATAGCAACATTTCTAACATGCCCGAAGCTTCCCCTCGTCGTCCATCAGGTAAGTAAAAAATTCTAGGAATACAATTACCGTGCAAATTAAGACGAAAAAGTGTTAATACGAATAAGCCTCGCAGACAATTAATGTTTTATTAACATGCTATACGGAAGTAGCAACACAACTAAACTCAGAACTACAAGCGCGGCACTAGCAACACGATCAAAATTCATTCCGGCACGTCCTCACATCCAACGTCGATCCCATAGTCTTCCGTTGGGTAAATGGCAAGATATCCCCTAAAAATGTAAAAAGATAACACAATTAAACAAAGACGCAATTATTAAATGCTGCGCGCAAGCGTAGGGCTGGCTGCAGTAAGTTTGGTCTAGTGTAATGGCTGGCGGATTAAAAAACACGGTGAAATGTAAACAAAAAATACTAATAAAAACTAAAAAAACCCTTTTCTTATTTAATTGAATTTAATGAATTTTCCGGTAATTTTTTTAAATTTTTTTATTAATTTAAGAATGAAGAGAATTTTAGCAAAATATCGCTATGCCATATCACAGACATATATAATCAAATACACACCGGATGCGGCCGGAAGCGCTGTTGCTCATTCCCGGCAACAGGCGAAAAAAAATGAAGTCCACCCCAAGGGGTCCGTCCCCGGCAACGTATTCCGGGTCGATCTGTGTGTCGATTGCGTTCTGAAAGGTCGTCGCATCCAATCGCTCAAGGATGGACTGGGCATCGGGCCGCGGGTCGGAATTCCAGTTCACATTGTCCAGCGGAAAATTCAGGTACGCCAGCGTGCGGTCTGCAAAAAACCAATAAACAAGATTACTAATTGTATAATAATAATTCTTAATGATATTTTTTATTTACATATTTTTAGTGATAACAATAACTATAATAAGCTTTTAGCAATAATAATTATAATACAATAATTTTTTACTAATTCTTACGCAGTTGGAAACGCATACGGCGCGGTCGCTGCTCCTCCGCTGCTTGGCCACCACTGCTTCCATTTCCACCTTCAGGGTGTCCTGCGCCCTGTCCGTCGCCACCTGCCGGCAACAGTCCTTCGCGGCGCGCTTCACCCCCACACCCACCGCTACCGACGACAACCAAGCACTGACCGGACCCCGCAGCCACACTTGCAGTTCCGCAACCGCCGCTGCGGTATACATCGCCGTGGCTGTTGTAATGACCATATCCGCTGCTCCCGTCAATCGCCGGATACTGGGACAAGAATCCCGCGCTGCACACAGCGTCCTCCAGGAAGGGGTCGATCTTGATCTGGCGGGTGAACTTGGCCGTCCGGATCTCCACCGTCTCCGTGGTGATGGCTTTCAGGTGGCTGGTCGGGTTGTTGAAGGTGACGCGGCCCGGTCCGATCGGGTACTTTGTCTTATCTGTCAAAAAAACGGTTTAAATTAATTTACAGCAATTTTCTGTCAGCTGTCTTATCTGTATCGAATGAAACGCTGTTCTCAGCTAACAGTAATTTTTTACTCTCAATTACCGACATACCCTACTGAAATGAAACACGAGAGGAATTAACAATGGCTTTTTTAAAAATTAAGTTGAATTAAAAATTAGATGCATTTAGCAAACTTGAACGCTATTAAAGTAGCTAACCGTGATAGGTAGCCACTGCACTACAACAACTAGCTTTACCAAAATTGAACATCGTTACGCCGATCCTTTGCCATCTATCATTGCACAGAACAAATTTTTTTATGTTATTCTTGAATGATGCTTACCAGTGTCCAGTGTGGCGGGGATGACGCCGCCGAACAAATCGTTCATGATCCGCCCCAGCCCCTCCGCCGTGATCATCCCGTGCAGATTCGCCACGAAGATGCGGTAGGGTGTGCCCGGAGTGGGGACGTATCCGTGCAGCGCGTAGGTGGCATCGGCCAGCTGCCACGGGATGACCTGCGCCGATTTGCCCAGCATTCGTCGACTGGCCACGCGGTAGAACCAGTTGTTCTGGTTGTGATGCCCGTCGTAGGAGCAGCGGCCCAACAGCTTCATCACCCAGCGCTCGTCTTCAAACAGCAGGTACAGGTGTCCTATAAAAAAGTAAAGAATGTCAGGCAGGATGGCAGCTGATGGATCAGGAAATACATGTCGCGAAACTGTCAAAAATAATTCAAAACGGTATCATAAAATGCTGAAATGACATGAAATCGAAATCGCATGCCAAGTTTAATCCGAAAATGTTATTAAATTAGCTGCCAATGCTCAACCAAAATCAACCTTCTACTGGTTGTTCTAATTGCGTTGGACACTCCGAAAAAATGAAAATTATTAATAATTTCTGCACAAAATCAAGACAACTGAATGCATGTACGACTAGATGTTTCACGCAAAATTCATTCAATTTTAAATTATTTTTAAAACTATTATTATGTGCTTTATGTTATAACGCATGTTAGCCATGCATTCGTATACGACTGATAAGTAATTTTCCCTATTACTTTGCACATTTGTACTGACCCTTTGGATGTTGCGTTGAGGAGTGATCGTACACACCCGGCCATTCCTCGCGCAGTGGACCACAAACTCCGAACGTTTTCCGCAGGTCCGTTTCCGTGATGTCCCACGGCACACCACCCAAAAATACCTGAAATCAATGTGCACAGTGTTGCAGAAGAACATAAACATCAGTCCATCGCAATCGAGCAAAAGCACAACAAGGAAATGGTACGTAGTTTTGTTAGCGACGTATACGGAAATTTCTCTGCTTTAAATAATTATATTCATACGACTCCAGCCCAGTTTACTAGGAGGAAAATAGGAAATACAAAGAGAAAGCTATATTCTACCACGCGGCTGGTTACGTCGCCGTACTACTGCTGCTCCGATCTGCATGAGACTACAGAGATTTTGAGACCTCAGCACAGTTTATCAGCAATCTTTACCTTGCAGGAGAACGGCGAGTTTGTGCGACAGTTTCGCGGTGGCAGCGTCCCGCTCCAGACCACATAACTATTCCCTGAATCCCGCAGGATGGCCATTCGAGCTGCACGGGAGCTGTCGGGAGATCCACTGTAGAAGCGTCCCAGCGGAGTCAGCGGAGGAGGTGACACGGGCACGCCACGTTCCATCGTCGGACTGGGAGACGGATTGACCCATGTTCCGAATTCCAGAGAATGCTGCGGCGGAGAACTGGCCAGGAGGGAACGAAGCGATGGAGGAAGGCGAGTCGAAAGACAGATCCCGAAAGGAATCCTCCAGACCAGTGAAAAAGGAGTTGGTCTTCTGCGCCATGTTGTACACTGGACAAGCACGTTCAAACACGACTTAAAAAATGAATCACAAAATATTATGAACCGTGTACTGGTTTCGGGGCAAGCCCAAACGAAAAAATATTGTATCAAATATTCAGACAGATTTAAAGGTCACAAGACGGTGGGCACCAAACAATCTAGAAATCGTCAGAATATCGGAAGACTGAGAGCGTTGACGTTCGAAGTAGAGTGGTAGCGATCTGACATCCTGATGACGGGCTTTCCTTGAAATCAACGAGCCCCTGGATAATGGGCCGGAAAATCGAGTTACGATGTACTACCGGTGGTAGCATCAGGTGAGGCACAACATGGAACCGTACGTACAAGTGTTCATCGACCAATAATAATAATTACAATTATTTACACATACGCTCTGTGCTTTTAAATTAATGGCATGTATCCGTTGTATCGTACGTGCAGCACTTGTACTGTACATCGCGTACCTTTGAACAGTTTTTGAACCGCGGTCAACGCGCAGCACGCTGAAGAGACGCGGAGTGCTGCCGCTACGATTACACATACGTACTCGAGCGAACCTAATACTTACTAGTACGAGCGCTGTACAGAATTTGTACAGAATTCAACTTGCTGTTATTTTAATTATTATTAACCGTAAGTATTTACAGATATACATTCAGCGGCAAACATCACCAAGACTTTATTCGGTATAATCAATGGCAGCAGATTCTGATGAAACGTTGAAACTCGCGATAGAAACAGCAAACAAAATAAAACCATAATTAAGTACAACAAAATAAAACCATAATTATGTACAGCCGAATACAACAAACAAACCGATACAACTTTGTATTGCCTTCATATCCACAAATCAGTAGAGAGAAGAACATGTTCATTTGTTCAAATAAATATCACAGACGGGCATTAATCACCAATATGGTGTTTTTCTTCTGTTGTCAACAACAGGATAGCGGCCAAGGATTTTGGTCCAGTTTTGAGCAGTCTGACGTCAGTAGTGTTGCCATGTTAGGCTCGATGAAATCGCAATAACATCGTGATGGATATTAGCCAAATACAAGAAACCGGAAATATCCGCCAGCCCGACGAATACGCCGCGGCACACTCCGTGAATTCGGTGACGTTGAACAGGTCAACCGTGGAGAGACTGGTGGGCGTCGGGCACTGGTTGGGAATACTGCTCAGACTGACGAAACCGCTGCTGTCCATTTGATAGGTCTGTTGAAAAATAAAAAAAAAACAAATCAAAATCAATATCGTCTATTTATATCAAATAAGAAGCTGATCATTAATTAAAAAGATATCAATCAAATCTAAAGCAACTCTGATGGAAGATGAGCAAATAAAATTTCTAATATCAAAAGCAATATGAAATAAAAACTACGGTAGATGAATTATGCTCGCTCTAATTTAAGACTTAAAAAATTTGACATGGAAACGATGCGCCAAAGCTTTTAAATAACAGAAATCCTTGCGAATCAATGAAACTAGCTATAAGACAGATATGAACTGCGCCATCGCACTACGATATTCCTCCATTTGTAACACTGCTGCACAGTCGCAGACGTGTTCAAGAATTGCAGCATGAATAAAAAATACTATACTCTGGTACTTGTAGTTATTAAGCATTAGTTAACAAAAGTGAACTTACAAAACAGTGCTTGCGCGTGCTTCGCGTTTCCGTCGCCACAAAATAGCCAATCTGATTCTCCATCCAGTGTCCATGACAAGCGAAGTGCACTGTAAAATTAATCATATCGTTAGCCAACGTAAAAATGTCCCTGGCTGTATAAAAAAGCCAGCGCAAAAAACGCTAATAATACATAAAAGTGACAGAACCACAATTCTTAAATTATCGTTCAATTAAACTGATTCAAGGTTCAGAAATATTAAGAGGAAACTTCATAAAAACGAAAACGGCAAAAAAATGTAGATGAATGTGCCAATATATACCAATTGATGTATCAACAGCCGAACCCGCAGAATAAGTAAATAAAACGTAGAATGCAGGCATAAAATGCAGTAAATATTGTGCCAATAGACAACCCGGAACCGAGATCAGAAAATAAAATGCTCATTAAAACAAATAGACAGTGATTTTTCTTATTTATGATTTTAGCTTTATTTATTTGCGGTTTGTGATTTGCTTGATTATCTGAAGTAAAACTTTCCTAAGTTTCTTTAACTGGTCTTTTTTTTCTTACTGGGATTGGTGTCTTCCGGCGCCGTGGGACAGTCATCATCCACCGGGTGCGCCTGCATCTGGACGGCGGAATGCCGCTGACAGCCGATGGTGACCTTGGTCATCTGGCTGCAGCGCTGGTACCCCCGTGGCGGCCACTGCGCGGCGAAATCCCGCGGCGTGGAGACCAGATACTGGCCGGGGAAGGGACAGGCGATGGACTGCGTGTTCTGCGCGATCAGCGTGGTCCACGCCGTGCGGTTGTTGAGGAATTCCTCCGAACAGGCCAACTCCTCCGAGCGACTGATTTCGCCTTCTTGCACCTGCACAATCTGGTCGGCACGCCGCAGCCAGTTGTAGCAGCGGAAACCCTTTTCACTGTGAACAATAAAAATGATAATTTAACACAGGTGCATAGACAGATATAACAAACTATAATGAAATAGTAAACTGATTAAAATATTATAAAATGCGTAGTCAAAACTTGAATTATCTAATCTTTTCCAATTATATTACACATTATTATTTTTATTACTTCCAGTATCTAATCGTTTTCATATACTTGGATTGGCTGAAAAGCACGTTCTGGAGACAGATTAACAAGAACTATCGCGCAAATAATTTCTACTAAACTCAAATCGCAGAAGATAATATTAACTACTAGCATCCAACTGACCACAAATATTATTATTTATTAATAATAATTATTTAAAGGATCTTTCACATAAATTTGAGCAAATGGCAAACAAAAACAATTTCGGAAAAAGATATTATTATTATATCTTTTTTCGAAAGATATTATTATAACATATTATTATTATTACGGTGTATTTCCATATTTCTGTAGACAAGCGAATGATTCGGTCATATCTATCAGTATCAGGACAATCGCCACTGTACTACGAAATCCGATATCATTAAGACATTACGGACCTTTATGACGGCGCCTACAAGATTAATAGCAATTTTATTTACACAATAACAAAACACTACTACCATATTGTATTCTTTCCCAAATGATAATTTTATCGAGAATCAAAAAATAGAATTATTCGGCATTTACCAGCCGCGTGCCACCAGGGTGACCACCCGGAACCAGGAGCTGGACGGGGCATCCGGGGAATCGCGGTTCATACAGGTGGCCTCCTGGCGCACCTGGTGCTTCTCGCTGGTCTGGTTGACCGTCAGGATCTGGAAGGAGGTCTTGGCCGGCGTGAAGACGTAGCGCTGGGTCCCGGCCATATCCTGCCACGTGGCCCGATCCGTCAGCCAGCTGGGGAAGATGCATTCCGGCTGGGGATCGCTCACTGCAGCAAAAAGGGAAGACAGTCAAAACGCCAACACCACATGTCACCGGCATCCTGCGGCTTATCGAATTTATCTGCTGTTAACCACAGCTGGAACGTAATCCGATTGCGTCATCCCGCAAACCGGGATAACATTCGCAGGGATGCGAATTAATCCCACCCGCAAAAAGCGGTAAAAAGTAGAACATCTTAGCTCAATCTTGCATTAAATAGGAAATTCCATCAAAAATCGTCATCAGTAAACCGAAATTTTTTAGTTGTTAAGAACGTCTGTTTTCGGTTTTATGATAAATGCAGGCGGGAAAATTTCTACGCAGAAATTATTAAAAAAATTTATAACCGCTGCATGATTTTATTGTTAATTTTATTATGGAAATTAAAAAAAATCCTAAGTGAATGAAAAAAAGATAAATAAATGAAGAACAATAATTAAAAAATTAAACAAGCGTACCTCGTGTCATGGCGAGCGTTAGCGGGCCTTCTGTCGGTGAATTAACCGCCTTGCAGCTGGCATCTGCCGACTGGGATAACTGGACGCCGTTTGCGGTTTCCTTATATAACTGCAGACAAAAACAAATAGTCAAAAATTAATTTTTAAATGAATTTCATAAAAAAGGGGGACAAACGACTTCATATTATTTTCTCAAATAAATTTCATGAAAACAAAAACAGATGACCTTTAAATTATTAGATAAATTTCTAGAAAACTAAACCAGATGCTTTTAAAACAAACTTATTAACATTAATGAAATTCCGCAACTGTCAAGCATTTAATACACAATTTTCCTTTTAGCTGGAAATAAAATCGTCCACCATGCCAAATTATCCAATCAGTTTTCACATTATACAGTGTAAATTTCCGCAAGCAGTACTATACCGATACTTGCCGATACCATCGGTAAATTCAATAAGAAACGAGACATTTCCGGCCATAAATATTATCTTAACTCAAGCGCCGGCGCACGGAAGAATAATGGAATAATTGGGTGCAATTATGTACTGTAGCGTCGCTCAGGAGAAATGACTTACGAAGCAGCGGAAGGATTCGTCGTAGCTGCTGGCCAGATGGTTGTGGTGGAAGATGTGCCCCACGAGGTACTGCTTCTCACCGTCCCGCCAATGGGCCAGACACTCCAGCCGCACTTCTGCAGAGAACGGCGAATAATCAGGCATAACAAAGACAGTACAATCACTTAGCGAAATTGAGCATAATCATCGCCGGATGGATGCGAGCAAGTTTTCTATTCTTCACTAACACACCCAGAAAAATTCTACACAAATTAAATAATTACGCAGTACTCGGTTAGCGTCTGTAGGAGTTTTATCCACTAAAATGCGAAAGCAACTATCTTAAAGAAACATTTTTAGACGCATGCGTATCGAATGACAAATAATTTCGATTTTCAAAACAAGCGTACTTATGCAACTATTTTAAAAGCTGGATTTCGCATTCTATAGAAATGTCTATTTATTTTTTTAAACGAATAAAAACGCTGAAAATTTAAAATCTAATAAAAATGAAAAAATAAATATTGATACAAAATTAAAGTGGGACGCCAAAGAAGCTGCGCACAAAAACTGATAATTTCTGGACAAAAGTGTAATTACTTCGCTCTTCAGTTTGATCCGGACAGGAACGATAATGCAGCATCATTTCCGAGTCTCGGACGCAGGATTCGGCATGGGATACGGGATTCTGGCAGCGTACGGACCCTTGCTCGTACGTGAAGGAAAATCGTCCACCGAAAGGACACGCTTCCGGCGCGGCATGCACTGCAACAAAGGTCAAATAAAAAATAACACAAAAATGCACGAGTTTATTAACCGAAGAAATCCAGGATTAATATGGCGATTCGTAAATTAATAATCTAAGTGTTCTCAGTCCTAACAAAAACCACTGAATTAATTCTCAGCGGATTTCGTTAACAAAAAAACTCAAGACAGAAATCATCGGCTAAAAATTAACCGACTAAACTAATTCCAACAAAATTGTATTATCAGTATTTATTCTCACATCTGAACATAGTGAACAGCTCCGAGTTGCCGGTAATGGTGTCGCATAAATCTTTAAAACTTCTGCCAACGAAATTCTCATCATCCAACGGTTCACATTCCCCTGCAGAAAGTGGTACAATAAGCAAATTAATTTGAGCAAGCAGTTTTTTATTTTTCCAGGATTTCACCCACCTTCTTTGTACTGTATGATATTGGCGTGCGGTTGCGCGATTGCCACTATACATTGCCGGCAATTCATGGATCTGCAAACAGAAAAATTAATAACTTTTAATCAAATATTGCCGATAAGATTAAATTGTTCTGATTCTAAGATACTGTTAACAAACGACATTTTTAGTCGCAGTATACATAGAATGGTGAAAAAATTGAATCACATCTTTTTAAAAAAATTCTACCCATATCGTATCTTTCCAGTGGATTTATTACATACGTACATAATACATCAGATTTAACGCATCGGATGGTGTACAACCTCGAATTGTTTTCTGAGGCTTTGAAGCCACCACACTACGATTCCACACGTCAAACTCTTCACGTTGCTCACTGTCAGTTGCCAGCTTTATTTTCAACAAGGCCGAAATGCGCAATAGCCCTTCATTTATTGGCGGGAAAAGCGGGATTTGTTCATTTGCAATGACAGCTCGCTTCATTGCGTTATTCGGTCGAATTAGCAAACTACAGGCCCCTGTGTTTGACCTAATCTCCACTGCCCGCCTAAATTACCACTGGGCACATCGTAAGCCCATATCGACAACTCTCCAACCCGCCCCAGCCTTGCATCCACGGCTCATCCTCACTGATCCGCAACCGGTACCCGAAATGAACAAATGCACCCACCCCATCAAATGACCAGCTTCATCATGGCGCTGACTGCTCGTTAAAAATCATCACATCATCGCGCGTCGCTTGTGATTCCAGCGGCAACCAATTACGTGGAGTATGGCGCAAGAGGCCAATCGCTGTTCAACGGACTAATCAAGTACGGCCTCAAAATCGCAATGACGCAATCGGATATTTTGGAACAAAAATCTGGTTGCATAATACGAAAGATATCCGATTGCGCAAGGGTTTGTAAACAGCTTATATACGGTGTGCTTGTACAAATTCCCAGTTCTGTGGAGCGCAAAAGCCCAGTTAGTGTACAAGAATTTACCGGCTGCGTAGTACGTAAAATATCTGATTGCCTGATTCTCTGTCTGACAGCTTATTTACCGTTTGCTTGTGGAATTCCCAGTTCTGACATGCACGAAAGCAACTTACTGTACAGGGAATTTATCGAACGGTATAATTTCCTTTTAACGCTGTTGCGACCGGCTTGCCGCGGCCGCTGCTGCCCATGGTAAGCTGTTAGGCCCAACAGTCGCCCCTGATTATTTCGACATAGGCCATTTGCTGCGTTCGTAAAAAGCTCACACACTGATGGTTATCGGGGCAGGCCCCCACTGCGCGTCTGATGAGCGGATACGGATCGGATCGCGGGGATACTCGGCGTTATCAAGCGGCGCAATCGGCCCCGACAGCGCTGCACAGCCGTAATCCACTCACCATCAACAACACACCGAAGCATGCCACTTTGCGTTCCTCATCGATATGTCGATGAGATACAACCCGGCATCATTCTCGACATTGTTGCCACATACCACACTATGCAAATATTGTCAAATAAACAATTTTGTCTTGTGACACAAATATTAATTGGATTAGAAACACGTTCGGACGCCGGGATGCAGTGTGCGGGATGCGGCCATGGGAAAATATGCTCACACCCCCAATCAAGACGCTACGTGACATCGTTTCACGGGAGGCAATGTGTGATTGGGAGGGATGGTATGATTTTTGAGGCCGCGCTCGAGTGTTTGCTTATTACCATTTCAAATTTTCCCACTTTTTCGGGATGACATCTTGGCACTGCTCCAATTTTTACACGCAAACAGCATCAAATTTCCAAAGAAAATGAAGAAATTATTCAAATTCATGGAAGCAAATTTCGGTTTATTATAAATAAATAAAAATAAAATAAGCTAAATATAAATACACTAGAGCAGTTAAAAATAAATTATAAACTTCAATAAAAAAGTAAATAAAATAAGTTAAATAAAATTGATTAAGCTACTCGTACTAATTAATTAAATACTAAATTGATTAATAAACTATAAAAATGTTTAACCGTGCAGATTCATTTCTATAAATTTAACAATCACTAGCTGTCCAGAAAAAAAAAGTAAAATTATTCTAGCTGTTTAGCCAGTTTTGCAGTTTTTTATGTCATATTAAAAAATGACCATTTTTTAATATGACATAAAAAACTGCAAATACTGAACTTGACAAAAAATTACAACAGAAACCATAAAGATCTCGAAGACGCACAAGCAATTAGCGGTGCCGGCGCGTGCGCGATATAGGTCGTGGAATATTTATTGGATGATTATTTTCGCTGACAGGTTGCTCGGTGTTTTTCTTTATGGAAACAAATCAAGACATGTCAATGATTGGACCAATATGCATCCATCAAAATCCTACTAACCTGATTTTTCTAATATTGCCGATCAATATGTACAGCCGCATCGGCTTTAAATCCTTATCGCGGAACGTAAATACGAGTATTAAACCGCTGCAGTTTGTCTGTCTAACGAGAGTCCACTCTCCACAATACCGCTATTGACCACCTACATACCACTTGCTTTTTCCGGCTAACCTCAATCATGTGCTCCTGTTGGAGACTAATAAGTGTTTCCGCAGGACAGCATTAATTTCATCCCAAACAAAGCCAATACCATACTACAGCAATAACAACATACGCAGTTTTCAGAAATTTAAAATTATTGCGAACAATCGTAATAAAATTAGATACTATCATTACTCGTATTCCAGTTATTCGGATGATAATAATAATGCTGTATTCAAATTTATTCTATTCATAATAAAATTACATGCTGTTATTACATTTATTAAAAATGTTCAAAGAAAATCATATAATTCGGTTTGATCGCCTTACCTATCTACTCGTATGTATTCAACCGCGACAGCCGGAAATTTAAACGGTTAAACATTGTTTTATTTATAAGCGTAACCATTTATAAAATCTTTACTATGTAAAAATAGGGAACACTCTATTTGCCGTGAAGGTCTACAATAAAACTAATTATGCAAAAAATTATGCGTTTAATAATGATAATGCGCAAAACTTTATTTCGTGTTCGTTTAAGGGCACAACGAAACCACTAACACTACGACCAAGAATTTCAAAACCACTACACTACATTGTACGACATTTACATACATCAGAAAACTTATATAGGGACAATCCTGTTAAAAATGCCCAATAATCGCTTTATTGAAAAGCCCTCTTGTTCGCCGTCTCCGGTAGCATTTCCGTTGCATGTTTGCTCAGATGATTCACGTTGTCGTTGGGTATATACTAGAGCGGTAAATAATTGGAAAATAAGCTCTCGTAAATTTAGCTCAAGTAATCGCTGAAGAATCAATGGAATTCCCTACCTATTTCGTATTTACCGCTACTGTGTGCACGCACAATCACTTGACTGATTTTTCCAACCATAATCAATACATGCGTAAGACGCAAGTAAGTGTCTATAAATCGTATAAAAATTAATATCCTCATCCGCAATGTGTACCGGTGAAGAAAAACCAGCCGCGAAATTGCCCGCCGGAAGTGCATGAAATCAATGGAAATGGCCACTGTTTAACCGGCATCGCCGGCGCGAAATGGTGCTGTAAAAATTAAGCGGCGATGCGGCAGGTTTTAAAGAGTGTTGCGGGTGATGCGCGGTTTATCGGTGCAATGTCATGACTATACGGTTCGAGCATTTATTGCTGACTGACATTTCTTATTGTCCATATCGTTAACAGTTTTTATGTGGCTCAGTAGCTAAAAATTGCAGGCGGAAGAAATTTTAAAAAATTCGATAGTAACAAGATTTAATTTTCGCCATTTTAATTTCACGTCGACTTCGTTTAACAGATCTTGTTGTTTGTGCTAAGCGACCCCTTGCACTACAATAATGCACAATTTAATCTCAGTAGAAAGTTTGAATTAATTTGTTCTACACCAACAATTCTTTAAATAAAATTCTAATTTCCGCAATTTTATATGGAAAAAGAGGAAAATCAGGAAATACTCATACAGATAAGTACATAATTGCCCAGTATTTAACGTTTCTGGAAAATTATTGTAAAGTGCACAAAAACTGATTTTAAAAGCATTTTAATTACAAAATAATTATATTCAAATTTTCTCTTTCGCAGATTTTCGTGATACAGATATGTTATATTTTGTGCAAATGAATCTTTTTTGCGAGATACGCACGAGGTCATCAAGCTAAAAATAAAATCACGATTTCACGACACCGTTAGAAAATGAAAATCACGCCCCGGAAAGAAATTGCGATAATATTTGATTTGTCCTGTCGAATTAATTTCCAACCCTGATTGACAGCCAAATGCAATGCCGAATCACCTCGGCAGCCGGCATTTCGAGCGCGACCTTTTTTCGCACGTCTGACGTCGACATATTCGGCACCGGTAGCGTTTACATTTACAGTGGGCAGTGCTTGTAACATGCTTGTAATTACCACAATTTCTTGATGGGTATTTGATTAAAAGTCAGTGTTTTGTCGCCCCGCGAGCCGGTATAAGGTCGAGCTTGTTTGTTGTGAGTGGCTTGTCAGAACATTGTCGCGGCGGACTATAAGCAGTTATAAGCCATCCGGCAGCGTATTAATGAATCATTTTTCACAAGAATGCCCCGGTAATGCCGCCAGATCGCTGTCAGATCATAATCCGACACGATTATGGCACTGCATCCACTATCGGTGTATTACGCCGAATGCTCCTGCTGGTTATGCGGACATTCACTCGTCCTCATCAGTCATGAAAAGGTGATGAGTCGCGGCTTTTCCAAACATACAATCCCACCGGCAATTTTAAAAAAATCAAACATTTTTACAGGTAAATATTAAACAAAAATTCAATAATTTTACGACGATTGCACAACAAATCTTAATTTTTGGCAGAATATCCGGTAAAAATTCCAGACAATAAGATACAATTTATTTAAACAACCCATCATCGCTGAAAATAAATCAATATCGCATTAGAGACAGATTTTTAACAAAAATGAACCAAGTACATCAACAAATTGCTGTAATTTTTTGTGGCCGTTATGGTTAATAACGAAATTAACCGCGCCGAAGCCTTCATACTACGATCACTTCCGACTTATCATGGCACCAGAAATATACCGACATTAATTTTACTGAAATAATCGGTGACAATTTCATAAATTCGTATGCAAATTTAAAATTGTGAAATTATTTAAAAAATGTTTAAATCAAACAATTCTAAAGCTTCTTCTCAAATCGCACACCACCGTAAAATTATTGCGGCCCCGAAAAACCTGTACGAAAATTTCCTGCATTAAAAAAATAATCAAACAAATCGACATTTCTCAGATGCAACTAGGAGCTTTTAGCCACTTTGTATTAACTGTGTTATTAATGGGTACAGCCAATTCACTACGAAAACCACCACTAAACCTTGACATCTGAAATCGATTTATGCTCACAATATCAGCTAAAATAAAAACGCCATTTATTTTTGTAATTTCGCCAGACTGAAAATTTAAATTAATCAAACTAACAATGTAATATTTTTGTCCGAAAACACTGGGAAAGTCTCCAATACAAAATCGGTAAAATATCGACCAGAAAATTTCCTCAATTAATTACAAACAAACTGACACAACACCATCATTATCCGCTAAAGAACAACCCGACAAAACAATTGTTGACAAGCAGGTATCATCGTCGGCGCGGCGTGAGAGAGCATATGTTCCGGCCAACATGTAAACAACGCCGCGCAGCCACCGGCCGTTACACAATACCCGAACACACGCATACAACCCACCAACAAGATAATTACACGCACTGCAACAAAACTATCAGAAACCATTCCGGCGCGTACCTGTCAATAATGAGAAATTTATCGGCTGACTTGTCGCTCTTCTGCTCCACGCAGTCGCCCTTGCTGGACATACTGCTGCGGTTGATGCTGATCTCGCCGGTGAAGCCCATGAGGAACCATTGGCCCTGCCAGCCCGCCGGAAATTCACAGCGGCTGGATTTCCGGGACACTAATTGCAGCGCCGAACTGCTGCTGATGGGATAGTCTGGAAAATGACAAACATGGTCAATTACACGTCGTATTTCTTTTGCTTTAAAATTTTTATTTCCGGTAGAAATATACGGAAATGGGATAAACACGCAAAGAAAATATCTTTTGTTGTAGGTTGCAGGAAAAAAACGTTTTTTCCAAAAAAAGGAATCCAAAGAACTGTTTTTCCTTGTAAATTACGAGAAAAAAATAATTTCCCTGGATTTAAGAAACCTAAGAAACCAAAGAAAATATATTTGGTTGTAATTTTTATAATCAAAAATAATTTCTGTAGATATACACTTTATATTTTTATTGATATAAAATTCTACAATGAAGATAGATTCACTCGTGCTTTATTTCCAAATTTACGAAAGCTCATCCAGCATGGAAAACCCAACAGAACTTATGATGAATTTTATTCAGAAATTTAATTATTCCTATAACAGCAGAATCTACTAAGCAAGACTCAGTATTTCATAAAAAGTGTACACACCGCTATTTTAATTGATTTGCTACGTTGCGGTAAGGGCACTCTCGAAAAAATTAAATTATTAAACTCAATGTATTTATCGTAAATCACGTTTTGTTATCTACGGTCTGCTCCAGGAGAAGTTGACCCCGAGTTGGCCCTTGCACTACAGTAATGCGCAATTTGACGTTATTGTCAAAATCAAGGTTCCCATATACAAAACCTTAAAAATCACGTTTGAGCTGTCAGAAACAATTTTACTCGTTTTTAACGAGATTCTTCACAGCGGAATTCGAAGCGCATTTTCTCATAATTATTATCCGGAATATTTTCGCGGAAATTCAATCGGTGTAATATTTTTAGGGAAGAGAACAATCACGGCGACTATAGAGTAACAATCTAACAATCTGGCGCCGTTACACATTCGCGTCGGTACTCTTCGATAGGCAACGCAATAAGCGACGGAAGCCAGGAAGCGAGACGCGCAGCGTTTAACTGGTTTAGCCAGCTCATTATTGTGCCGTAAATGTCCGTCGGTCATTAGCGCCCGTTTAAGAGAAAAGTGGATTACAGACCCATGTAATAGCCAGGTGAATTGCCTATCCTAATTAGATTACTCGCCAACTACGAATATATATTGTCCCCGGCTTAATGACCAGTGGCCAGTGCACACTGTGCATACCAGCTGTCTTGGCCAATTGAATGATGACAATGCGAGAACGGCCAAGGAGATGGACAATTCCCTCCCCATAATAAAACCGGGACGCAGTCTGCATTCTTCTCACATCACCATTTCGCTCCCTGAATATTTCCAACGCGTCACATCGCAACTTGGCAGTGCCGGGACTGCCGGCCACCCGCACAGCACGCATATCTCAACAACATGTGCTTTAATCTCAAAACTGGTATTTAAAATAAAAATATTTATACAGTTACACGAGTACTGAGTACATTTATACTTATAAAAATCTTCACATAACAAAAAAATAATTAATAAAACTAAAATAACTTAGGCTTATCAAAAATGTAAACAGCAACCTTTTAATCAAAGTATTTAAACAGCTGATACTTACGACAAGAAAATTAATAGAGACTAAATTTAAAGAGACTGCAGAAAATCGAACGTTCAAAGCTGTAATAAATAACACGTGTTGTACACTCAAAACCCTAAAAGTCAATTTTACTATTACAATTAATTAATAGCGAATTAATTTCATTTCAAATAAATTAAACAAAATATGCTGTCTATGAATAGTTAAATATTGAATTTTTTCCAGTGAATATAAAAATAATTTCCGCCTGTGACTGGCTCAGCTCCATCAAAAATTTACAAAAGGACAAAATCAAAGATGAAATTCAGTTAAATTAGGTTATGGAGAATTGTGTTTTATTGCTCGAGTGCATTTGCAATTCTGGTCCGGGGCGGAAGTGCGGAGTGATGCCGGCTGACGTTTTATGTGGTGAAAAACGAGCCCACTGCGCTTCCTGTCATTTCCCATGATAGGCCCATCAAAGGGCACAAATTTGATTTTGGATACTGTATCAAGCATCCACTGGGGAGTTGCACAATTCCACCGCACAGCTGATTTGTTATTCCCCTGATTTAAATACTCTTTAACGATTAACTATTATTTCTTGTCCCCAAAACAAAAAAATAAATTCCTCTTTAATCAAATAATTTTCTTAAATAAAATAATAACAGTTTTACATGCAACAACAAACATGGATGTTTATAAAAAATAAACAAAAATTGTAGAAAGAATATTTCTACGGTTATTAAAATTGGCAAGAAGTTGCAATGGAAGTTAATACAATTAAATCACTATTTGTGGCGCCGGGATTAATGATTTTCACAGCATTTAATTTCTTCTGAATGAAAGTGCGATACTGTATCGGCTGGAAAAATAAACAAAGCTGCGCTGTTTGGCACGAGAAATCGGAGCCGGTTACTTTCACGTGGTCTAATTGCATTGGCATGTTTATGCCGGTCAAATGAAGCGTAAGGTCAGAGCGATTACAATATAATTCAGGCCGGCCTCCGACGTTCTCTCCCGCTTTGCCAGATTTTGTTACCCTTTGATTATCGCGGCTTAATTAGCAGTTGCTCACCGATTTCCTGCCTTGTTTTCCGCTACCAAAACACATACATCATCACGGAAGGACATTGTCCTTTCTTATGAAAACTAGCACGGAAAATGTGTGAATAACGATAGTCATTTATTTAATTCGTTCTTTAAAAAATAAATACTTTTTAGTAATAATAAAAATAATATTACAATGAAATATAATAATATATATATAATAATAAAAATTATTTTATTAAAACTTTTTCAGCACAATTTTTCATCGTACAAGAGGAAATAAAATTATTTATTTCCGGGCAAAATAATTTTAAACGATTTTTTTCATCGAAATACTGCAGTTGAAAAATATCACAAGATGTTATTCTCATGAAAAATATTCATATATTCAAATTAGTCACCTACGTTTACATTTTATGTAATTATGAAAGGTAAAACGATACGATTAGGCGGGTCGTTTACACGGCGTAGGAATTATAATCCGGTCGGGTAGAATTTTAAAATCCACACACACAGACGGACATATAGTCATTTATTAACAGCGCGGTCATTCATCGTCCTAATAACACTGACAAAGCCGGCACTTAGCGTCTCTACGCATGCATAATAATTGGAGCAAAGGTGTGGAATTATGCCGGGACGGTTTTTAGCATAGAGCACCGGTACAGCTGGTGAATTTCTATTTAGCAGCCGATTAACGGCTTTTTACACACTGTACGGGCGCGTGTTTCAGCCGCAGCAGTAACTGGAACAAAAGCGGCCAGTGTTGGGCGCTATTAAGTGGGCCCAGTGAGTAATAACAATTTATTCCGCTGAGGATGCTTGACAACATAAAACAAGGTAAACGATTGCACTGGAGCAGCAGTTGGCATTATGTACATAACGAGCCCATATTCAAATATTCTTATCGTTGATGAATTGGTCCATGCCACTACCGAATATAGAACAGCTGCCAAATTTACACAACGACTAAAAAAAACGTAGGCCCATTGAAATGCGCATACGAGATTTTCCACTTAAATTCTTAATTCTCGAAACATTTTTCCCAAACAAAAATTATACAAAAACAGTTTAAACTACCCCGGAAATATTTGAGCAATTTTTTTAATCCGCAAAAATTCTGAACACAATCACAAAACCTGAAAAACTGAATAAACAGTTTATAAATTTAACAGACATTTAAAAAACATCGAAAATATACTTTTGCATTATAAAACATTTTTAAAATATCTGCAAACATTAGGGAAAAATTTTCAGTGCGTAAAACAAATTGCAAACATCGAATAATTACTGAAAAAACTGCTAAACAAAATTTTTTATTACAATGAAATTTATTAATTTTATTTACTGTACGAGTATTTCAAAAATCTGACTTGATTAATAATCAATGCTTTATTTTTTAAATTATTTGTTTTAAAAGTGATTCCAGAAAAATATAACCGACAAAATGCAAGCAAAAATTACGCAAAAAAATAAATTATGCAAATTCGTTACACCGGGCGCCAACTGGAAACAAAAACGGCTACTTATTATCATAGCAAATAATAGGTTGCACAATCGGCCATAATGAGCAGCGGTCATAAAAGTCGAGCATTCTTTGGCTGCGGCATTAAAGGTGTCAGTGTTTATTTAATCGGCTATCAATAGGCGATCGCGTCACAAAAGGCACATTCTCACGATTCCCCCCATCGCCCGGCTCAACGTCCACCACAGAATGCAAACTAGAGAGAAGGCCCCATTGTTATGATAATCCCTCCACCGATACATAGTCTAATGTGATTTTATGTCAATTTCATCAAGCGCCACAGCCCATTGTTGACCCGGCGGACGATGGTCATTAATGGGCAAAATATGCAATACAACGCAGCGTTTGTCTATTCGGCAGTGAAAATGGCTAAATGATACGCTGATCTTGTCAAGCAGAACGGACTGCGTTTAACTTTTCCCTTTTAGCCTCCCATTGTTTGCGGCTGTAAGCCTGTACGGCAGCAGAAGGCGGACAATCGCACCTGATCAAAATGTGCACAGCCATTCAGCGCTGCGCCTTAAAGATGGTTAAATGAATTTTTCAGGCTGATTAAACGCCAATAGAATGGTGGGATTTGCCGGCGCGCATCTGTGCTGTCTGCTGCGCCAGGATCAAATCGGCCATTTTACGCCTATTTCAGCACAAAGCATGCCGAAAAAACACCAATTTTCTCGCAAAGCCAACCGAAAGAATTCTCAGATGGATGAAAAACTAAGAAAGAGAGTTGTGCTGTACGACAAACACACCATTTCCCTGTACACCGCACGAATATTTCATAAAAAGAAATGGGGAATAACAATTTACGCGATATTTAAATCTTAAATACTGCGCATTCTCAATTTCTTGGTACATGTCCACACAAACAATACCGTTCCACAGGGATTTATAAAATTGAGCTGCATAAAATTCTAACATTCAACATTTTTGAGTTTTATTTCAACTTTTCGCAAAGCCAACCGAAACAATTACAGATGGATTACAAAACAGACCGAGGAAATTACTGTCTGGCAAGACACACCGTTTCCCTGTTCGAAACACCGTTAAACACGAATGCTGCAACACCGAGAAATGGATTAATAACATTTGCGCGAAAATTAAACCTTGAACACTGCGCATTCAAAATTCCTCGGTACGTGTTCGTAATAATCATCGGCATTGTACAGGGATTTATGAAAGTGAGCGGCATATAAATCTAACATTGCTCGTTTTTGAGTGGTTTTTGAACTTTCCATCAGCCCATTTGACCACGACGACATCCGTTCAGCACATTTGCACATTTTTCCGCATCATAACCACAACTGATAAGACAAGCAGGCCCCAGTGCCATTTGGATGGCAGACACTCATAAAAAACCCCCATTAAACTCTCTCTGGGCTATTCACTGCGCTATCTAGAGCACAACTTATTCGTTTTTTCCCCTTTTTCTCGCATAACATATTTGGCCGGCCCCAACCGTTGGCATACTTGGCAGCACACGGCGATAAAATCTCAAAATTTTAGCAGGAAAATTCATAAAGCAACGATTTTGGATAGCCTTAGCGCATAATTACAGGTTACGGATACACAGCCGCGGTTGCATTTAAAACTAAAAACAACAATTTATTTTGAAAATCAAACTTTTTTATGTAAAATGCAAAATTAATTTAAATAAATCGGGAACAAATCTTCCGGGTAACTTCTTAGCAGTAAAATTCAAATTGGTGAACCTAAAATGAATCTTTTCTCAGCAGTAATAAATAAAATCTTTATAGAAAAATAATTTGCCAATTTTACCGTATTTACGTATTTTAATTTACCTATAAAATTTTTAAATTTTAATTGTCGAAAATGACTGAATAAATAAAAATGAATATTTTTCACATTTTTTTTTAAACGCACGTTTTTAATTTGAGCACGTCCTGGCGCAAACTGTTTCATGTCGAACGGTTAAAAACCTGTCACATCTAAGGCTCAATTAAAGGGTGATTAGCGATTAGCTTGTCGTGTTTTTGCCAACCAACAGATCGAATTCGTGCAATGGATGCCGGCAAAAAAGAGACGTGCTCCAAGTGAAATGCAGCCAAGCAGAGAACAAGGGCAGCAGCGAGTGTGCGCATACCATTTTTAAATAACAATTCGCATTCCCAAATCGTTTCTGTTTCACTCTGGCCATTCTGCCGGCACGCAATGCGATATTGCCACTGCTTGACGGCGTCTTTGTCGTTTGTATAATTGGGAAAAATGGACAATCCAGCACGCGATGCCACCGGGCCAACGGAGAATGCTATTTAGCGTTTAACACTGCATTTTTCATCCATGAACGACGAATTTCAACCCAACTGTCATGAACATTACTGGGCTAATAATAATGGATTTTTGTCCGAGCAACGCAATAAAAACCGATACCTCCATAAATAAAATATTCAATTTCACCATTTTTCTGCAGTTCAAATTTTATTTACTTCCTACTCAACAAAATTATTTTTCTAAATTTTTTTACATTATTACTTGATTTACTTCAGAAATTTGAAAATAAACTCGGCTAAATTAAAACGCTTAAAGTAATACGAGTATTTAAGATATCTGATTAAATTATTTTCAGAAATCAAGATTTTAATTTTGGTAATCAGCACAATTTGATAATATTTTATTGTTGTAAAATTAATTTCTAATAATTTCGCAATTGATCGGCTAAATTAAACTGTTTTAAAAAATTATCTTTATTAGTTTTTAAAATATTCGGCTAAATTTAGTTATTTTAATTCATCCAGTTTCTAAAATTCAAATCGTAAAAATAAACTGAACAAGCGGAGCTCATTGTTGCACCTGCTTTGGTTAACCTAGAAAAAATCCGCTACAAAACTTCAAAACTGTACAACAGGCGCGTCAATCATTTTTCAAGAAAACCTCCGTTAATCATAAAACACGCCGCACTTGAGCGTCGCACTTGAAAATACACAAAAAAGAAACGGCCAAAAACACCGCCGAAATCAGCAGTTGTTCTCCAGGACACAACAGTCGATTGCGCAAGCGCCCACAAAAATGTATGTAAGTGTGTCAACCATCCACTAAAACAAACGCAAATTCCCCCGTCCATTAGAGACCGTAAAAACTCCGTCGCTTAAAAGCCGGGCTAATGCGGCAAAAAGCGACCGGCCACTTAACCAGTAATTCCACTTTCCTCCCCACCACAGAGTGGCGACGGGATCCGATTACATCAAAAGAATTCCCGATTCGAGTGTCATGCGATTGACACAGCATAATAACGTACCTGAATTACTCGGTGCAGCGCCAGCACACAGCGCGCTCAACAGGAGCATTAGCAATCGCATCTTGACAGCCGGGATGAGATTAATTAATCCGTGTGCATTGTCAATTAGCCCATCCACTCGAAACCCGGTGGCGGTTGGCGGACAACGCGTTAGAACGCGAATTACAAACAAAGCGCTTTTATCGGTTATGAATCAGCGACCACCAAAAAACCGCTGGGTTGATGGCGATAAAATGGAGCTGCCGAAGAATTTTTCGGAATGACAGCGCAAGGCGAGACGTAGAGGCGGGATTACGTCACCGTCACGGTTAGTGATTGGCTGGTTGTGGTGTAGCAGCTGAAAGCTGTATTAAAGCGTAAACGAACTGGACAGACGGGCTATTTATTATTGTAACTCGGGATGAAATTTCTCAAGGGGCTCTGTTGCCTCTGTAGGGAAAGGAAGAGTTACTCATCTGGACAGTGGATGAGTGTTTGTGGAAAAAGGGAAGCTTGGGGAAAGTGGCCTCGTCACTCGCGTTTCGATTTTCAAACTCGTACAAACGCCACAGTCAAACCGGTCGACGGGTAGAAAGCAAGAGAGAACAGACAGACCGTACGACTGCGAGTACGAGTGGTAGCCAAGCCCACACGTCGAAGCGGGTCTGTCTGTCTGCGATGAGATCATAGACACGTGTGGGCTGTGGTTGTGGTAAGCCAGTCGTGCCATTCGCGAATGAATAAATAGTCACAGACCACGATATATTTTCATAATTCCATTATGTGAACTCCAGCAGACATTGGTGGAAATGGCCAACGGCTAACAGGCTTAGCCTACTTTCAGCCTCCTTGCTGGTAAGTATTAAGAATCGGAATTACTCGTACAATGAAAAACTTATTCCAGTACTATAGTACTTATTTACTGCAAGGACGTAATAATGAACTAAACGAAGAAAGAAATCTTGTAAAATATCTTGTAAAAGAAAATGCTAAGCAAATGATCTATTTTTAGTTGGCACGTGATTCATATTACATTACACTTATTTAGTAATATATCTATAATATCACTGTGCATGTAAACTGCAGTAAAGGATATAAAAACCTATGAAAATTAAATAACTAATCAGATAGTGCTTGTTTTGTACAAATTTAAAATATGCTCTGCTTTTTTTTTAAACATGCTTTTTTTTAAAATATGCAGACTGTATAACCAGCATACCTACACCATAATCTAATATTATGGAATCTTATTCTAATGAATGATATTCTTATACAAGAAACAGCCTCGGCTTCGCCTCCGCGTTTCTTGTGATCCACGGCCACTTTATTTGAAATTTCGATTGAATATTTACTTAGTAGTATCACTTCTATATTTCGTGGTAATATGATCGGTACATCGATGCGTTTTGAGCACTAGATAGTGGTGGTAGCTCGGTCACTCACTATGTCAATTAGCGATTTTGCTCACTGGACAGTAGTGATAGCTCGGTAATTCACTCACTCGATTACGATTTTGCTCACTGGACAGCAGTGATAGCTCGGTAATTCACTCACTCGATTAGCAATTTTGCTCACTGGACAGTAGTGGTAGTTCGGTAATAAGTTCAATTTATTCCGTTTAATTTGCGTATTTAATAATTTATATTGCGTATTGTATCCAGGCAAAATTTTTCAAAGTTTCAAGGTCACCTTGAAACGGGGTTGGATCGTTTGCGGCATCGTGCCGGCACGAATCTGATCGGACGTATTCAAAAACAAAAGTCATGTGACGCAGTTCTGGACCACGGCCGATCTAACTGTGGTATCAGGTTTTTTTAAAAGTTTTTGGTTAGAGAGATCTCCAGACTGTGGGGAGGCCGCGCGTAATATTGATCTTTTTCCTAATATACGTATTTTTGAACTTGTATATGAAATACTTACGGGTACGTTTCTTCGTTCACGTTGTACAATATACTTACAATTAAACGTTGCCGGCCTCGGCTTTTTCATCATTAAGCATCATGGTTCGGTACGAAATTATCTGCAGAATTAAGGTTGAAAATCTTGAAAAGTTCAATCGCTTGGTAGTTGCGGATTAAACGACTGGCATTTCCATGTTTTTATTTAATTTAAATTTATTTTGTTTTTTTTAAATAACGGTTGAATTTAAGTTTTTTTCTCCTGTTTTAAATCCGTTTCCAGCAACGGGAGTCTGAGAAACTGTCTGAGAAAAAGCATCATGAAGCACATGCCCTTTAACTAAACATTTACACGAATGCATAATGTACATAATTGATATGAATACTTCGAATAAATCTACTGCTCATCGAAGGTTGGCACTATGATTGCCAAGGGCACTAATCCGCCCTATTACGATACCAAATTACCCTCTTAGTATATCTAAATGCACAAATTATTACCATGTGGCCATGGACATCGTTAAATTTTGGTTTTTCCGATTAGTTTCTTCTACGCACACTGTACATAAAAATCAAGGGAAGTGTGCCGGTACTGTATACTGTACGTGGTACCAAACTTGTGCACTTCTATAGAACGAGTACATGTACGTACATGTACAAACTTTTGCATTCGCTCGCTATTAAACACTTTTTCGCATTGTTTTATAGCATTGTACAGCCAAATACACTGAGTACAGTACACTGGCGTGAAAACTATTTGTGCGCGCAACATCCGGTTGGGAGAGATATCGGTGATGTAATTTCAAAAAGTTTAAAACGCACGGAGTTGCACCAAAAGTATTATCATGAACTGATCCTCGAAATTTTTCATGAAGAGCATGTTACTTACCATAATGATCGTTTTTACACCGAATCAGCTTTCGGCCATGCTTTTCAAAATTTCAAAATAAAATTTAAAAAATTTAAAGATTAATTTACAATTTCAGTAAAATGGTAGATTAAAGCTAATGCGGTCATTTCGGTGTAAAAATGATCTTCCTCGTAATGCGCGTTTTCATGTACAGTTTGAACAGTATCGATTGAAAACGACACTTTCGGTACGAGTACTCCTCCGTGTGTTTAACCTTTTGGAATTTTTATTTCATCGATATCTCCTCGGGTGTTGCGCGCACAAACGGTTTTCTCGCCAGTATATACAAATCATCTGGCTATGGAATGCCATAATAATACAAAAAACGTGTTTGGGAGTGCACGAAAGCGAAAGTTTTGCACATGTACAAGTGCGGGCACACTTCCCTGATGCATATTGCATACGCTAATTTGCCATACTACCGGCACCTAAGGAGGAGTTTCAGGATCGGAGGCTGACAAAAGTCACAAAATGGACCGGTTCAGCGATCGAGTCGTCATGTTTTTGTGTTTTCAATCACTTTCAGGCCGGCTAATCACATATATAAATCTCGCTACATAGCGAAATTCATGGGGTACATGTAAATTAGCATGATACTCGTATCTGGAGCTATATATATATTCATTTTAGGATGGTGTATCTAAGTTTTTTATCCAGTTTTTATGTACATTGATACATTGCACCAGAAAACCGAATATCAATGATATCGATCATTGATTTCGAATACGTAAATTAATCGAAAAGGCAATTAAGCAAACATCTTTTTGCATGTGCATAACCCACCATGCATTAAGCAAAGAATGGTCAGTCGGAAAACACTCGAATAATTCAGCTAACGTTAATTTAGTGAAGAAGCCAGCCAAGCAATTCCGATGACTGCTTTCGAGGAAGCGCAGACAGTTGCACTGTCGTTACTGTCCAATCCACCACCATGAAATGCCGTTGCTGCCGAGAAACGCAGGTCAAGTAAGCAGCGTACTACTTATTAGAAAATCCGCGGAAACCTATGTAGTACTATTAAGTTTAAATAACTGTATAGTACAGTGCAGATACGAGCGTGGCACTTGAGTTTTGCCAAACTATGCTGTTTTTCCGTACTTTCCTACCACCGGAACGATTATTACCATTTCACGAAATGTACTTCATCGGCAGAAAATCGAAATATAAAACGTTCATCTTGAAAGAAATTCGGACACCATCTTTCCTGACTGCTTACTAGTACGTTATAACTTCACTTCTCACGCTGTACACTTATGTGTATAAATTTTTTACTGTCCGATTCAGGAAATTTCAGCAATGATGCCTTTTTTCCTCTCTGCCACAACTATGACTGTACTATTCGGATTGTTTGGAATGCTGTCAGGTGCGTGACCTTTCTGTCCTTCGTTTATACGCACGTATGCTAAGCTCCATGTTACTCCCGCATTTTCTTCATATTTATTGTTAGTTTACTGCTTTCTGTGAGAGAAACGCTTTATTAAGTATGTGAAATTTTCGTAAAAAAAGAGCTTGCATTAATTTGCGTCTATTCGTAGCTCAGTCAGCGGACACTGCGCAATCCTTGTTGAGCATTCTCGGATCGCCCAAGGCGCCTTATGCATATAAGGTGTACAAGGTGGATGGCTTCAATGATGCACAGCGTCAATATTCCATGTTCCTGGTGGCCAGAAAGCGGACTGACATCGAAACAACAACAACAACGACCACGACAACGACGACCACGCCGACAACGACGACAAAGCCTACCACGCGGCCCACGACGCCGAAACCTCAACAGGGAAGTCAGCCGTTGAATTTGCAAACGCTGACGGCACTTTTCAATCTTTTCGCTCATCGCGATGTGCAACAGAAGAAGACATAATTTGTTTGTGGGACTGATCAAATCGGGAACTGAAAATTGTTTTACTCAGCGAGTTACCCGCAATATCACATTAATTTTCCGTAGATGCGAAGCTGTTTCGATAAGCCGTTTGTACTTATACACATTTGTATCAGTACTTATTGTAAATTGTAATAAAACGTTTTTAATGCGGGGAAAACTCGGTTATCTTCGTTAGAAAGCCTCAGTGGACTTTTCTGTTTGTGTTTGTAACGAGCTAATGATGCTCGTTTGTTTTAATAGAAATGACGCTCTAACAGTTCTAATTTTATCATTAAATACTGAATGGAGCAACAGCGTTAAACGAGATTTTGTTACTGTGATTAACTGTTTTTGTTCTATGTTCAGTGTATTAAATACTTGTATATTTTTTGTAGAAGGGTTACCGTAATTAACATTTTGCTTGTTTAATGTTGTAACGAACTGGTGGTACCCCATTTTTCCAGCGATGTGCGAACATTTTTTTATGTTAAATAAATTTTAAGCGGAATTCTGTTCCAGACAGTAGAATAAAAACAGTACAATTTACGGCCAACAGATACCCAGGTAGTACTTAAAGTCTGATCACGCGCTTCACCCAGTCACATTTTGGTGAATAACTGCTCGTTAAAGTCCCGGCGAACTCCCAGCTATCTCCATTTAGCAATAAACATGGCTAATAAAAACTGCGTTCACGCTGGAAAATTCAGCGGCGACACGTCTTGCCAGGAAATTCGATGAGTTTCTTGCCGTTACTTTAACGATTTCCTTATGGAATGTTGACCACGAATACACTCACGCGATGGCCAAACGCATGAGCTTTAACGGCGGCATTTAGGCAATAAAACTGGTGCAACCTCGACGTACAAATCTAGAGCAGTATATAAACAGCCGCGTCGCGCTTCTGGTAAACCATTAATCAGCAGAATTTTTTCGTTTTTCTGCTTACAAGAGCACACTAGATTCTTCAGCGGTTTCTTCTGATTTCACGCGGAATGGCGTGGAAGCTCCGTAAAATTCTCCTGTCTATCATTTCCAGTGTATCCGGAGAGAGTCCCTCGCCTCCACCGTCGGTGTCGACAGCCCGCAGAGGGAGCGCATCGGCGGTGCATTTCTGGTATAACTAGACTTCCTGAGTGGGATGGATGCCGGGTGGTTGCGCAAGAAGGTAAGACGAAGCGCGTTTATTGCAGACATCTTGTAGAATGCGGGTCCGTGCGTTGGTAGAATTCTACACTGTGATAACTTTAATTGACCGTTATTCAGTTTACATTTTACAGTTGTAGTCATTCAGCTAATTTACAGTTTTTAATGGATTCTTCGTAGTTCGTATAATATTGCAAAAAACGTATTGTTATTGGGAAAATGCCGGCTACTTGCGAAGAGGTCGTGTGTGCTTATGATTTTCTTTTCTGCGCTATGCAATGCGTATTACTAATTTCTGATCGGTTAGAAATCATCATACAGCTAACGACGCCAGTGATTTTGTTGATTTAGGTACCTAATCCAACGGAAAATGCCTTGTTTCCTCAATTTCCCCTTGGCTTCCAGAGAATGCTGTACGATTTCGGAGAGAGGGCCGAATCCTGTCAGAAGTTAATGCCTAGTTTCTAAACTATTAAATTATTTTTAAATTATTGCCAAAGCTAAGTTGTTGTTATTTTTAATATGCATATAATGGTGACGGGCTGACGCTGCCTGCGCTGTACAAAACTACTTTCATTTTTTATGGCTTAGTTAAAGGCTTGGCGGGAAAAAACGGCAGCTTTTAAGTCTGCTCGCAGTTATTGCTAAAAAAAGCAAGTTTGAGTTCCAGTTCCGATCACTCAAGGAAACAGTAATACTACTACAAAATTCACATTGTATAAGGCAAAGGTCAAACCTTAAAAATCAATAACATCAAACGCTGCAAATTGAAGTCAGAAGCGAACAACCTGAATCTTCACATGAAATAATGAGCTTCATAGAATACTGTACTACCAGTATGGTACAGGTTCAGATACTGTATTATCAACTGGTTCTTGAAGAACGGTCTGTTTTGCACCAAAATCTTTGCGCTTGGAAGACATAAAACAACGTAGCGAAAAAATAGGACGATTGTCTATGCGAAGCGGTAACGCAAAACCTGTAAAAGGAAAACATTACTGCATTGCTAATAATTGGTTTACCATGTCGCTGCAGACCCGATACCAATTTCGACCGTCTAGGTAACGTCTTTTGCAGACGGCGTCCGTAAGCGGATGTTTTCCTTACAGTTCCGCCAGAAACCGCGGTGCACGACTGACTCACGCGGATAACCAAATTACTGTAGCACGAAAATACACAGTTGTGGTTAAAGTTTCATCGCTAACAATACTGCAACTTGTGCCGGCAAAATTCTTTTTCTTGGTAATAAATAATTAGTCAGCCAGTTCAGCACGGAACTGCTACCGCATCAGCCGACATTGACCTTGAGGCTCATTTTGTATACACGTGTCGCGCAGAAAGCGTAGCCGGATAAATGTCAACAAATCAACAAATGCCAGCTGTGTTTTTTGAAATACTTTGTTTTTGATAAATGTTAGCCATAGACTACATATTATAAACTGGAAAAGTGGACTCTTGTTACCGCTTGCTGCTCAAATAATCTGTTCGCATCCAGTGCCGAGTCGCTGACGATTTATGCATACTGAATGTGTTTCTGTTTGACATATGATTGTTGATTTTTGTAATAAATTTTCGGGCAATTTATTTGCTCGGATTTTTTTGATTTGGACACGGACCGACGGGCTAATTTCCACTTTTTGGTCCTACATGGTTTTGTATACACAAATAACCGAGCAGAATAATGACATCGACAGAGGCTTCGGCGGTCGAAGATGAGTATGTACGCATCGAGATCCACACGTGTGCGGAATTCCTGGCATTAAATCTGACTTTGAGTGTATTGGAAGCCAATCCTGGTCAATGGAGCACCACAGATCGCGATGGCTGCGGACAGCCGTTCTACAATATAACGGCTCAGCGCGTGCACCCCGTGCATTATGTAACCAAGGTGACCTATCCTATCTTTCTACTGATCTGCACTGTCGGCAATACGCTGAGCTTGATTCTTCTGGGTCGCAATTCACGCCAGCTACAAAGCGGCAAATGGATTTTGGTTATGGCGTTGGCATTCTCGGATTTAATGTATATGTAAGAGTCAAACACTTAGGTAATTTACATCGATAGAAAAATGTCTTCTGGCTGTATATCTGCTTCTTCTTCTTCGGTCTAGTGAATTATGTTGACCTAAAGTCGCCCTGTAAAACTTAATAAAACACTTCAGACTTGACTAGCGAGCTGCTTTCTAGTAATTTTTAGCAGTGGGTTTTGGAGTAACATATGGTAATTATTTGCAGGTGGGCTCAGTTTTTCCCCTTCATTACTACGGTAGCAACGCTACCTCCCACATCAGGGTTCATTAGTTTTGTTCGAGCTATCGGAGGAATCTGCACATTCTTGAAAGAGGCATTCATAACAAGTTCCGACTGGTAAGATCGGATGCTCTTAACTGGCGCTAATTGCACCTCTAAAAAGAAATGAAGTACCGTAAGACACTATAGTATGACTATTACGACTGTACCCTGTACAATCGTTACCCTGTACAGTATTCTAACGACTGTACCCTGTACAGTCGTTAGAATTTGTTGTTGTCAGTTGTTTGCAGTATTTTAGTACCCCTATAATTTCTTTAAATATTCCGTATTGCAAACTGCATTTCGATGAGACGACGCCAGCTTTATTGACCTATGTACTAGGATCCTCGTGACCTTTAGCGTTCAACGATTCTCGGGGACATTTTTCCCTTCTTGTTATGCGGGATTCTCGAGAAAAGTGTCTGCGAGACGAGGAATATCACTGGCACTGGCTATAGGAATTTTTGTCCTTGCTGCAGCGTATGCGGTGTTTAAGTTGGTGGATTATTATTATTTCTATTACAATGATGACGAACGTTGCCCTCCATATTTGATCCGCCCACCTAAGTACATGGTCAAATGGAACGCCCTCCAACAAGCAGCCGTAGTAAGTTAGTTTTGGGTTCATCATATGCCAAAGCCTTTTAGGAGAGCAGTAAACGAAATGATTGCACCAATTGCAAATTATATGGAAACGTTTGTACGGTTGTAACTAACACAGCAAACGTTAAACGTTATGTTTATTCGACAGCAGCATTCTTAAAACCAAATCTTTTGTACGAGTACATAACATAAAAAACGTTAAGCAGTGCCTTCAGCAGCATTGGTACTACAGCATTTTGCTTTCGCGAGTAGGTGGCGATTCAGCTCGCCAACTACGTCACCATCTTCAGCTTAAACACCAGTGTGGCCGTGCGGGTTTTCTTTTGTCGCCGACAAGAATGTGCCACCCATAGCGCAAACAATCGGAACGATTGCCAGGAGGCTGCACGGCTGCTCATCGCAACGGCGCTGGTGTACTCTGCCACGCAGTTTCCCCCCTTTGTTCTCAAAATTATCGCTCTTCTCAGCCAGGTACGTTTTCGTCGACTTGGAACTTATTAGGCAAGTGTTGAATATGTAGTTGAAAAACTTTATTTATTGCAGTATCCGCTTTGCGCTACTTCAATGGATGATACGGTATACACCAAATTTCTCGAGGCCAACGCGTTTCTGATTAATTTTAACTATTCCATCAATTTTCTGCTGTATGCCTTCATCAGTACTCCTTTCCGGAAAGTTTTTCGGGGTTATGTTGCTGAAAAGTGCGCTTCTTGGCGGGTCAGGTGGAATGGCGCACATATGAGTATGCAGAATGCCGAGTCATCACTAGATTTGCACGATCTGGAAGACTCTTTGCCTTCCACCACCAAGAACATGAGCAGCAGAATGTAGTAGACAGTTTAGGTAATCTTTCTACCTGCAACGCTATATTTCGAAAGTACAATTTGTTTTGCTCTGTTGTATTCCGTTTGCAATTACAGTGATTGTTGTTTAAACAACCGTTGTCGTTGAGAACGTTTACTACTTTATATACAGCAAGTACATTGTACACAGGCATAAATATTTTTCACTGTAAATTAGCGCACGATAAGGTTACAAGAGTGCACCTTAAATTTTCGCAGATTGACCTTTGGTCACTTGATAGCCCAAAGCTGTCGGTAATCGATACATGAATGTAAACCAGTACGTTTCACATGCCAATTACTGTCCTTACTATTAACCCGAAGCACAGGCTTCCGTGGCATGTGATCAAAATTTATATACTTTTCGGGCAAAGCGATGACCGCAACGTTACGATAAACAAGCCACCGGGATAGCGGTGTGCGGTAAATAAACTTATTTCAAGTCAACCTACGAGCCAGATTAACAATAGACCGCAAATATTAAACGCACAGAAGTAACTTATGTAATAATTTCGATCATTTATTACGGGTAATTATGTTATCAGCGGCGTACCGGATTAAGTTATTAACGGTACCCGTATGTACGCGTGCGTTTTTCGATCGGTACAGTACGTATTGTAAACAAATAACCCATCGTTGTCTGCAGCTTGTTCATTGTATTCAACGCTGATCTATTTATTCTCTACAACAGTAGACTACCGTTATATTTAAATTTTAGACAAAGTAGTAACGTACTGGTTGATATTCCTTTTTGATGGGTGTGCAGAAATAAAACATAGACGGTAGTTAGCCGCTTTCCAATAAAATACGGTTACTCGTATTGTAACACGCTGACCATATTGGGTCTTTCTGCTCTTTGTGTGTTGTTTCTGTACAGCGTACATCCAGCAAAAAGGCACTGCAGCAGCATCAACCAGTTAAGGTCGACTCAGTCTCCCTTTAACGTCGGTCATCGTCTTCTTCGGAGTTTAGACAATCCTGCGGGCGTGTCCAGGCCCAGTTTGGTTGTCGTTTATGGCGTCGTGCCACCCTTTTAAGGCTCAAACAAGGATTCGGTAATAACCATCGCGGTGACGCCGGTGTCGCCTGCGTGGTAGTGGTTACAATCTGTCCGGGGTAAATTTTGACCTCTCGTCCATGTGACTGCTGTACTGGTCGGAAATTATCTACTAGCACGTTGTTGGCCGCATCACCATGTGGATGCTTTTTCAGGGTACGGAACATATTGAGCTGGTCTTGCGTGACCTTCAGCGGCTCTTTAAACACGGTCCACATCACCGCTTCGGCGCAGGGTGGTGTTGTTAAGGACCCCAGATAGCGGTAGTACACCGGTGAGGTCGGGATGAAATCCTGAAGCCGGAAGTCCTTCAGGGTCACATCTTTGGCTTGACCTGTTCAAGAGAAGGACGTGTCACAAAAACTGTCAGAATATTTTACCTACTCTTTAGCCACGTAAAGACGCGTCTAGTTTTAATTATGCGATACACAATATAATGTACGTTTTTTTCATGGTTTTTTTCCTTGCTCGACAATTCATGTATGAACATTTTCCTTCAGTAATTTATTATTTATCTCTCACCGGGATGTGTGAGCTCCAACAGAGCCGTGAACAACGTACTGATACGGACAAAGCGAGGATCATTTTCGTCCACTGGACTGTCTGCCAGTTCAAACATGATAGCCAATGCAGCGAAACCCGTGGAATCTCCAGGAGCTTCGTTATCGTAGAAAATGCTTTTGCGGTGCACGATATGCAGCTGCAAAGCAAGATTGAATTACAGCAATTACATACTTGATTCATTTGCCGGTCGGCAACAGGCGCATGGGTATCTACCTCAAGTGGATATCGCTGTCCATCGATCACATGCTCCGATCCCCGCGTGTTAACAGAACCCCAGTGAAAATGAAATTGCAGGAATACATAATCATCGCCCAGGCTGCCACCGCGGATCTCCGGGGCGGTTGCATAATGGCCCGTAAACTGCGCTGCAGAAAGTAACAATTATACTCTGTAGACTTGTTAACTTTCTGCATTTGCATTTTGCAGTAGACTTATTGGTAAGAGTTTATTACCAACATGCCCGAGATTGACGGCCGTCCAACTATCATTCCTGGACGGAGTACCGTACCGGACGAAAGCCACCGGTTCTAGCGCCGGATCACGCACCGCCAACCGCGTGTTAATGGGGATGGGTGACTGGCGACGGCCATCACATCCCGGATACGCTTTTGCCCAGGTTTCCGGTAAAAGATCTGCTAGTCACAATTCGAAGGAATCAGCATGCTGAAACTGCATTAACGAAGTGTTCTCTTGCCTGCTGTATGGTTTGCGCTGTCTGTATATCCCCAGTGCGTCTGGACCGGCGACTTGCTGGAATCTGCCGGAGAATTCGGGTCCACAAGGGTGATAACGGCACTGGTTACTGCGGCTAAAATAGGATAACCATTTAACTTGTTTCACGGTAAAATTGTAACCGCCTTACCGATTAGGTTGCCAAGAATGCACACGATGAAACTGGGGCGCTGGGTTCTTCTTAGCTGGCGTGACATATTTGCCTTGCCGCCCTTATTTTTGTTATAAAGGAAGGGAGGCTATAAGAAACCTCACGCTGTAAGAAACCTCTCACAGACGAGACGCATTTCCCGCTGGTGTTAAGCAATGTGCAGTGCCGCTCCGGCAATAAATATCTCGTAGACGACCACTCCCTACTATTGCCGGCATGCAAGCAAACGAGCGGTCCTTTGTTTGTTAAACGCCGAGAACCGGTTCCCATGCACGTACCGTGCATGAAGCGCTGACTAAGGCAGAAGCCCCTTTTATTACCTACTCAAGCGTGAAACGTTACTGAAGCGTTATGAAATAACGAGCCGCAGCTTTATTGTTAGTTTTTATTTAGTTTTCAGATTAGGCTATCCTGCTTCCGGGATGACAATAGCGCTCCAGGCAAGAAGGCGAGGAAAGAAAGTTTGCTCGTGTGAAAAACTAGCAAGCACGTGACAGCCACTTTAAAAAGCAACGAAAATCAAGCCGCATTTGCGGAGCCATAGGCTAACATTTACGAAGAAACTTTTAGTATGCAAACTATCGCCGGTATTAGTTTTGCCATGGATAAAACACTGTTCTAATGGCGTGAGCCAAAGCGACCACGACCGTCCAGGTAATAATCGTTGTTGTTGTTGGAGGTGGTCTGTTTCGGGCAGGTGGCGATGGCCCACTTGGTCCAGGTGCCGCTGCTGAAGGTCCATGCGTTGCAGCCGGTGGTGACGACGGTGGCGTAGCTGGCATTGCGCACCTCCAGTCGCAGAGCATCCAGAATGGGGATCCCGTCAAAGTTGTTGGTGGCGGCGTTGAAGCGGAAGACTTCGCCAGCGCGCGAAATAGTCCAGATCTCCCCGTCTTCCCCGACACTGACCCATTTGCTCCAGCGAAACGCTTGGTTGGTTCGCTGACCGTTCCCTCCCAGTTCGCTCCATGTGGGGATTAAGGCGGCCCCGTTCACTTTTTGAACATCTCCATAATCCGCGGTTGGTGTTGGCGCCAGAATGTCCACAGCGGTGTTTTTGCTCAGCGCGTTGATCTGCAATACGGTTTTGAACCACAGTTAATTGCTCAACGTATTTCAACGATTATAAAGGAGAAACTATTTTCAAATTTATGGTCGTTCCTGCAAATCTTTGTTGACACTGTTCTGACACTGGCCGCCATGTACGGCAAAATAGACAGAATCGCATTTCGCCACCAACACAAAAGCTCGACTATCGGATCTACGTATATGGTTATAAAAACATAGCTCTTAAAAATTTCTTGTGCCGGATGGTTGTCACAATCCGACAAACTAGGAATCAGAGGCAGGCTACAAGACTGTGCGTGTTAAAGCGCTATCCAAAACCGTTGCAAAGTTGGAGTTTGTGTGGACCACACCAAATTTTTAAGTTAAAAATTTGAAGAAGGCAAACACTAATATAATTATTGCGGTACTAGTACAATAACGGTTGGTCTGTTAGCGAATACTCAGCATCCACGCTCACCTGCAGACATCTGGCACTATTGAAGTACTCCCAGGCATTGCTGGTTGGATTGAAACGGTAAGCCTCACCGATCACCGTGCACATGTAATGCCAGCCGTCCGGACTGGCGCCGACAGTGACGGCTTTGGTCGAAGTAACTCCGGGGTCAATGGGGTCAGTGAACGGCACAGGTGCGGGCAGTGCAGTCCATGCCCCACCGACGAGACTGTGGACGATGCCGACTCGATCAATGGCCAGGAGCGCGCTGCCTTTCCCGGAAATGTAGGTGAAATTACTGTACGGTGCACTCGGCGACGGAATCTGGCCGAAGACGCCGATCACGCTGACCGACAGAATCAGGAGGCCTTCCACAATCATGGTTAGGGGACTACGGACTGACCTTTGCAAACTCGCTCTTCAAATGTTTACGGGAAAATGGCAGTGTCTGCTATACAGTGAACAGCGTTTTGATAAAAAGATTTGTGGCTTTGGTTGAACAGGGGAAGCGCTTTTTATAAGAGCTGCGACCCGCTGAACAAGAATTTTATTGCAGTTGTAAAGTTGTTTTGGTCTGAACGAAATCTCTGGAAGAAAGGAAGGAATGTATCATTACCAGGTTCTTCAGAAAATGTTTAACCAATCAGACAACAAAGTCTGCAATATTTCACTTTGTTTGCAGGGTTTTATGATATCGTAAACCCTGGATCTGCCGTAACAGGCTCGGGAAAGTATCTTGCTTATTTACATATGCAAACCTAAATTCCACACTGAGCTTGCGCAAGCGCACGGAAATGGGCTGTTTCCGCACTTCATTGTCGAAAACAAAGCCGTAAACTGCTATGGGACTATCCCGCTCCAGTTTGCCGGCCAGACGCTATGTCAACATTGAACAATAGAATTGATGTCTCTCTTATTTTTGTCGTCTTTTTGGCTAGACATGTAAAAGGTTTGCTCTGCATAGCGGTGTTTATTGTTAGGAGTTGCCTGTACGGCTTAAACAACACTGCCAGTGCTGCGTGAACTTACTGTTGCCTTCTCCATAAAAAATGAAACATTTTATGTAATGCAACGTTTGCGCTACGTGTTGCTTCGCACTTTCCGGCGGATTCACGTTAAAGATTGAAAAGATTTTTTTTTGTTTTTTTTTCATCACTGTATTAATTAAAGTAAATTTTTCTGGATCGTAGTTTTAGCGTAACGTGTTGGGTTTTTGCAACCGCTGTGGCACTCACCTAACTGTGCGTATAATTACGTCGTTTACGTGTACTTTATTCTTACAAAATTAGCAGAGAGATGAAGTGTTAAATAAACGCTTAAACATTCAAGAGAAAATAAGATATTTTATGTGTAACTCGTTGTCTTGCTGGCATTAAGCAAGCGAGAGGTTATTTTTGTTTGAAATGTTCGCTTATAGCTGAATTCATGCTGGAGTCCATGTTCGCTTATTTTGCGTAAACTGTGAATTTGTGATTACGTAGAGTAACAATTTGGCCGAACCTCTTAAGGCAATCGGATCTTTCCTGGCTTTGCCGGCTTCATGATCTTGACACACATTAGATCGTGGAGAAAATATGTTCACATGGGCAAGATGCATTATGGCAAATCCATACTGGGATCGCAAAACGGTGCAATGAAATCCTTGTAATTTAGTTTATAATTTTTTTCTCACGTGTGACATTAATATTCTGCCGCAGGAGCGAGAAGAAAATTTTCCTCGCTTAGCCACTTTAGCGATCGTTTATTGCTCTTTTAACGTTTTGCATAATACTTGAGTAGTACTTAATGTTCTTGGAAATTATTCTTGGAAACTATTCGTGTATTATTCTTGGAAACAAGTTTTATTGCGCGTGTTTCTTTATTACTGAAATGCATGTGTTTGTTTGTTTGTCAACAAGCCACGCAGTTTAACAGTGCAGTATTTCTGAACCATATTACTACACGCGATGCTCTAAACTTCGGCATTTCGAAGTACTGTTTACAAGTATATACTTTTTCTGTGGTCCGTGCTAGGGCCATTTTCTGAGTGATCGTTCTGTCACAAGCGCTAGAATATGTTCAAGTGTCTTACACAAGTTAGGTTAATATCCCACAGGTTACTGCATGCAATTCTCCGCTATGAACTGTTGCATGCTATTCTCTGCTTTTTCGGTCGGGTCGGTTACGTTAACAAAAACGGCTAAACTTGTCGAGAAAAAATGATTTATTAAAACTGATTTACTGATCGCTTTTGCATTCGCTGCACACAACTTAGAACATGAAAGACGTTTGCTGACGCAGGAAAAATCCAACACACACATTATGTCTATATATATCTATTATATATATATCTATATCTATTAGCGGCACATTATGTCTATATATAAAAGAATATAATACGTAAGGAATATAATGATTATAGTACTTTGTAAGCCTGTCAAGACGGCTTTGTCGAGCTTTCAATAATGCGCTTAAGAAGTAGCTGAAGCGTTTATACATAACTTTTAAGGGCAAAGGTCACTTTTAAGGGCACCAATTGGTCTATACCCTTTTTATAAGCATTTCCGCCTTTGTCAGTACGCGCTGTATGAAATCCACAAAATGGAAGAATCAAGTCTTTCAGTGTCGCGAACCGAAACGACCGCGCTCGTCTAGGTAGTAATCATTGCTACTGGTGGAGGTTGTCTGCACCGGACAGCCGCTAACGATGTACCATTTGGCCCATGTCCCGCTTTTGAAGGTCCACGCGGTGCAGCCCGCTGTGACGACAGTGGCGTAGCTGGCATTGCGCACATCCAATCGCAGGGCATTGAGAATAGGGATCCCGTCAAATCGGTCCGCCGCACTGTTGTAGCGGAACACTCGCCCTTCATTCGCAATAGTCCAGGTCTCGCCGTCCTCCCCAATGCTGATCCATTCTAGGTAGTCGAAATTATTATCCGTGGTGGCGCCTAAGAGATTTCACGATCCGGTTCCGAGGATACCTGTGGCTGTACATTAAAGAATTTTTGAAAGCGCCGTTGAAAAGTTGAAACAGTTGCGATTTTAAAGACACGGGATCAACATTGCGCATGTACAATTCTATGGACAGCTCAGAAAGAATTTTGATTAACCCACCTAACCTGTATAGGTTTGTGCTACTCCCTGGTAACTTCCCGGGGCCAACAACCTGATTGCCGCAGCGTTGTCCTTGTTCCTTGCGTTAATCTACAAGAAAAATGCATGCATTCCTGTTACATTGAAGGCAACGTGTTCTGTATGAACAGGTGACACAGAATAAAACAATGTAAAAATTTAATTTAAACAGCAACGTCAGTGCTTAAAGTGAAACTTTTAGCAAAGGGATCTAGCAGGCAAAGCAGTTACCAAACTCTGCATTTTATACAGTACATCCAAATCCAAATTCTGTAGCTTACCTAGCAGTCTGTTTAAGCATTAGTAACCTTATCGATCCCCACTTTTTTAATTTTTACAAAATTTTTATTCGGTTTTAAGCACTTGCATCTGTAATTCAGAAAGTGTGAAATTAAAATATGTTACATAATACAAGAAATGCACCTGTATGTCTGCATTATCAAACAAAGCCATGTGCAGGCTTTGAATAATTCCTGTGGGAAGAGCGCGATGGGCGCATTGCTCTCATTGTTGACATGCACTTACTTGTTTACACATGACATTATTCGTGTACTCCCATGTGTTGCTGTTTGGGTTATAGCGGAAGGTTTCGCCAGTCTTGGTGCACATGTGATGCCAACCATCCGGACTGGCGCCCACACTGCGTGCGTGTGTTGAAATCAGAGGGATATTTGGATTGCCCACCAGCGTCGGCGCGGGCAGCGCAACCCATGTTGTCCCATTCAGACGATGAACGATACCGGTTCGATCGATCGCCAACAGATAGCTGCCTTTCCCGGAGATATAGGAGAAATTGCTGGCCGGCGCACTCGGCGATGGGACCTGGCCGAAGACCCCGGCAAGGCCGGCCAACAGAAGGACACTTTCCAGAAGCATTTTAAGAGGATTACCGCTTGACCTTTCAGAAAAACGCTAACAGCCGCAAAATTGGAAACGTGTAAGACAGAACGGAGAAGGTGCACCGTCGCAGAAGGAAACCTTTGGTCTTGAAACCGGAGACTGGTTTTGGCTGGCCACTTCAACTGCTATTTATACACACGGACCACGGTATCCGAAAAACAGGACCATTATTACGATAATAAAGATGTTTTCATCCTAACTGAAGTCGCGAAATAAAACCATGGAACTTTTGTTACCAGACTAAGCGCAAGGAGCCCTGCTAGTTGCACTGTGAAAATGGGAATATTGTTTTTCTATTTACGAGGCTTCTGTGATGCCGTACATCGTGGTTGTGCAACGACAGACTCGTCAAATTCTCTTGTTTATTTACTTATGACAACCCAAATTCCATTGTAATAGCAGTCAGTGCTAACGCTCGGAATTAGGCTTTTTCCGCCCATCATTGTCGAAAAACAAAGCTGTAAATTCTTGTTGGTCTATTCAACTACTAGGAAAGAAAATAATAAAAATCCATGGATATGTGGGTGTTTGTCTAGCTTTTATCGCTTTTCTGGCTAGACAAACAAAAGTATGCTCCGCAATAACACCGTTGTGGAATTGTTTGTCAGGTTTATACGAATACTGCCCTGATTGTGTGCAGCATGGATAATTCGGTATTTCTTTTTATAGAAAATTAAAACTATTTCGGGAATGAATATAGTAAAGAATGCCGGGATGCTGGGAACAGAGGCCGTTATACCGTAGACACTCGTATTTCCCGGCATGAAAACGAGACAGCACCAGAAAAGCATAAATCATCTCTGCCGTAACAGGACTGCTTTCGACGAGATTATACTTGCTATAAAAGGCGCAGTAGAAGAGCTAACGACACACCTGCAATGCTGTATCACGGACAGAAACATTTCGGATTTCACGGTGCATATCCGCCTGCTGTTCCACCAAAGTTGTGGGTCTTCCTCCCTGCCTGCCCGGCACAGGAGCTCCTCCCTTGCAGTGGAGGTTTGCTGTTTTTCCCTCTGGTGACCTGATAATGCTGTCCGCTGGCAATGTCTCCACTGGTTCGTTGATTGAAGACTCTTTTAACTGAATGATACCGTTTTTTGCACGGTGCCGCTTTTCGCAAAACGGAGCGCGCGAGCGAATTGTCTAGGTTTTTATTGACTAAAAAAATCACGGCAATAACTGCATGTTCCTACTTAGGTTGTACCGGGCACTACTGGGAGCTCTGACGTAGTAGACTCTAACTTTGTATAAACTGCACAGCTGAGCTCCGCCTGCCCACGAACCAATCTGGCACCTTCCTGTTCTTTTTCGTGTTGTTTTAGCAGCAATACAATCGCGAACGAATATGCAGCTTAGAATTTAGCACTTACAGTACTATGTAGCTCACAATTAGCACGATGCGTTCCACCCAATGCCAGGTAGGTGCCCTTCGATAAACCTATAACATGCACAGTAGTGACACACAAACATACGCTGTCAGTGCTGTCACACAGCATACACATGAGTAGGGCATCACGAAACGTAGCATCCCCGCGCAAAGGACAAACCATCGCATTATGTAACCTTGCGGTCTCAAGGAATATTTTCAGGTAAGCACAATTAAATAAGCATCTTGAACAATCCATTCCTGGAAGACGTCATCTACTTTAAACCAACATTGGTAACGTCCGGCATGGTTGGGCTGCACGCGCAAGATTTCCAGAGTTGAGTGGCAGTGGCAAAAGCCATCCGTTATTATGTGAACGGTAGTCCTGAAATTGGTCATTGTAGAACGCCCGGTCTGAAATTCCTTAAACCCATCAGCATAAATGACGTGATCTTCGTTTCTCCAGAGAAACCGATCTCCAAAGTCGCCCGGCATGGCTATGAATTTTACATAACATGGAAAACGGGCGGTGTCACCCACTATGACGGTCACGTTGCGCATCGGTGGCTGAAAGACTTGAGCTGGTGTGACAGTTGGACTGAAAAAGAATGTTTCGGTGGTGAGAAAAGAGCTGCCGTTGTACCGTCGACAGTCGTATTTCCCGGCATGGACATGAGAAAATGACAGTAATTCAATAATCATTTCTCCCGTGCTAGGGTTATTCAGGGCCACGGTGTATTTGTTCGAAAAAGGCGTATCGATCGAATCAACAAGGCAACTGCATGTCTGCACCTCGAACGGCATCGTTTCTGATTTCACGGTGAATTTCTGCCTTCCGTTCAACCAGATCTGTGGTTTTTGCTCTGTGCCCACCGGCACAGGATTCCCTCCTTTGCAGTGCAGAGTCACTGTGACTCCTTCGGGTGACCTGACGATGCTATCCGCTGGCCATGTCTCCGCTGGCGCGCTGATTGACGACTCCTTTAAATGGACAACACCGTTTTTCGCCCTTCGAATGGCTTCGTCCAGGCGTTCATTAACTGGAAACCCCAGAAGAAGATTAATGTTTCCAATATATGCGTGCTTCGTTCGGCCAAGTTTAAAAGTTAATATAAAATCAGCAGGTTCCCTCGCAAATTAAACCAACTCAGTTTCTTTACGTTTTCATTGCGCCCATGATGTTAAGGATGTGTGTCGAGTCGGAGAATATGGTCGGCAAGGCCATACGAATTTTGTGTTTGACGCTATGGTGATAGCGTTGCTGGTAGTTGCGGTACGATGCATGTAGTACGTGTTTGCACGTTTTCTGTAATCGACGTTTATCAAGGCAGTTTAGTGGGGCTTCAGTTTATGGCATCGACAGATTCGTGTAAGCCTTAGGTAGGAATACACCGAGTTTAGAGAAAAGAATTTGCATTACGACCAAAGTTTCCGGTTGAAAATTATATGCCGACCCGGATCAAAAACACACTCAGCGTACTTACGTGGCCCTAAAAAAGCATATAAAAAAAATCGGCAAAATTTGTGTGGACGTTTTGGTCGTTTGCAGATGTTATAAGCATATTTCTAAACGCAATGGCCAAATACGCATATTTCAGTAGTACACAGGTTGAATGCACATTAAAAAGGGTGGTACGGATATAAAAATATGCACTAACTGTAAGTACGAGCTATTTGTACTACTCGGGTGCTGAAGTAGTTTAACTACGTGGCAACGATAAACATGGGTATGTACAGTACGAAACCCTTTTGGGTGTGATCTTTGGATCGCTACAGCACACCATATCTGCAAAGAATCGAAAGTGAGCATTTTGTATTACATTACCAATTTAGTACTTACTACGTTCTCGGCTTAGTCCTGTTTGTACGGAGCATGCCATTATGCTCAGCAATACTAGGTTCAAATACAGGATCACGTGTAGTGTGTCGGTAACAAGTAAGGTCATCTTCAAAAGAGTGGACTCCTTGTCAGCAACCTTTTCTGAGCAATTTTAAACAGCGACTAGAACTGTGGCCAGTGCAGCATTACGTGTTTTCCGATTGCTGAGCAACCGAGTTATTTGTAAGAGTGCATAATGCGCGGTTACTGAAAAACTGCAGCTGAACTGTATTTTTATCTGCTGTTAATCAAACCGCAAGGGTGATGGCCGATACTAATCGTATCGTAACGGCAGCTGACGTAAAACACTATACGAAGTTGGCGACGCTATTCCGACAACTGCTATCTGGCTATCTGGTATATAACTAGATTATTAATTTATTAAGCAGTTTGGATACAGTTTTAATTTGGTTATGATTTATGACATTTAGGATGGTCTTATCAGCAATACATACTCTGCACTTGAAACGCTGTGTTTGAGCTTTGCATTCGAGAGCTCTTTAACATGCTCCGTGCAATCCGAACTAAGCCAAGAAATCAGTAAGCATGAATCACTAAAATTCACATTGTCAAAAAAAAAATTGAACAAGCTTTTAACTGGACGCGGACTTCGTTAGTCAATGGACGGCTGAACGATGCAATCCGTAACGCAAAGAACGGATTCGTTTATTTAAGGCATTCAATCAACGAGCAGGCGGAAATACGGTCAACGGATGAAATCATCCGTGCACCAGAGGGATCCACAGTAAGACTGCAATGCAAAGGAGGAGATCCTGTGCCGATAGACCAACAGGAAAAGCCGCAGCTTTGGTTAAACGGAAGACGAGTATTTGTCTCACAACACGAGACACTGCGCCTCGACTTACAGCAATGCAGTTGTCAGGTTGATTCGGCTACCACGTCGTTCTGGAGCAACTATACTCTGGTCAAAAGAAATTCTGATACGGGAGAGTTGATTGCTGATTTATTGGAATTTTCCCACGCCCAAGCGGGGAAATACGAGTGTGTACGGTGCAACGGCAGCTCTTTCTTAACCACCCAGACTTTCGTGGTCAGTCCGACGGTCAACGCATCGCAAGTCTTTCGGCCACCGATGCGCAACGTAACTGTTAGAGCGGGTGACACTGCCCGCTTTCACTGTTACGTAAGGTTTCTGGCCTTGCCGGGTGACTTTGGGACGCGTTTCCTCTGGATAAGCGAAGATCATGTGATCTATGCTAAAGGGTTCAAGGATATTACAGCCGGAAGTTCCACAAGAACCGATTTTAAAACAAGTGTTAACATCGAAACAGATTGAATGTGCCATTGTCACTCTACTCTGGAAATCTTGCGCGTGGACGCCAACCACGCAGGACGCTATCAATGCTGGTTCAGGGTGGATGACATCTTCCATGAATGGGTTATTCAGGAAGTCTTTCTTGCTGTGACAACCTAAAATGTCTGGTACGGAATGGAATAAGTTTTGGAGCCAGATGCGATGGTGTAGCTACTGCAACAATCCTGACGTTTGTTACAGTCAGAGGAAAGTTCTATTACAAACTTCTTCCTTCTTGATTGATTTGTGGGGACTCATTTCGTGTCGTCGTGTATGTACAACAAAAATCAGCAATAAACAATAGTAATCAATATTAAGAAAATCGATAATCATTTGAATTTTAGGAACTGTACAAATGCAATGCGCATAATACTTAATTTTCCACATGCTTTTTAAAAGTTTTTATCAACAGACAGTTTGCATTTGATATTTTTTCTGAGTAACCTGTGTGACCTTTTAATAAGTATACCATGGCGCACTTAGACAATTTGGCTCTTGAGTTTGATGAACTGCATGTGCAGATGTATCCGCTCGAGCCATGCGCCTAGCTGAGTACAGGGAGCTGTGTACGTTATGCCATACAAGGTTTTAGAAGCTTAGAAACAAAAAACACGCGCAAGATTTCTTGCATTTGCGCATGAATTCGTTAAAGGTAGCGATCTGTAGAAAACATTATCGACATTCCATGGTTAAGCAATGCTACCAATGATGCCGCTTTTTGCGCTCCGGATCGCATTGTCTACTAATGTCCAGGAGCTCATTAGCTGACAAACGTAACAGCCTGGCTGCGCTCCCATAGCTAGACAATACGCAATAAAACATAACGAATCAGTATTGTCATTTTCTCCTTTTGATTAGTGAACAGTGAACTCAAGCCATTAATTGCAGTCGCAAGTGGCTTCCATAACCATACCGCAAGGTACCCCATTTTTCAGGTAGCCACGATTAGATAAGATTCTTGCGCAATCCATTCATGGAAGACATCGTCAACCTTGAACCAACACTGGTAGCGCCCGGCGTGGTTGGCTTGCACACTAGAGATTTCCAAAGTTGAGTGGCAATGGCAGAACCCATCCGTTCCGACGTAAACACTGGATTTGAAATTCGACAGCGTGGAACTGCCGGTTTGAAGTTCCTTAAGCCCATCGGCATAAATCACATGATCTTCGTTTCTCCAGAAAAAACGATCACCAAAGTCGCCCGGCATGGCAATAAATTTCACGTAACATTGAAAGCGGGCGGTGTCACCCATCCTGACTGTTACATTAGGCATCGGCGGCTGAAAAACTTTGGACGGCGTGACCGTCGGACTGGCGAAAAATGTCTGGATGGTACGAAAGGGGCTATCGTTAAACTGTATACATTCGTACTTCCCGGCTTGGGCATTGGAAAACGCCAGGATATCTACAATCAGTTCCCCGGTAACAGGATTGCTTTCGGCGATTTCATATTCGGCAGAAAAGCGTGTTGTGTTCGAGTCACCGAGGCAACTGCACCGATGCACTTCGACCGGAATTCTTTCGCTCGCTCCGCTGTGTTTCCGTCTTCCGTTAAACCAGAATTTTGGTTTCTCCTCTTGGCCTGCCGGCACAGGCGCTCTTCCTTTGCAATGTAGTCTAGCCTTTTCTCCTTCCGGTGACCTTATGATGCTATCCGCTGGCCTGATTTCCGGTGGTTTCTTGACTGACAACGCTTTCAAGTCAATGATACCGGCTTTTGCGTCGCGGATCGCATTTTCCAGGAGCTCATTAACTGACAAACGTAACACCTGATTAAAAGGTGTATGTACTTACCGTTCTCTGAAGGCCAAAGCATAGAAGTAGAAGTATAAAGTGTGTACTTATTGAATGCGCATCACAACGGGCAGAGCCGCGATTATCCGTACTTTTGCAATGCTCACATTCCGGACGATTTCATACGGTTAAACATGTACTTCGAGAAACTTCATATTCCGGCACCCTTTTAACTTTATCACTATATCCGGCAGCCGACTAGTTGAAAATGCCACATGAACAACCGCCCCCGTTGGCGACTGCAAGTTATCATTTACACTCGATTCAACTGCTTTCCAAATTTTTCTATTGGTCGGCGCGTACCACCTGTATGAACAGATGTTGCGTCGACCAATAGAAAAATTCGAAAAGCAGTTGAAGCAGCTCATGTTGCATTGTCAACTAGCCGGCTGCCGGAATATAGTAAAAAAGTTAAATGGGTGCCGGAATATGAAGTTTCTCAAAAGTATAGTGTTCACCCTTTAGGGTTGCACAGTATTAGCCGCCAGTAAGTAAGCGCTCTACTTATTTTATTTAACATTAATTATTTACGCTTACTAGCTTCTCGGCTAAACCCTTGCTGTACGGGGCATGTGATAGTTCTCCGGAATATCAGGACCAAGCAGGGCACTACCTGTAGTGCATCCATAAAGGTCGTCTTCAAGGAGACTGTATTCCCTGGCAACTAAGAGTCTTGGGTAGGTTACACTGTGATGAAACTCACTAGAGTATTGCGGTACTTCTATACTGTGAAAATTTTTGATTTTCCGATAGATACACAACTGAGTTACAGTAGTTTTCACAGGGAAGCACTTTGTGAATGACAGCGCCTCAATACGGTACCATGGAATGAGTACTCGTACTGCTGGTTTCGTGCGAAGGAATTTCGCGTTTGTATTAATGCAGTGTTAAATGAATAAATGACATCATCCGCATTCAGCACTTCCATAGTGTTCCAGGGCGTATAGTTAGAACAATCATTTTAACATACCTCTTTGCACCCGCATACGGTATCATCCAGGAAACGTACATACTATACATTCACTATCCAATACGATCCACACTGTAGTTCTAAAGTACTTACTACAGTAACCTTTGCGTGCGGTAATATACGGTAGCACGTCGAACGCGAGTGGCGCACAGCTGAAGTGAAATGAAGGTGAGCCAACTTTCGCTGAACCTGCATCGCTATGAGCCAATCTGAATCGCTGCCGATCTCTTTAAAAGCGAGAATTTGGTTCTCGCAAAAATAATGCACTCCCAAACGTACTCGTAATCCAGATGAGCTTACTCAAAATCACCAATGCAACTATCGATTATTTTATTTAACGTGATTCTTAGTTCTAGCAATTACATTTCTCATGACAAAGAGCAACAAACGTTAAAAAACCGGCACGCCCAACCGCCACGTTTTACCGAACATAAAACCCGCCATTAGCGTCCATATCGCAGCGCAACAAAAATGTCACATCAAAACGCGGAAAAAAATAAACCAGGCTTTTGAGAATGTTGGATCTGGACTTTTTTGGTAAGCAGACTGAGCTGTCTACAGTAATTTTTCTGGGTATCATCTCCTTCCCGCTCCTAGCAGTAACGAGAAAACCGCAGGCCGACGACAATATAAAAAATGGACGATAGTGAATTGGCAGCGGAAGATGTACACTCCGTAAACCTGGTCAAACTGAAGAGGTCGTTCTGCGGATTGATCAGGCTGGGATAGCGCTATGGGATGCTGCTGATTCGGACGGATCCACTTTCGGCTTGATACATCTGCGAAACAGTTCACTTTCTACAGTAATTTTCACATATTGTCGTATAAACTGAAATACGTCGATACGTACGAAGCAGTATCGTGCTGAGTAATTTTTCATCAACGGCAATAAAAAACGAGATTTCGTTCTCCTTCCAGTGTTCGTGGCAGACGGATCCCACTAAAAATGTCAACGCTTGTATACATTGATTAATTCGTGGTATATGCGTTCTTAATTGCTGTTAGGTTGATTTCTTGAACCGTTTTTGGACATTGTGCGCTGCTGTCAGCGGCTCAGCCGTCGTCGGCTGAAAACGCACAAACGAGCCGCGAGCGCATCCGAATGACATCTTGATTCCTTGCCGGCATTTAGGTTCCACGTTGTTGCCGGGAACCAAACCGACTACGCAATCTCCCGGGAAGGGGCATGATGCGACCGTTGGGATCCGTGAAGTATGACTTAGGAATTCGCGAATTTGATACCACGTACCGCACCTGTGGCACGTTTCGTAACAAAGGCAAAACGTGGATCGTTTTTTTGCCTTCTTGTAGCCACAGTAGACATCTGTAGTCTGTGCACACGCTGTAGACAACCTGTAGTCCTACCGGCAGTCATCTGGCTTCTTAGCCTGTTTTGGGTGTAGAGTATACAGGGTATCTACAGGCTGTCTACAGGGTGTACAGGTCTACACAGATGACCACAGTGACTACAAGAAAAGAAAATACGTTCCAGTTTTTTTTTTATTTGATACGAAACTTTCCATATATAATTAAAAGGTTTGGAACATACGCATACAAAATACAACGCGAAACCTCAAAAACCGTCGTACACTTTCTATCTGACAATCGAAAACGCAAGCTTATATACAGTGGCCAAACCAGTATAATGTCATAGGCTTCCTTCAGCTTTCTGGTGCGTGTCACATTCTTTAGGCAATAACAGTTAAGTAAGCTTCTTGGGTAATCCATTCATGGAAGACGTCATCAACCTTAAACAAGCATTGGTAGCGCCCGGCGTGGTTGGACTGCACGTGCAAAATTTCCAGGGTAGAGTGACACTGGCACATTCCATCAGTCTGGATATGAACATTTGCCTCAAAGTTTTTCATTGTGGAGTGGCCGGTCTGGATTTCCCTATTCCCAGGAGAATAAATCACATGATCTTCGTCCCTCCAAAGAAAACGTTTTCCAAAATCGCCCGGCATGGCTAGGAATTTTACGTAACAAGGAAAGCGGGCGGTGCCACCCACCCTGACCGTTACGTTAGGCATCGGTGGCCGAAAGACTTGGGACGGCGTGACAGTCGGACTGACAAAAAAAGTCTGGGTGGTGAGAAGTGAGCTGCCGTTATATCGTAGACACTCGTATTTCCCGGCATGAAAATGAGAAAACGCCAGAAAATCAACAATCATTTCACCCGTAGCAGGATTGCTTTCGACGAGGGTATACCTGCTAGAAAAAGGCGCAGCAGCTGAATCAACGAGACAACTGCATCGCTGTATCACAGACGGAAGTGTTTCGGATTTCACGGTGAACATTCGCCTTCCGTTCAACCAGAGTTGTGGCTTTCTCCTCTTGGCCCACCGGCACAGGCACTCCGCCTTTGCAGTGTAGTCTTGCTGTTCTTCCTCTGGTGACCTGATGATGCTATCCTCTGGCCTTGTCTCCACTGGTTCGTTGATTGAAGACTCTTTTAACTGAATGATACCGTTTTTTGCACTCCGGATTGCATTGTCCAGACGCATGTTAACTAAAAAACCAAAGGTTAAAGGTTTGGTCACTTTTCTTGCACGCTAAAACAACCGCGCGCGTTTATTTGCTTGTCGTATGCATATTTATGTGCTTTTCTGAGAATAATGGGCAAAACATCATGCGAGAATAATCGCAAACCACAAGTCCACAACTATATTTATGCCGTTTGTCTGTAGTGCACGAGTTTCACTACTGAATAATTTCGGTGCACTGTCATAACATTACTGTGCCAAAAGCTCATGCATTAAATTATAAAAGCCGATTTCCTTTTGCAAACCTCTGCAACTTCTAAGCTGCAAACCGCGCTCAATGCACCGCTGCAACTAACTCTGTATATGTGTTGGTTCTCTGGTTAGTTATTAAGACGAGTAATTTTTTACCTACGTCAAAATCAATTCTAAAGCGTAAGGGCGATGTCGTTGATTAAAATGATAAATGACTGATATTGATTTTATCTTTTTGATTACACACACGTCTACATAACTTTGTAAAGAAACATGACATCGCACTACACAGAATCAAAAAGCAGCAGTCACTGATCGTCTGAGAACAGAGAGCAACTGATTTAGATTTGCTCCCGGTGAACCTCTTCGGCAGATTATTTGTCTCTGATTGAATTTATCGAAGTGCGCTGCGACATTAGAATTTCCACCTCGCTCTCACAAGGCAAAGTTAGTTCCACCTATATTTCGTGGCGGATGCTTTCTCAAATCTTGGAATCGAAGATTGCGAACGCGTACACTGACCGTACACTGGTGAGTGGTGAGTAAGGTTTGTACTTTTTTATCAAGAAATAAATTCCTAACTTGTGCGAAAAGGTCTCAAAGGGGGCAAATGACCATTGCTTTCGAGAAAAAAATTACAACGCATTAAAATTCAATGCAGTTAACTTGCAATAATGCAGAAATGCAGAAATGACTTGCGCGTATCTGCAAGTGCATTTTTCAATCTTTAACACAAGAAAATGTTAATATTTCGAAAAACGCCAAATTCAGGTCATACACGGATTTGGCAACATTGATATAACGTTCTATCTAACCGCGAAAGCACGTTTGTATTCCCTTTAGAATTTCTTGTTCGAACAGGACGTGAATAAGAAAAAGCGTCAACGTAACATCGCATTACCCAGAAATAAATATAACTTCAGCAAAATATAACTATAGCATGTATCTTGGCTCTTAGGCATCATAGGTGGCCTAAAAACAAACCGCGACCAATCCAGATTTATTTCCGGTGAGATTGTTTGATATCATTTGTCGCTGATTGAATCATACGAAGTGCATATAGCGAGATAACGATTGCATATACATATGACATAAAGCGGTCTCCAGTTTTAAGCAGAGGCGTGCCCATTTTAAAGGAGTAAATAGTACACTAGAAAAGTGCACTCGCTTTTTGCGAGCACTGCGTGACCGAAGCGTAGCGTGCTCGTATGACGGTTTTTTTCCGGACTATAACATCATTTAACGATGCAGTCTTTTTTAAAGTTATTATCTTTACAAAAAATTCGAGACAATAATCGCGCAATTTCCACAAAGAATTCTTGGAAACGTTTCCAATCAATCACGCTTTGTTTTTGGTACTGCCTATTAGCGACAAAGAAATTTTAGTTAAGAATAATGCGCACTCCATACAGCGTTTACATAATACTCCATGCGGCATACGTTTTTTCAACTTTTTAATCGAAAAGCATGGAGGGAATGCGAACGAGATTTTGCGCTCGAAAACTTTATCAGGCTTTGTAACTTTTGGTCTGTTTCCGGTACAATCGAAGTACGTAGAAACATGGAATACATACAGGCGAGATCGACGTGGCCTGTGCAGTGCGCCCGTATTTTCACGTTTTGGTGCTTGTATTCTGCTTGGTTATATTGATCTGCCGATAAAGCGCGCTAAAATTTTTTCGATGCAGCGTGCAGCATAAAGGGCCAACATTTTTGATTATACCATAATATTATAATTTATAATGAAAACATCAAGGCTAATTTTTACAAACCAGAAATTATAATTTCAAGAAACGCAAGGTTACCGAAGAGCTTAAAATCGAATCACATTGAATAACTCGAGCACTGATTAAATATAGCACAGTAATCAATTATACCGCCTCCGGCGTATCTCGAGATTGGAAGTTTGTTATCATGAATGCTTCATGGTAACTTCCAACAAACAAACTTGAGTCAGCCTGCATGAGAGAGTCCATATGACTTTATCATGGCCGACTCAAGTTACTGGGCGGTGGGCTGTGACCTTTAACTTCCAACATACGATGTCGGGTAATTACTCGTTATTCTGTACTTCACATAATAAAAATTTGTACGCATTTTCGTTTTCAATGTTTAAGTCTCGAGATTCAACGTGGTAATGCTCAGAGCGTTCTGGGAGCTGTTCCGTCTTAAGCTAACTGGTGCAAGGGATGTGCTAGGATCGTATAGAACTTCGGAAAAAATCTGCCGATTGAGGGAATCGAACCCACAACCTCCATACTCTAAGGCCGAGAGAGGCACCACTAGGCTATCGGCAAAGCATACAAATTCTATCGAAATGTTTTATCTAACGATCCTATAGAGAGCGGATGCCGCTCTAACACTGGAAAGGATTTTTTATTTACGACATGTGAAGCAAGACGTGGTCGCTTATTAAGCACACTGAATAAAGGTTTGTTACATAATGATATTATTCTTAGTTCGGGGATTCGATTAATAATTACTTATTCAGCGGTTCAATAAAAATCCTCAGAGAAGTAGCAAGTGCGTAACTACATAGTTACGGTAACGCGCAAACGGTATGTAAACTACTAAACACAAACGCACGGCTAATCTCTGAGCATTCAAACACATTTTAAGTGTTACCACCAGATCTGTTCAGTTTTTTCGACAATGCTGTTTTTTCGATAACTTTAATAGCTAACGACGTTTTGAAGAATACGCAGTAAAAAACGGTATGAATAGTTATAAGCCAAAATATGCATGCTTGCTGGGCTTTAATCGTGCTCCTAAGAACTGGTCCATCGAAAGGCTGCGATGCGAAGCTTGCTCAGTTGATTTATGAGTACAGTACCCGACTACCGGGTATAAACGATACGCAGTTAATTACTTAATCCTTACTCAGTTCTCGGGTTAATCCGGCCTGTTTTACTGGGCATGGCTTTGTACTTTGTAGGACCAGGACCATGGAGAGCACCAGTTCCAGCATCTCCAGAGCGGTCATTTTCAAAGAGACTGGGTTCCTTGGCAACAAAAACTTTGTATTAATGGTTCACAAGGATAGGATGATTTTACTTTAACTGTAAATTCCCCGCTGGCCGCACAAATGCGCAGGTATCCAAAATAAAACACTTCCTAAATGACAGCGCTTCAATACTTCGGCATAGGAGTTTGACGATCAGCTGGCCGGGCAATGGTGCATAGCTTTTCATCATCGCCCCTGAACAAGCAAAAAACTAAAAGCTGCGTGCATTAGAGATCGGAATCGGATAAGGTTTCTTTATCCTAAACCTATCCGACACTTATTAAAATTGTTCTTAACCGAACCCTTATCCGAAATTTTTATATTTCTTCATACTTATCCTATCCTTATTCGCCACTCGGATATCCTAATATCATCGGATAATTGTCCACAAAGGCAATTTTTACAAGAAAACATTTGAACTCATTATTCACCGCAGTTGAATCAAAAAAAGTTTGTGATGGCGTGTGGAGTCACTGATACCGCGTTAAAAAATATTCTCCTTAACAATAACAAGAGAATTCGGCTTATTGAATAAAAATTATAAGCAACGTTAACCAGCATAGTTTAATAGTACTTGTTCAAGGTTTTCAAGAAACATAAGGAAAGCTTTTATATGCTCCATACAAAAAGCGGATACTGAAGCTGCAATTAGACTGACGAGTTGCCGCATAAGGAGAAAGAAACAACTGAATCCTGCTGTCAGAAGTATACTGCAGATTTCCGGTATGTATCCGTGAGTCAAGCAATTACCATGGCAGTTGACTGTAAATATAGATTTATTTGAAAGGTAAACACTGCTTCGTGTGACACGAAGCACGAAATGGCAATTAACAGACCAGTAACAAGGCAGAGTAACAAACCAAACCTGCTCTTCAAAGCTTAAGCTTAGGAAAATCGCTATGATTACAGAAAAAACCACACCCTTCTAGTTCTAGTCCTTTTATAACGTTTCCGCCGCACAGCAAAAATGTCAGTTATTCACAATTAGATAGGCTTCTTGAATTCCCCATTCGTGAAAGACGTCATCAACTCTAAACCAGCACTGATAGCGCCCGGCATGTCTGGCCTCCACGCGAGAGATTTTCAAGGTCGAGTGGCAGTGACACTTTCGATCCGTTGCGATGTGAACATCTGCATTCAAGTTGGCCAGCTAGCTTGGTTTGAAATTCCTTAAACCCTTTGGCATAAATCACATGATCATCGTTTCTCCAGAGAAAGCGATCTCCGAAGTCGCCCGGCATTGCCAGAAATTTTACGTAACATGGAAAACGGGCGGTGCCACCCACTCTGACAGTCACGTTGGGCATCGGTGGCCTAAAAATTTGAGACGCGGTGATCGTCGGACTGACGAAAAATGTTTGGGTGGTCAGAAAGTCGCTGCCGTTGTACTGTACACATTCGTATTTCCCGGCATGGGCATGGGAAAATTCCCGTAAATCGGTAATCAGTTCTCCCGTAACTGGGTTGCTTTCGATAAGGCTATAATTGCTATGAATTAACGCAGCTGCCGACTCAACGAGGCAGCTGCATCGGTGCATCTCGAACGACCTGCTCTCTGATTTCGAGGCAAACAATCGCCTTCCATTTAACCAGAGCTGCGGTCTTTCCTCTTGTCCCGCCGGCACCGGCTTACCGCCTTTGCAATGTATTCTCGCTGTTCTTCCCTCCGGTGCCCTAATAATGCTATCTGCTGGCCGAATCTCCACTGGATCAGTGATTGAAGATTGTTTCAAATAAACAATATCATTCTTTGCGCTGCGGATTGCTTCGTCCAAGTGTCCATTAACTAATAAAACCGATGCAAGATTAAAGATTTGCGCACCTTTTTTTGTGGCATTTCTTTCAAACGTTTGTTTTTCTTTAAAAACTGACTTGCGATGGCAAATCTGGCCGCTAATGGGTATCGAACGATACGTAGACATAAAAGTTTGGTTCAGTGGATCGGACTAGTGAACTCGACAGAGTAAGAAGTTCGTAAAGGCTTACGCGGTTATTATATAGTGAAGTGAGTTTTAGAACATGTAAAGGAGTTTTAGAACATGTAAAAGCAAGACGTTGTCGCTTGTTAAGCACACTGAATAAAGGCTTGTTACATGATGATATTATTCTTAGTTCGGTGATTCGAATAGTTACTTATTCGGCGGTTCAGTAAAAATCCATAGAGGAGTAATAAGTGCGTAAGTAATTACGGTAACGCACAAGCGGTATGTTAACCCAAGGGCAGGGCTAACGTCTGAGCATTCAAACACAGATTGAACGTTACCATCAGATTTGTACAGTTTTTTTCCAACAATTGCTGTTTTTTTTTCGATAATTCTATAGCTACCGTTGTTTTGAAAAATACGCATTAAAAAACGGTATGAATAGTAATAAGTCAAAATATGCATATATGCTGAGCTTTAATCGTGCTCCTAGAAACTGGTCCATCGAAAGGTCTGCGATGTGACGCTTGCCCCGTAGATTTACGAGTACAGTGTACCTGGGTATAAAAGGTACGCAATTAATTAATTCTTACTAAGTTCTCGGGTCAATCCGGCCTGTTTTACTGGACATGGTAATGAACTCTGTAGTACCAGGACCACGGAGAGCACCAGGTGCAGCATATCCAAAGCGGTCATCTTCAAAGTGACTGGGTTCCTTGGCAACAAAAGCTTTGTATTAACGGTTCACAACGACAATGATTTACTTTAACTGTAAATTCCCCGATGGCCGACAGTTGTGCAAGTATCCGAAATAAAGCACTTCCTAAATGATAGCGCTTAGTTACTTCGGCGTAAGTGTTTGATGAACAGCTGGCCGGGCAATGGTGCGTGGCTTTTGATCATCACCATTCAACAGGCAAAACACTAAAAGCTGCGTACATCACCAGTCTCGTCCGATTGGCAGTGGTACGCGTCTCCGGCGAAAGAGAATCCACCCACGCACGTGGCTTTGTGCAGTAATTCTCGTTCAACGCTACAATACAACAACAACCAGCGTTCAAATTAAATTCAATCTAGTTAGTTTAACTTCGTAAATTGTAATCATGCAGATTGGAGACTGGCCGAAAAGTATGCATGTCACAGTACTGATATCAGAAGTTGATGCAACACGCAAATTAAGCTTTCCACTGCCGTAAATTGCTAGTTAACAGCGGCAGCTAGATGACGTATTGAGATCGAACCTTGAATGAGGTCGTTGGTGCGCTGCCGGGACGCAGCGATACATGTACGTGTTACGACAGTGCTGAACGCACCGTATAACCCGGACGTCCCAGGTGCACCACTGCCCGATCCGGCCGCTTCCTTCTCCCCATGCCGGGCACCGCCCACGCTCCATCGAACAGCTCATGTAGTGCTTTTTCGGTACGCCACACGCTGGTACAGTTTGATCGGGCGGCTACAATAAGCGGTTCCGATATAAAAAATGCAGGGAGAAGGAAGCGGCCGGATCAGACAGTGGTGCACCTGGATATCGTCCGGGTACGGTGCGTTCAGCGCTGCCGTGACACGTACTGTGATGTACATGTATCACTGCGTCCCGGAAGCGCACCAACGACGTCATCAAAGGTTCAATCTCAAGACGACATCTAGTTGCGCTGTGTACTCGCAATTTACGGCAGTGGAAAGCTTTGCGTGTTATATCAACTCCTGATATCACTGTTACATGCTTATAAAAATAACTACAGTATGTGCGACTCCCCGACGGTGATCCGCGTCGGGAAATTCCGCATGCATGTCGTCTCCAGGATGACATCGTCGTCGTCCGTCAATTGCCACTGCCGCAATGATGTCCCGGAAGCGGCAAAACGGAACTGGACATCTGATTCCAAGGCGTGCCATGCAGCTACTCCGCTCGCTTAGCCACAGTGGAAAAACACAGTTTGGCTCAGGGTCAAACTACACATGTATCCGCTCGAGCTACACGAAAAAATTCATTTCGTTAACAGGAATTCGCAAATTTGGGGTTCTATCTGTACCATCCGCGAGTGGCAAACATGACGGCTTTAAACGACTGCCTGACGGTGATCCGCGCCGGGAAATCCCGCATACACGTCGTCTCCAGAATGACATCGTCATCGTCCGTCGAATTCCCGGTGTTTTGCCGCATTGACGTCCCGGAAGCGGCAAAACGGAACTGGACATTCGATTCCATGGCGTGCCAGCTTCTCCGCTCGCTCAGCCATTGCGGAAACACACAGTTTGGGCAAGGTAGCCTCGCGCATCCGCGCTCGGCACTTAAGTACTGGATAGCACTGGCTTTGTTTTGGAAAGGTCATTATAAATTGAAGTATATAAAGGAAATAGACTAAGATTGAAATCGGATCTACGCTTTCGTAGTAGTGTTTTATAAGGCGTATTAACGTTCTAAGGTTTTAATTTTTTACGCTCTGATGTTCTGACGTTCTGATGTTTCACGTTTGGATTTTCTAACGTTCTGACCTTCTGACGTTCTTAACTTCTGACGTTCTTACTTTCTGACGTTTTTTCACTTTTCACAATCTGACATCCTGATGTTCTGACGTTCTGATGTTTCACGTTTGGACTTTCTAACGTTCTGACCTTCTGACGTTCTTAACTTCTGACGTTCTTACTTTCTGACGTTTTTTCACTTTTCACAATTTGACATCCTGATGTTCTGACGTTCTAACGTTCTGATATTCTGACGTTCTGAATTTATGACATTTTGACGTTTTTAATTTTTCACGTTCTGACGTTCTGACCTTTTAACGTTTTATTTTTCACATTCTGACATTCTGACATTCCGCTGTTCTGACGTTCTAACGTTCTGATATTCTGGCGTTCTGAACTTCTGACGTTCTGACGTTTTTAATTTTTTACGTTCTGACCTTCTGACGTTCTAATGTTCTGACGTTCTAACGTTCTGACGTTCTAACGTTCTGATATTCTGACATTCTGATATTCAGACGTTCTGAATTTCTGACGTTTTTGATTTTTCACGTTCAGACGTTATTAATTTTTCACGTTCGGATTACCTGACGTTCTGTCTTTTGGCGTCCTGACTTCTGATGTTTTTACGTTCTGACGTACAGATACGGTGTAGGCGGCATACTGGGCAATGTACTTGACCGTTTATGGAGGTTTACGTAATTTGCTGCTCACATAACAATTTTTCATCTACAATCTACATTAAAAAGGAAGTATGTATTTATGTATCCGTTATAGTCTCCGTGGTTACAGTCATTGTGTTATGGGCTTTTCATAACTGTGCAGTGAATACAGTACTTACTTCTTCGAGTGCTCTTTACGTTTCCTATACTTAAGACCTGGTGAAACCATCTTCTGACCACTGGGTAATAAAAACAAACAAAAATCTATTGGCACACCTATGGAAAATATGGAATTTTTTAAGATCAAGCTGGACTTAAACTGACCACGCGTTGACGAGCCTATTAAAACGGCGCATAAATACGCTTTGGTCGGTAAGCTTGTATGAATATAAAGAAAAGATATAAAGATATAAAGATAATGGGAAATACAGCTGTAATTAAGCTTCTTGTTTCCCTCACCTTTTTACTTGTGCGAATTAATTGGGTAAATCAAAGTACAATAAATGTTTTAGAAATCTAATATTTTACTGCTATTTTTGTTTTTTTACCTGGTGTCATTGTTAACATCTGCGGTCCTTCCTGTGGGGAAAAGAGTGCATTACATGTTGCGTCGGCCGACTGCGCCAACTGAACTCCAGAGTCCGTCATCTTATACATCTGTACAATAATTTGTCAGACATAAAATACTTAACCTTTACGTTTCGACGATAATTATCCCGTATTCTTACAAAGCAGTGAAATATTTCTTCGTTACTGTTGGCCATGGTGTGTGTGATGCGACCGATAAGGTACCGGTTCACTCCGTTGCGCCACGATCCCAAACACTCCAGTCTGACATCTGTATTGCAATAAAAATACATAAAAATGAATTAATCGCGCTAAAAAAACAACGGAAATAAAAATCATTCGAGTCTTCGTCGGCTCTATCAATCGTACTGCGTTCTTCCGTGGCATCCGGGCAGGATCTATAATCCAGCATCATCTTCGAGTCAATAACAAGAGGTTTCCGTCTGCGGCACCAGGTTGCTGCGTTTCGTGGGGCCTTGTTTGTATGTGAGAGAATACCGTCCATTAAAGGTACACTGTTCCGGTTCCACAAATCATAATAAAAACAATATCATCTTATTTCCTATAATATTAACAAGTGGGAGAAACGAAATTTTAATTTACAAAAGCAAAAATATTATTGAATCAATATTAATAAATTCGAGGGTTCCATACAGGATTAAACCAAGTACTTACTACTTAGGATTCGATTCTGGTATCAGAGACAATGCCCTAAATATAAAGCTATTTTATGCATAAATTAAATTAAAAAAATTGGTTCCAGCTCGGAAAATAACAGATTCAAATGCACAAAATGAGAATCGAACCTAGTATAGTATCTGTACGTGACTTCTTTGCAGATGTCTTACTAGTTCTTAGCTTGGTCCTGTTTGCATGGGACGGGGCAGGCTGGGTTGGTCCGGAATCCCTTCGAATACATAAAATGCAGAACCAAGACAGCACATCCAAAACAGATTTTAAATCCGAAAATAATTTTCAAAATTTTTACAAGATTTCACAGTGCTGTAAGCTGCATTAATAATTCAAAATCCAAAAAATGTACAGTACTTCAAATTAGTACTGTAATTCAGTAATTGTTTTTATTTGCTGTTTCGTGTTTACGCGATATTAAGGGAAATCAAACCGCACTTCGCGTCGCGCTTCGTTGATACTTGTGCCAAGGAACCGACGCCCGGGCGCCTGCGGGCAATCTACGGGGATTCATAATTCCTTAATATTTTTGATAATGGTATGACATGGTTAATATTATTTACTAAAGATTTAATATCTTGTACATACCGTGCAGCCATAAATGCTGAATCTGCTGTGAGCCATTAGATAGTCTGTTACATCGTACTCGTAGCTAGTGCTTGATGCAGCACTCTTTCGATGGCCTTTGGAATTATATAAATTTTCTCGATCGCACAGATTACGATTAATTAAGTTGAAAGATCTAACACATACTGCGGTACTTCTACAAACAGTTAGATACATTTTTCAATCGCTTCTTTGTTAAAGCCTGCAATACAGAGCTTCTATATAGCGCAACATCGAACGTTCACACGCACATAAACACCAGTTTTGAATATTTCCGCTTTACCCTCCTTGTTGTTTTTTGTCCGCGACGGTTAGCAGAACAACCTTGTCGAAAAATTAGGATAGTGCTGCATTCTTGCTAAATCAAGAGACAAATTCTAGATCCGCGTTACAAGGCGTCCCTTTGGATGCCAAAACAGTCGAAAAGGCGGCGTCCATAATTCTGCGCAAAATCGCCGTTGAATGTGTCCGTAAATTAGTTATTTTTCGATTAATTGATCACCCCATCGTTACTGATGCCCTTTACAACAATTATGCAATAAAAGGCGCAAAGCAAAAAAATGTACGCAATGGCGAATACAGTCGGATGATGTAACCTTGTAAGTGTGTGCGATGTAGACATGATGCGTGGCCTAGACTCCAACTCTGACTCTGACTCTGATTCTGACCGCTCCAACTCCGACTCTGACTCTGAAGGTTTTTTAGGTTTCTTAGGTTTCTTAGGTTTCTTTGGTTTCTTAGGTTTCTTAGGTTTCTTAAGTTATTCTTAGGTTATTCAGTCAGAGTCAGAGTTTGAACAGTCAGAGTCAGAGTTTGAACAGTCAGAGTCAGAGTTTGAGCGGTCAGAGTCTGAGTCAGAGCTTGAGCGCGGGCCCAATGCCAGCCCTTAGATACACACACATACACAGAGAGATACACAGAGGCGCACAGAGACTCACAAGTCAAAGATACACAGATACACAGAGATACAAAGATACACAGAGACGCAGGACCTGCCACACGCAGCATACACGCAACTACGACGTAACATCGCCAGCCATCATGCATTTCTTTCTGATTCAGAAACGTTGACGTTATCGAAAGGACAAACCATCGGTATTGTGGTCACATAACCTTACCGCGACAGACCACAATTTTCTAAGTAATTGCAACTAGGTAAGCTTCTTGAACGATCCATTCGTAGAAGACGTCATCAACCTTGAACCAACATTGGTAACGCCCGGCATGGTTGGCCTGCACGCTCAAGATTTCCAGAGTCGAGTGACAGTGGCAAAATCCATCCGTAGATATGTGAACGGTTGTCCTAAAATTAGTCATTGTGGAACGCCCGGTCTGGAATTCCTTAATCCCATCAGCATAAATTACGTGATCTTCGTTTCTCCAGAGAAAACGATCCCCAAAGTCTCCCGGCATGGCTATGAATTTCACGTAGCATGGAAAGCGGGCGGTGTCACCCACTCTAACGGTCACGTTGAGCATCGGTGGCCGAAAGACTTGAGCAGGTGTGACTGTTGGACTGACAAGGAATGTTTGGGTGGTGAGAAAAGAGCTGCCGTTGTACCGTCGACATTCGTATTTCCCGGCATGGACATGAGAAAATGCCAGTAAAACAATAATCATTTCTCCCGTGCTGGGATTACTTAGGTCGACGGTGTACTTGTTAGAAAACAGCGTAGCAGTCGAATTAACAAGGCAACTGCATGTCTGTACCTCAAACGGCAGCGTTTCTGATTTCACAGTGAATTTTTGCCTCCCGTTCAACCAGAGCTGTGGCTTTTTCTCTTTGCCCACCGGCACAGGATCTCCTCCTTTGCAGTGCAGCCTCACTGTGCCTCCTTCGGGTGACCTGACGATGTTCTCGGTTGGCCATATCCCCGGGGGCTTGCTGATTGAAGACTCATTTAAATGGACAATACCATCCTTTGCGCTGCGGATTGCGTTGTCCAGGCGTCCATTAACTAAACAAACCCAACACAGGATTAAAAGTTCCTTCCTTCTGTGCTGGCCGAGTCAACCGCGCATACAGCTTAGGACGAAATGGTCGCATAGCCCCATACCCAGCATTCTATGTATACGAGGAGGATTATAGTTGAGTCGGTAGCGCATAGCTGCTGTGAGTTAAACTGAACACCATTTCGGTAAGTTTGTGACGTAACAGCCAACCGTGGATGGTTGCACAAACCAATAGCTGCGATTGGTAAGCAAACAGTGCAACCCCCCACGACTGACTGCAGTTCAGTTGTTGGAAATGCAACCTTCCACGGTTGACTGTTACGTCAATAGCTTATGGAACTGGTGGTCGGTTTAAGTTTAACTAGCTGCAGCTATGCGCTACCGACTCAACTATAATCCTCCTCGTACGCATGCGGTGCAGTGCACTTGTACGAACCGGATATTTTGAACTTAGTCGTACAGTGCACTGCACCGCATGCGTACTGAATGTGGATATGTTGGGTGTGCGGCCATTTCGTCCTAAGCTGTATGTTTGCATTTTTTTTGTACAAAGTAATTTTATATACTTTTTCAGGACTAATTCGAAGAATGGACAAGGTCGCAATTATCATTACACATAAACACAAGTACAATGACCAAACTATGTTTCGCTCTTAGTGAGATGCTTTAAGAGCATTGTTTTAATATTCAGGAAATGACCATAGTTACGCCCTAGGCCGGGTAGGCCCTACACTCCCTTTGATTATTAGCACTCCCTACCACAACCGCTTTTGGCTATTGCCACTACTTTTAATTTGGTGCATATATGAAAATTTGTCACCAGCGGCTTTTTTTTCATTTGGCTCTGATTATCACCTGCAGGGAAAGGTGGCAAGCGAAACTTGCTGACACAAGTTATACCTAGGGGTCGCTAAGATTCGTTTTCTTAAAGTCAAATTTAGCACCTCCAACAGTTCTTTTAAGTGTTTCCGCCGCAAATGTGACTGCAAAATGACCGGAGTTGTGACTATCTTTCTACGGTGCACGCGTGGAAACTGTACAAATATTTAGTGTCATGAGACCGGCATAAATATAACGGTGTGGCTGTTGTCATCCGGTTCATCCCCTGCACTCCATTTTGAATAGAGTTACTACCATTTAAAAATTAAAGCTATCGAGCAGATGCTGGACAATATATTGCTTAATTACATCTGTGACTACCAAAATCTTAGGATCAACGGAAAACCGTGACACTTTACGTACTCTCCAATGCACGACATAAAAAATTTCGCTGAATGCTAGGAGCTCGTTACATTTATAAAGACCAGATTTTTCTGTGCACTGTACGTAAGCACTAGATTTAATCACAACGAAGATGCTGTTGATTAAAATTATGGATTTTACATAATTCCTTAATGCATACACGTCAGCACAGCGACGTAGAAAAACAGTCAACAAAACATCGCATTACAAGATATAGTTATTAGAGAACAAACAGGTCAAAACTCAAAATTTGCATGTTTTTTAAAGCTACGTGGGTTCACAGCTTTGCTTGCCCAAGCGGTGCATCGGTACTCGGTATCGAAGGTGAAACGCGGCAGAAAGCAGTATTGTGCTGCCATTTCAATTCACAGAGCTACAATTATACACGGACGGTAGAATTAGAATCACGTCTACCATGCCGACCGCCCGGGGTGGTGTTCAGCAACCCCATGTTTTGCCAACTTCCAACAACCAAACCGCATGGTGCATGTTTGGCGTCCGAACCGATATTAAATTATTCTGGTTACGTAGTGATAAGAATCTGTCGAAAGTGCACCCGCCCGTGTATTCACAACCCTTCATGGGCAATGGTGTTGGCACGCAACACACGTTTTTGACGGACTGCGGTCATCTATGGTTCAACTCACAGAATCTGCGTTGGACATTTTTGAATAAAGCGTTATCAATTGTACCTTGCTGATTTATTTCCGATTTAATTACTCACCCACTAATTAGTTAATTAGCAAGATCTGCGAGAGGTCAGAAAGTCCGAAATTGGTCATTTTTGGACACCTGTAGTTTGTAATTAACTTATGATACAAGTTTGAGTTCTGTTGTTACTGCTGCTTTAAGGTCCCTTGTTGCTAATTATGCAAAGGGATATCAATTAAGTGTTCGCGATCACTTGGAAAAAAATCCTGAACACCATGTTGCGCCCTGACGCCAATGCCCGTCAAGTATGCAATAAATACCGTCTTCGTAGTAATAACACATTGTTCATAGTGGTTAGACGAAAACTACTACTTAAACATAAGTGCCAGAATTTTCTTTTTCCGGGACTAACTTGAAACTTCTATTCCCCCTACACAATACCCATAAAATAAAGTGTGTTAACATTTTTTCAATGCAACGGGCAACACAGAGGGCCACGATTTTCGATTATACCATGATAAAATAATTTAAAATAAAAAATCAAGGCTAATCTTTACAGACTAGAAATTATTATTTCAAGAAACGCAAGGTCACCGAAGAGCTTAAAATCGAATCACGTTGAATAACTCGAGCATTGAATGATTATACTATGAGTATACCACAGCGATTGATTATACGTCTACGGCGTAGCTCGAGTTCAGAAGTTTGACTTTATCACGGCTGACTCTAATTACTGGGCACTGGGCTGTGACCTTTAACTTCCAGCATACGATATCGGGTAGTTACTCGTTATTTTGTACTTCACATAATAAAAATTTGTACACATTTTCGTTTTCAGCGTTTAAGTTTCGAGATTTAACGTGGTAATGCTCAGAGCGTTCTGGGAGCTGTTCCGTGTTATGGTAACTGGAAAGAAGTTTTAGAACATGTAAAAGCAAGACGTTGTCGCTTGTTCAACACACTGAATAAAGGTTTGTTACATGATGATATTATTCTTAGTTCGGCGATTCGAATAGTTACTTATTCAGCGGTTCAATAAAAATTCATAGAGGAGTAATAAGTGCGTAAGTAGTTACGGTAACGCACAAGCGGTATGTAAACCCAGAGGCACGGCTAATCTCTGAGCATTCAAACAAAGATTGAATGTTGCCATCAGATTTGTACAGTTTTTTTCAACAATGCTGTTTTTTGATACTTAATTCTATAGCTACCGACGTTTTGAAAAATACGCGTTAAAAAACGGTATGAATAGTAATAAGCCAAAATATGCATGTATGCTGTGCTTTAATCGTGCTCCTAGAAACTGGTCCATCGAAAGGTTTGCGATGTTACGCTTGCCCCGTCGATTTACGAGTACAGTGCACCTGGGTACAAAAGGTACGCAATTTAATTAATTCTTACTAAGTTCTCGGGTCAATCCGGCCTGTTTTACTGGACATGGTAATGAACTCTGTAGTACCAGGACCACGGAGAGCACCAGGTGCAGCATATCCAAAGCGGTCATCTTCAAAGTGACTGGGTTCCTTGGCAACAAAAGCTTTGTATTAACGGTTCACAACGACAATGATTTACTTTAACTGTAAATTCCCCGATGGCCGACAGTTGTGCAAGTATCCGAAATAAAGCACTTCCTAAATGATAGCGCTTAGATACTTCGGCGTAAGTGTTTGATGAACAGCTGGCCGGGCAATGGTGCGTGGCTTTTGATCATCACCATTCAACAGGCAAAACACTAAAAGCTGCGTACATCACCAGTCTCGTCCGATTGGCAGTGGTACGCGTCTCCGGCGAAAGAGAATCCACCCACGCACGTGGCTTTGTGCAGTAATTCTCGTTCAACGCTACAATACAACAACAACCAGCGTTCAAATTAAATTCAATCTAGTTAGTCTAACTTCGTAAATTGTAATCATGCAGATTGGAGACTGGCGTATGCATGTCACAGTACTGATATCAGAAGTTGATGCAACACGCAAAAGCTTTTCAATGCCGTAAATTGCTAGCTAACAGCGCAGCTAGATGACGTATTGAGATCGAACCTTGAATGAGGTCGTTGGTGCGCTGCCGGGACGCAGCGATGCATGTACGTGTTACGGCAGCGGTGAACTCACCGTATAACCCAGACGTTGCACCACTGCCCGATCCGGCAGCTTCCTTCTTCCTGCCGGGCAAAGCCCACGCTTCATCGAACAGCTCATGTAGTGCTTTTTCGGTGCGCCACACGCTGGTACAGCTTGATCGGGCAGCAACAATAAACGATTCCGATATAAAAGTGCAGGGAGAAGGAAGCGGCCGGATCGGGCAGTGGTGCACCTGGATCGTCTGGGTTATACGGTGCGTTCAGCGCTGCCGTGACACGTACATGTATCGCTGCGTCCCGGAAGCGCACCAACGACGTCATCAAAGGTTCAATCTCAAGACGACATCTAGCTGCGCTGTGTATACTTGCGATTTCGGGCAGTGAAAAGCTTTGCGTGCTATATATATATATCAACTCCTGATATCACTGTTACTGTATTTACACAAGTTTAAGAGCCACCAAAATGGCGGTATCCGTAAACAATAGCGCGCGGCTTCTTTGAAGTTCAAAAAAGCCGTCGGATATTCTGCGCGCACCCGGACTTTTTTGAGGCTTTTAAACTTGTGTAAATACAGTACATGCTTATAAAAGTAACTAGAATATGTGCGACTAGCCCCGACGGTGATCCGCGTCGGGAAATTCCGCATGCATGTCGTCTCCAGGATGACATCGTCGTCGTCCGTCGAATTGCCGGGGTACTGCCGCAATGACGTCCCGGAAGCGGCAAAACGGAACTGGACATCTGATTCCATGGCATGCCAGCTTCTCCGCTCGCTTAGCCACAGCGGAAAAACACAGTTTGGCTCAGGGTCAAACTACACATGTATCCGCTCGAGCTACACGAAAAAATTCGTTTCGTTAATAAGAATTCGCAAATTTGTGGTTCTATGATCTATCTCTACCATCCGCGAGTGGCAAACATGACGGCTTTAAACGACTCCCCGACGGTGATCCGCGTCGGGAAATCCCGCATACACGTCGTCTCCAGAATGACATCGTCGTCGTCCGTCGAATTCCCGGTGTACTGCCGCATTGACGTCCCGGAAGCGGCAAAACCGAAGTGGACATTCGATTCCATGGCATGCCAGCTTCTCCGCTCGCTCAGCCACATGTACAGCGGAAACACACAGTTTGGTTGGGGTTTATTTTCTATAACAGGAAATACAGTTGTAATTAAGCCACTTGTTTCCCTCACCTTTTTACGTGTGCGACTTAATCGGGTAAATCAAAGTACAATAAATGTTTTAGAAATTTAATATTTTACTGCTATTTTTGTTTTTTTACCTGGTGTCAGTGTTAACGTCTGCGGTCCTTCCTGTGGGGAAAACAGTGCATTACATGTTGCGTCGACCGACTGCGCCAATTGAACTCCAGCGTCCGTCATCTTATACAACTGTACAATAATTTGTCAGATATAAAATAACCTTTACGTTTCGACTCGATAATTATCCCGTATTCTTACAAAGCAGTGAAATATTTCTTCGTTACTGTTGGCCATGGTGTGTGTGGTGCGACCGATAAGCTACCGGTTCACTCCGTTGCGCCACGATCCCAAACACTCCAGTCTGACATCTGTATTGCAATAAAAATACATAAAAATGAATTAATCGCGCTATAAAAACAACGGAAATAAAAATCATTCGAGTCTTCGTCGGCTCTATCAATCGTACTGCGTTCTTCCGTGGCATCCGGGCAGGATTTATAATCCAGCATCATCTTCGAGTCAATAACAAGAGGTTTCCGTCTGCGGCACCAGGTTGCTGCGTTTCGTGGGGCCTTGTTTGTATGTGAGAGAATACCGTCCATTAAAGGGACACTACAAAAGCAAAAATATAATTGAATCAATATTAATAAATTCGAGGGTTCCATACAGGATTAAACCAAGTACTTACTACTTAGGATTCGATTCTGGTATCAGAGACAATGCCCTAAATATAAAACTATTTTATGCATAAATTAAATTAAAAAAATTGGTTCCAGCTCGGAAAATAACAGATTCAAATGCACAAAATGAGAATCGAACCTATTATAGTACGTGACGTCTTTGCAGATGTCTTACTAGTTCTTAGCTTGGTCCTGTTTGCATGGGACGGGGCAGGCTGGGTTGGTCCGGAATCCCTTCGAATACATAAAACGCAGAACCAAGGCAGCACGTCCAAAACAGATTTTAAATCCCAAAATAATTTTCAAATTACTTACAAGATTTCACAGTGCTGTAAGCTGCATTAATAATTCAAAATCCAAAAAATGTACAGTACTTCAAATTAGTACTGTAATTGTTTTTATTTGCTGTTCCGTGTTTACGCGATATTAAGGGAAATCGAACCGCACTTCGCGTCGCGCTTCGTTACGCCCGGGCGCCTGCGGGCAATCTACGGGGATTCATTATTCCTTAATATTTTCGATAATGGTATGAGATGGTTAATATTATTTACTAAAGATTTAATATCTTGTACATACCGTGCAGCCATAAATGCTGAATTTGCTGTGAGCCATTAGATAGTCTGTTACATCGTAATTAGTGCTTGATGCAGCACTCCTTCGACGACATTTGGAATTATATAAATTTTCACGATCGCACAGATTATGATTAATCAAGTTGAAAGATCTAACACATACTGCGGTACTTCTACAAACAGTTACAGTAGATATAATTTTCAATCGCTTCTTTGTCAAAGCCTGCAATACCGAGCTTCTACCTCTGTATATAGCGCAACATCGAACGTTCACACGCACAAAAACACCGGTTTTTAATATTTCCGCTTTACCCTCCTTGTTGTTTTTTGTCCGCGATGGTTAGCACAACAACCTTGTCGAAAAATTAGGATAATGCTGCATTCTTGCTAAATCAAGAGACAAATTCTAGACCCGCGTTGCAAGGTGTCCTTTTGGATGCCAAAAGAGTCGAAAAGGCGGCGTCCATAATTCTGCGCAGAATCGCTGTTGAATGTGTCCGTAAATCAATTATTTTTCGATTAACTGATCACGGCATCGTTACTGATGCCCTTTACAACAATTATGCAATAAAAGGCGCAAAGCAAAAAAAATTTTTCGCAATGGCGAATACAGTCGGATGATGTTACCTTGTAAGTGGCTGTAATGTAGACATGATGCGTGACACCACTGGCAATCAACAGGTGATACTAGTAACGACCTACCGGAAAGTATAACTCTGCAGATATAATTCTCGCAAGTACTGCACCTAGCTGTAAGTAATTTTTTGTTATTGTTGTTTTTAGTATTAATAATATACATGGCGGAAGAGTGCGCAACTCTACAGGATGCATGAAGTTTCCTTGAGCTGGTGTAGCGGCGTTCACTGAGCACCAGATCTAACTACAGCCTGCAGTCGTTGTAATAGTGAGCCTGCGCAGTCCGCCTGAGCAGGCGACCGGGCACCGTAAAACGCATTTAATCAAGGGAGCAGACAGAAATTCGTTAGACACACGCTCTGTTTAACTCTGTATTTTTGATTAAAAGCGGTGCCCGTTTTACGGTTTACGGCGGACTGCGCAGGCTCACTAATATGCGTATGTTGTTCCGGGTTCCCAATACTGCGTAGTAAATTTTTTATGACCAACGTAAAAACATGGAAACTGATCAGCCACGCTTCACCAAACATAAAAACCTGCCATTCACGTCTATATCACAGCTCAACAAAAATCTCCAATCAAAAACGCAAAAACAACCGCAGACTATTGAGAATGTTGGATTTGGACTCTTTGGTAAGCAAACTGAGCACTCTACACTATTTTTGCTGAATATCATCTCCATCCCACTCCCAGCAGTAGCGAAGAAAACAGCAGGCCGATGACAACATGAAAAATGGACGACACTGAGTTGGCAGCGGACGCTGTACACTCCGTAAACTTAGTCACGTTGAAGAGGTCGTTCTGCGGATTGATCAGATTGGGACAGCGCTGCGGGATGCTGCTGATGCGGACGGATCCACTTTCGGCTTGATACATCTGCAAAACAGTTCACATTCTAATTTTCATTTAGGTAATTTCGAATAAACTCCAATACTTACGAAGCAGTATCGTGCTGAGTAATTTTTTCTATCACTGGCAATGAAAAACGAGATTTCGTTCTCCTTCCAGTGTCCGTGGCAGACGAATTCCACTACAAAGGTCAACGATTGTCAACATTGTTCAGTTCTAGCAATTACTTATTTATTCGCAGCATTTCGGTCCTGCTTCTTACTTAGGTTGATCTCCTCAACCGGTTTCGGGCATTGTACGTTGCCGTCCGCCGCGGTCGGCTGAAAGCGTACAAACGAATCCCGAGCGCATCCAATGGAGATCTTGGTTCCTTGCCGGCATTTTGGTTCCACGTTGTTGCCGGGAACCGGGCCGACGACGTACTCTCCCGGAAAGGGGCATGTAACACCGGAAGCGACCGTCGGGATCAGTGTTGTCCAGTCGGTGCGGTTAACGCTGAAGTATGATTTCGTACATGCCGCGTCCACTGTTTTCGCTAATCGTCCTACAATCAATCTTTTGTATAAATCACAAATTATTTTTACATAGTCTAATCTTTAATTTTTTATGTGCAGTACTTTGGATAATTCTGGAGTTCAGTGTACATCAATCATTTATACGAGTATACTCGTACGTACATACGGCTTTTGTATAATACATTTTTCCCGTATTAGCGTAAGTGATCTTTCACTTTCACCATTTTTGTGCACCCAAACTTCTTATAAAAATTTTTTATGTAATAATTTTTCCTAGTTGGTGTGCGTGGCCTTTCAAGTGCGTATTCTATAATGGAATTCTTTCGTACCTTGGTGTAGTTGGACAATCTGGTCGTTCAATTTTATAAACTGCATACACATGTATCCGCTCGAGCTACACGAAAAAATTTGTATTGTTAATAGGAATTCTCGAATTTGTGGTTCTATCTGTACCATCCGCGAGTGGCAAACATGACGGCTTTGAATGATTCCCCGATGGTGATCCTTGTCGGGAAATCCCGCATGCACGTCGTCTCCAGGATGACATCGTCGTCGTCCGTCGAATTCCCGGTGTACTGCCGCAGTGACGTCCCGGAAGCGGCAAAACGGAACTGGACATCTGATTCCATGGCGTGCCAGCTTCTCCGCTCGCTCAGCCACAGCGGAAACACGCAGTTTGGCTCGGGGTCATTTTCTAATAGGAAACACAGTCGGGATTTCATTAAACCACTCAGTTTCCTCACCTTTTTTACGTGTGCCGAATTAACTAAGTAAATCAAAGTAAAATTAACCAAGTAAAATAATTTTTTTAGAAATTTAATATTTTATTGCTATTCTTGTTTTTGTACCTGGTGTCAGTGTTAACGTCTGCGGTCCCTCCTGTGGGGAATACAGTGCATTACATGTTGCGTCGGCCGACTGCGCCAACTGCACTCCAGAATCCGTCATTTTATACATCTGGAAAAAAGTTAAATTTCTCAGCTACAATATTTGATAACGTTTGTTGATATTCGTTGATAGTTGGAAGAACTCCTTATCCTTACAAAGCAGCGAAAAATCTCTTCATTGCTGTTGGCCATCGTGTGCGTGATGCGACCGATAAGGTACCGGTTCTCTCCGTTGCGCCACGATCCCAGACACTCCAGTTTGACATCTGTTGCAATAAAAACACATGAAATAAGTCAGTCGCGCTAAAACAACTGAAATCAAAATCTTTCGAGCGTTTTTCGGTTGTATCGCTCTTACTGCGTTCTTCTGTGGCATCCGGGCAGGATTTGTAATGTAGCATCATCTCTGAGTCCTTAACACATGTCTCCGTCTGCGACACAGGATTGCTGCATTCCGTGTAGCCCTGTGTGTACGTGAACGAATATCGTCCGTTGAAGGGACACCGTTCCGGTTCCGCATTAACTGCAGCAACAAAAATCTTTACAATAATTATACAGATAAATATATTATTGTGGCGTACGGCGAAACATTGTGAATAAATCCGCGTTTCCGGTTATCGTATCACAGAGTTCCTCAAATGAGTATTGCTCTTCGGATGGCACACAGTAGCCTGAAAAGAATTCGCTGTTGTAACTATTATCATCCCATTCAATTATTTTTACACAATCTTATTTTTACACAATCGACAAACTTAATACAAGGAGGCAAATTTGAAAAGTATTGAAAAAAAAGTTATTGAAAGAAGTTCAACTTGAGTTTAAAACGACTTTGTGAGAAAGAACTCCCTTTTAATTAAAAGCCCATACTCTACAACATCGCACAATGCATTTTCGGTGCAAATAAGCACCGAACGGACCATTTAAAGAACTTTGCCAGTAAAATAATCAGAGTAAGTGCTACTGCCAAATTTTTTAAAAATCTCGAACGGGGAATATTTCAAAATCAGATTTTAAAAGCAATATACTTATATTTATTTACTTTTTTTAAATGATATACTTACTTTCTTTAAATTGTATGACATTCGGATGCTGTTGTGGACTAGATGTGATGATACACTGACTGCAATTCTGCACTCTGCAAAAGACAAACACAGCATCATTCAGTATTATCAACCTCATTTCAAGATGTTTCTATTTTGTATTGATTTATTGAATACAGAAATTCGACAAAAATATGTATACGAATTGTCTGAGTAACGAGGCATCGATGGTTTGGACGATGACCTTTAATGTATGCAGCCCACTCCTGGCGCATTAGACCCTAAACGCGTAAACGGGAAAGTGTTGTATCGCCTTCGGGCAACCGGACCCTGATTCATTCGCTCCGCATCCCCCCACTTAACAGCGGAAACACTCGAGCCGCGAAAAATCAACTCACCGCACAATGCACACGGTGATGAGCTGCTGCAGTGGAGCGCGCGCACCGTAGATGCGTTAAATCAATTACAACTGGCGCGGAATGACCGATGCGTGTGTATGAGGCGCGTAGTCGACAGGCAGTGCACGCCCCTGTATTAACCCGGGCCGCACTGGACAATGGACGGTCTAAATGGATGGGCACGGTGCACCACTGCACCGGGTATGGTGCGCTAATTTGCGGGCTCTGCGCCGGCATTGTGTCCTCTTTGGTAGCAAGTTTGGTAAAATATTTCTAGAAGCAACCTTATAATGCTGAATGCCCGAATACTTTTAATACGGAATAGATACGCGAAAAACTGTTTGACTTATTTTTCGGCGGACAACGCAAAATAAACATAAGTATTGCGTTTTTAAAAAAAATACGTTTAAAAGAAATTTGGATGTTGAAGTTTTGCGGGAGGCAAGAGCGCCAGAATATTACAGTTTTTTTTTCAAAACCGAGCTTTGTCTTACAGTTTTCATAGCTGCGCTTAAATTTTTAGGGATTAAGGTTCCACAAAATAATTACAAAAAAAATTAAAGGTATAAATCGGTATTGCACTCAAATAACGTTCCCAAGTTTCACTAGTTACAGAACGTACAGCAGAATTGAAACAGTTTCAGTGGTTTATGCACAACTGCGTCCACTAGTGACTAGTGACTAGACTACAGAACCCTCAGATGCTCCAATAAAACTTGAAATCGGGAGGAAATGTATCTGTAGGTAAAGGCCACTGAAAACATAACTTGCTTCTTAGCTTGTTCTTACTTAACCGGCTTTTTCTTATTTTTCCCGAATCCTGCGTTTCTGTTCTTGTTTCTGTTTCTGAACCGGGATACATATCTCGCAAAAAATAACCGCGAAAAAGTTAAATTCTAAACCAATATTGTCTTGTGGAAACATCCTTCCCAGTTTTAAAAGAACATCACCAACGAAGCAAGCTAAAAGCTGCTGCTGCTGCCACCACATTACAACTTTGCATATAAAGAGAACTGCATGAATACACGCTGGTGTTATTGTAGCGGCTGTTATGTTATCGCCAACACACGCCATGTTGACCATCCTCAATGGCCACACATCCCCATAATTAAAGCAGTGTCTGTAATGTTTGTGTTGACCATAGCATCTCGACCGTTCTAAGCCGATCACGTACACACCGCCACGGAGCGACTGACCATCCGGAATGTGATCCGAACTGTCAAACACTACAACATGCCAACTTGTCAATATTATAGACACGACGGCGAGTATTGCGTCGATCTGCGTAATGTTATCGTTAACTTCCTGCCGCGAAATGGGAAATGGCGTTGATTACGGCATCGCGCGCGCTGGTCAGCTTTCCCTGACAGATGATCGCTGCGCTTAATTGTATGCGGCAGTGTCCAGTTGGAGTTGCATATAAAATGCATAGGGTATAAGAATTATTGTTAGCGAGAGGCTGTGACGGGCCGTTTTCGTCACGGATCATTGACTGGACGCCGGGGATCAGTGGTTACGACTGTAGGCTGAGATTGATGGACGTGGGGCATTTTCGGATGGTTATCGCGCGTAATTTTCTCATTTATATCGGGAAATAAAATGAGGAACACTCGCGCTGCGGAGTGAGGGCTTAAGTTGGGACAAACACAAAGTCTGTTAAACCATCCACGAGGAATCGGGAAATAAAATTACCGAATAAAAAAATATTGAAATTCCATCACTGAGAACAGCGAAAAGCAAAATTGACCGTTCTTAAAAAAGACTCCAAGTAATTTCTTTGCTAATTTGGTCAAAATGCCTTTTCAGACTCGTCAAATACGTTTCGAAAAATTCTATTTTTTAAAAGTTTTGTTTGACTCCCAGCTGTGATTTTGCTGCGCCCAGACAGAACCGACCAAACCGACCTAGCAGTTTTCACTAATGCCTCTGCACTACGATTACCAGACATTTTTCTGAACTTAAGATCTCGAACGGTTCGTAGATACCTTGTAGAAATTTAAAAATTTCAATTTAAATTATTTGCAATCACAACATGTTAACATTATTTTGAATTTTCATTTCGAAGTACCTAAGTTTTTTATTTAAAAATTAAAAAGGCTAGTTTCAGAAATATTTTGCCAGTTAACCAGATGATCAAGCAAAGCCAAAGAACATAACACATTACAAAAGCCCTTCACTTTTGCAAATACGGTTGTACTCGTAAGTGGTACGGTATGCAATAAACTTATAATATTTTATGAGTTTTTTAAATACATGCATATGTATGCATATTTTTAAATGAAAAACTGAAATTAAAATTGTTAAAACATAATATTTTTATATAATATGTATCACAATTTAGAGCCTAATTCCACGCTGGGAAAACGCAACAGAAAGCAGATGTGAATACGATATTAGTTTTATCTTCGAGAATTAATTCGATAAAAATAAAGTAACTGCTCTCCAAAATTCTGTCCGCACATCAAAACAATATGAAAACATATTAATAAAATTAACAATGTTTAAAATGCGTTATGTGGAGTTCTAAATATACACTGATTAATTTTCTAGTACAACAAAACTATGTATGATATAGCCGCTGAAAGAACAACAGCCCAGAACAATATTAATGAGCTTGTTATGTTAGATAACAACATCATATGTCAATGTAGCGGAAAAGGTGGACGGCGTGCCTCACACCGGGAGTTGGCGTAATGTGGGTCAGTTGCACGCTCATCACGGCATCTGTACAGCAAGATGGATGTTTCGCTGCGATGATTGATGCTGATGCGATCTGGTTTCTGTATAGTGTATACACCGGCAACAAAACACCGCTATTTTGTCAGCGACGCAGCCGCCCGCCACACCGGTCGCGTTGTGGCACGCGGCACTTATCCGTTATAGTACGGAACAAAATGATTTGTTGTTGTCGGCTTAGCAAGAATTACCGGGTTTAAATCAAGGTGAAAATGCGTAAATAATTTGTTGGACACGGACTAATAGGCAATTATGATTGTCATACGTTAGTAGCATGAATATCTGGAACAAACAGCGTATATACGCCAGTGTCGCGTCAAAATGGATGGAAATAATTAAGTGTCAGTTATCGTTAAAGAGTAAATAAAGGGTTTGACATGTCCGTTGCCGAAAATTGCCGGTTCATGGACACAAATGTTGCAGTTGCGCCCGGCCCCGTTGCGGCACATTCGACACTGCATGAATTAAAATGTGCAATAAATTAGCTCTGCCCCACATTGTAGCTGAAATTTACGGTGCATTAATTGATAGATATGCCGGTATTAATTATTTTCTTCGCTCTATTCTGCGATAATTACCGTGATTTCAGTTTTACTGGTTCGACAGCGTTAAAGAAGTGCGATGCACATGTTTATGTACAATTCAAATTAATTTTAGCGCAAATCGTTAAGAAAAATCCTCTTTCCACAAATGTGATTTCTAACGCTTTCCAGATTTTTCCCCACGGTGAAAATATACGAAAGCACAATGTTTCTTAATTCTGAAAGGTTTGAAAAGAAAACTAAAAATTTTTATGCGCTCGCCGAAAACACAATCGTTTTTTTAAAAATGTAGGCTTATTTTACTATTTTAAGCGTTCACTTGCATTTAGTTGTGTAAAACTGATTTGTGCACCACGCGACAAAAGCCGAAGCATAGCTAGTCTTCGTAGTGCAGTGGCTCGACGACGAATGCACATTGCACAACTGTTATAGGTATTACGTCAGATTAAAATTTTAAACTTTACTGTGCTTAATATGAAATTTGAACTTTTATTTTACATTTTGTGTGGCATGTTTTTAGACGGTTTTCTCTGATTCGAGCGTTTATTCAATCGATACGGTTTGCAATTTAAGTTACTAAAGTACTAGTAAACAAACTGCATTTACATTTACATAACCTTGACACTCACCGATTATAGAGAAGAAATTTGTGGATGAATTTATCGGACTTTTGAAGGACACACTCTCCTTTTCCGGTGATGGAATTCTGATTAATGTTGATCACACCGACCACGCCGGAAAGGAACCATTCGCCGTTCCAGGCATCCGGCAGGGCACAGTTGCCGCTGTCAGACGGCCTGTCAGCCTCCCTCGTTAGCGCCGACATGTCTGCCGCTAGGAGAGAAGAAAGAGATCACGTCAGGTCACCCTATTGTCTCTTTGTCAGGACCATCTCATTACGCGGCTGATTGACTGTTTACCGTCTACCACCGTTCACAACCGGCATTCTGTCTTCTTTTAATACCACAGAAAGCAACAAAAACCAGCAAAACACTAACAAATCGTCTCTCTTATAAAAATAGCAATAAATTTAAATTGGTGCTTTATTTTCGTAGAAATTTTACGTTTCCTTTAACGGACATATTTGCATTTGCTCTCAGAAGTGTTTTTATGAAAACATTTAACACCAGAAAAATGCTCCCAAATTACTGCAGTTTGCAATTAATTAAATGGCAAACACAGAAATCGCTGCTCAATATGAAACAGCAAGTTTAGAACAATTTTGATAATTTTTTGTCTTATTTGTTTTACTTTCTGAATTATTTTTATAAGTAACTAATGTCGAAAAATCATTTTAAATATTTAGCAACCACTAATAAAATTCTTTACATATCTAATAAATTACTGATATCCTAGAATTATTTACACACAAAATTAAACTTTGCTCCTGTCGCGAATGTATAATTTTTTGCTCGATAGTTCTGCCACGACCCTTAATTATAAAACAAATCCGTAGTTAATGGGAAAAGTTGTTAAGTATCGTTTTGCAACAAATGTCAGTACAAATATTTAATCAGAAATGCATGTTTCGTGTGGACGTGAACTCCGGCCACCCGGTGCGATTGCATCTTTGGCTGCGGATTTGCCGAGTTTCCTCGGCATGCTTAAAAAGTACAGCTGATGATTGATGAGCACTAAGCGGTTACGGCACACTGCACCGGCAAGAGAGTGTACAGTATTTGGTCGGATTAACTAGCCAGCAAAACAAGGCATTAATATTCTTCCGCTGAATTATGAGTGCTACTTGCCATTTAACTCTCTCGCTTATACGACGCTGCACACACACCGGCCATGATTGGCTGTGGGCCAGCCCGATTGTTGTAGCTGATAAAATAAATGTTTTTTGGAGCAGTCTGTTGTGAGGATTTTTAATGGCTTCTTAAAGCGACATGTGAATGGCTATTTAAGCAAGATTTACGATCTATTCAGCGCTGCGCACATCGGCTTTACACGCACCAGTGACGGTGACAATCGTAAAAACAATCGCCACGGATTTGTGGTCGGATATCCAACGTGTACAGTGTACACGGGGATTTGCTCGTGCTGGTCCGTTCGGCACCGGACCCGATTCTACACGGTAAAAAACTATACGTACAGTAGATGTCCAGTGGTGTGCAATGTGTGTCGAAATGCAGGCGTTAGCACTGTTTGTTTTTTGAGCCGCTCGCAGACCGTAGTAAGCAGGTGCTGCACATGTGCCGTGCAGGCCCGTGCTGAATCTGCTGACTAACTGCCACTCACTGGGTAAAATCAGGAAATAATCTTAATGCGTAGTCTGTACTTTTTATTGATCCACATTTTCTTTATCCTTCATTCCCTCATTATAAAATATTCAAATTATTAGTATCACTGACGATATGGTCTTGTTACACATTCTTTGTGTTAATTAATACTGTATTCTATCGAAATCTATGTTTCGGCAAAATCGAACATCTGTCCAAAGCCAAACCAGAGCAAGTGTATTATGTTGGTAGCGTGGCAGTGCTTGGTTCAAAGTCAGTGCACCCGCCATGGTTTTTGCAGCTGAAAATTCAGTCGTGTTTGGCTGTTTGCTTCGCTGCAGAGTGAATCCATATTTTTGTCTTTCAACTCGTGGTTCTTCAGCTCCTTTTTGTTATTGTCATCCCGTTTTGAGAAATTATATTTTTTTGTTTTCGCTTTTCTGGAAAAATTCAACTGCGATATCGCAAACATGGCGATCGACTGCTTCGGAACATCACGACAATCTGAATAAGCCAGTCTGTCGCTCATGTCCTCCTGTGCGAATCGACGAAGGCATTAGCTCGTTAAACTGTTCGGAGAACTTTAGTTAGTCCGCTATCTGCGCTACGACCATCTCTTCTTGCCAGGGCACCCCGTTTCAACGCGCAGTTTGACGATAATCGTCTGTATTTGGCCAGCCTCGAAGATGAAAAAGACGAAGAAGTTTTCCTAGCAAAGCCTGCCATGCAGAAGGTAAACGAGTAAAACAAATTTCTTCTTTTGCGCTTCCTGTAGTTGTTATTGGTTGTAGGCTTTGTATTACAGGGAAATCTGCGATATCGCATGTTTTAATTGAGCTAGCTGTTTTTGCTAATTGCATTATATTAATTTTGCATTCTTATTTATTAGGCCGTATCCGGATGAAAACGTAAAGCAGATGCCAAGAAAAACGATAAGAAAGTCGTATTTTGAGACAAATAGCCGCACTCTCTAGTGCCCTGCGAAGTCCGCAACACGTGAATCCGATTCTTGACGATATCGTCGCTACCACAGATGATGCAGAGTTACTCAAAAGTAAGTTTACGAATAAGAATTAGAAATTAGTTTTAGAGCTTGTTTACTATAAAAAGTCATATTACCCTTTGAAAAAATAAAAGCAGTATTGCTGTTTAAAACTCACATATTATTTGCGCTTATTCCTTATCTAGAGCTGGATAACTTGATCGCTAGATCAGAAACAGCTTGGTAAATTGTTAAATGCACTTCGGCTATATAGCCAGTTGATTAAGTATTTCAGAAATTACTGAAAATTCTACAGCAGTTTTGAAACGATAGGTAAGAAGGAAATGAAGGAACATTAAAAGTTGGATTGTTTTTTAGCAAATAACGATATCGTTGATTGAAGAGCAGAAGAAACTGCGGGGTCGGCAGTAATCAGCAACATCAACCAACAGGAATGATGCAAATTGTGCAACTGGATTGCATCGGAGCGATAAAGAGTGAGTTTCTGTATATCTGCTATATAGCAAAAACTGTTAGCTTTTTTAATATCTGCCTGATTTTCTTTTGCAGTGCATTTGGATGGGCTCAGATACAAGGTGGCAAGCGGTGATCGACTGTATCGTACGATGAATGCGTGGAAGAAAGCCTTCGAAGGTGCCAGATTACCAATATAAGGATTAGATTTTCGACAATATTGTCAGACGTTTCTTGTTTGGTTGATAAAACGTGTTTTTCGAATTTTATTACCAGCGCGCCCAAAAAATTGGATAAAAAAATTTGTGATCAATAAATTTGTGATTTTAGATTGTACCCCAGAGTATGGCTTTTGTTTCATTTTTCTTCGTGTTTGATGTATTTTTTAAAGTGGTATTAAGTTTGTTAATTTTTGTTTGTTTTTTTTACTGATGGAATCCGGGTACGATATCGTAATTAAAGAAATGAATGGCGAACGTTGTTTCTCCGAGTTTTGGTACGCTTCTGGACACGTTTAGCACGTTCAAACGCCATAGTTGGAGACGTCTTTTTGTATGTCAAAACGGCTCCATAAGTATACTGAAACTATGTGTAGCTGCGACATCTCATCAGTGCATTGTTTATGTACCCGGCAGCGCCATTCAACGTTTAAAAGCTGCCTAAGCAACGTTAAAAAAGTGCGTACCGTAGAATCGGGGGAAAGTCAACGTTTTCACTGAATACACGCTGGGTGAATTTATTTATTTTTATTATTCTATTTGACATTTTTAGCAAAATTAACTTAATTAAATAAGAAGTTCCGAAAATACTCAACAAATTTCAAAAATCAATTTATTCATAGAAATTAATTTCAAAACTTTTGCCGAAGAATTACCAAAAATTTTACCGCTAAAAGAACATTTTGCGTTTTCTCATTTCTTGGCAAAGCGCGTATAACAAGGTATTCAAAAGTATTTATTTTCCAAACTTTATGCATATTTTGGTTGAATGTTCTTTTGCAAACTTTTGAAAAATTATGCAAAAATTGTGTTTTGTTCCTTCTGGATTTCGAATGTCTTAAATAATAATCGGTTTGATCCGTACTGGAAATTATTTGTACATTCAGACAATTCAGACAGAAGCTTCAGCTGCGCTTTCTTATGCACACAAATGATGTCCGATTTAATTTACAAAATTCATAACGACCTTGTAAAATTGGCTTTTCGCTACTACCGACAAATATAATAATTCGATATAAACGCAGCGCGTCTTATACGCTGATGCGGAAGTTATTGTTGTTCCCCGCTGAGAACCCCCGGGGAAATTCATTAAAACCCCAAACATTTAAATTCCTCGGCTCACTTTACACGCTACACTGCCGGTCAATCCAAATTTTTATGGGATCGTTAACCGTTTCGGATTTGCCTTATATCTCTACTAGGCAGAGAGCCGGGCCGGCGTGGAAAATGCGCCGTAAATTATCACAGTACAACCGCCTTAATGCGACTTAAACAGACAACAGTGAAAACGGACAACGTTGTTAGCGGTGGTGCGGCCGGAACAATGCAAATTTAATTTCATGTCAAGTGAGCCGGTTACATTGTTGGCAGATGGATTACATGCGGTCGTCATGTGGCTGTTGGCGTTGTATTTATAGGTTAAAATGGAATTTTGTCACTCTTGTGGAAGTCTTAAGTAACTTAAGTAGTCAATCTTTTTGTAATTATTTTTTGCATAATTATTTAAAACCCGCTCTTTATGCGCTCTTGTAATTATGCAAAACTTTTCCGTCAATCAGATTTCTGCAATTATTTTTTGAATAGCGAATAATAATCGTTTATCTTTTACGCGAAAGTTTTGTAGTTATTTCTGTACGGCGAACAGTAATCCCTTTTCCTGATTCTATTATTACGCGAAATCTTTGTAACTGTTTTATGTACAGCGATTATTAATAGTTTTTCTTAATTGTTATATTACGCGTAATATTCATTTGGCTCATGATAATCAATCAAAACCAAATCTGGCAATTTTCTTTAAATTATAGTGCAGAAATATTTGTGCATATCACCACGTCACCATGTACAAATGTTTTCTAGCGTAATTTTTATTTCCACTTCCGGGTGTTTATCTGTTGACTAAGGCACTTTATAATCGCTTGCTTATATCGGTTTTCGATGTTTACATTTTTTTCCGTTTCATGGTCCGATCCATGTTGTTTAACATCCGCTCGTCAGAGCGCTGAGAGTCGAGTCAGTAGACTAACATTTTCTAAAGGGAAAATTGGCTAAATCCGATCGGGGTAATTTGACTCGACATCGAGGAAGCAATTGAAAGACGATACGCGGCTCGTTGGTCTAATTTCTAAAATGCGATGCTTTGAAAAGTGTAAGACAAGCAGTAAAAGCCAGCCACCTGGTCGCTGGTCATTATAATCACCGACATTCCAATCCCGGTAGAGACTATAGCGCGGGGGGACAGGGAACAATTTAAAATAGGACCGTTATGTCGTCAATGTAATCCGCCTTTTTACAAGCAGAGGGCCCCGAGCGACCGGTTTTGGATTATGATTATAATATCGCACGATGCAGGCGTACGGTACTGAACCATGACCAATACTGACCATCCGGCACGCGGTCACAGTCGCTGCGCACGCACACAGACAGCCGGCTATTTGCGTTTTAAAGTGCAGCTGGAGACACAGCGCAGACAGGCCTCTCTGTTTCCTATCACTCAACTGACCAGCACCGCGTACGAATACGTACGGTTGCGATATCCGTTTTAAAATACAGCGGTAGACACAGTGCAGACAGCCCTCTCTGCTTCCTATCATTCAACTGACCAGTACGTACGGTTGCTGACTGGTCCATTGTTCCGCGCTGACCACTGTGCACTGAAACCGGTTTCTGTCTCGTCATGCGGGTGAAGAGTGCCAGACAGATGTGTGCATGCTACGGACGGTACAAAGTGTGTACACCAATAATTGACAAAGCAATATTGGCGGATTAAGCCGGTAACAATAGATGAAGGGCCATTTTCGGTGCTTTGTCACATGCAGATGGATTATGACACGTATAGCCGGGATTTACCGTCAGGATGAATTAAAACGGGATTAGGACCCTTTATAAGGAAAACATTTTAGTCTATCGGTGAATAGGCTACCGTTTATTGTAAGTTAAATTGCTGTCAGGAAGAATTAGACGGTGACAGTTGGGAAAAAGTAAAAGCTTATTTAAACCCGTGATTATTAAATGTTTCCCACCCGGGAATTAAATTTCCTTCAGGACCCGCTCATCTGTTAAAAAATAATATTGCAAATAAATATCCAAAAATTGAAATAGTTCACACTAAATCTAAAAAATCTGGAACGAGACGTAAAATTCCATTTCTAAATTTTAATTCATCAAAATTCTTTTGAGATGACGCTTGAATTGGAAGATGATGAGAAAGTGTTGACAGAATATTTGGGTATAATTGAAAATGTCCATATCTAATGGCCGGGCTCATTACGCGGCGCACTGGAACCTTTGTGTAACACATACCCAATTCTTGCATTGCAATGGCAGATCGACTGTCAACTGACCACTTGTTTGCCCAACTCATCGGTCATTCTACAAGAATTTTGACGTTTCAAGTGGAAACCTGTATAGAAGCGCGGAATGCTGCCGCGCGTAGACATTATATTCTTTACCACGGCAATGGACATATATTAATATGCATGAAGAATGCCTCTTAGGCAGGAAAGCAGGTAGACTACCACCCGTAACGCACCGTTTCAACAAGGGTCTGCATTTTAAAATATTTTGACACAACCGCGCGTAATGGAATGAGCTGGAGATCACCCGGTGTGCCAGTCATTTGCGAAGGGAATGCGGTTTGCAGATACCGCACCATACGTAATCGGGGGACAATCTAAGAGACCGTGTTTACGCGTTTAACGTTATGGCTGTTATGTTTAACGTTTTATGGTAGGACTGTGTGTGTCTTTAGGGAGGAGGGTCACTGGCAAACAGTGTCCACACCCAGCCAATATCCATCATGTAATCAATTGATTGCCGGGATTTTTCTACATATAGTGAGGCATATTCAAGTATCGATTTTACTATAAAAACTCTGTCAACACAAAATCAAAATTGATGAATCAGTAAAATATTCGTGACCGGATTATTATTGATTTAATTTAAATGCCGCCTGACTGATGATCGGAATTTCAAATAGCTTTTTCTTTACCTAGTGTTTCATTTTTCTGTTTGGAACATTTTTTAAAATCTTTAAATTTTCTTTTAGTTTTAAATGTACGTGCTAATTAATATTTCTAATAAATAATAAAAGTCTTAGAAAAACTGTGCAGCTTGAAAAAAAATTATTTTCAAAATTTATATAGGCACACGGAATTAAATTGACTTTGGCACGCGAACTGGTCATAAAACGGTTTAATGTTTTTTTATGTCTGTTTACCGGTCACAATCCCGTTGTTTGCACACCATACGCCGAAACAACTGCCGATATGAAATTAGTGGTTTAATATACAGAATACTTGACGGTTGCATGTCGCGTGGAAATTAGATTGGCCGGATGTATTTACCCAAGTATTGTAGCGACAGATGTTGCCGGATCGCGGAGTTATACTTCACGGCAATAATCACAACTGTACTCGGTTTGATGAATTAACGAACTGCCCATAGAGAGAATGATTATTAAATATGCATGACACGGCCCTGTCCACTTGCGCATCGAATTAAGAGAGATATATGTATTTTATCACAAAGCAAATCAACAGCTCCGTGTGTAATTAAAGCAAATATTTAATATGACAATAGGAAAACAAGGAAGCGTAAGCAAATTAAAGCGCAACAAAATATGCTGCGAAAATAACGGCAAATGTTACAGGCAATCGCTAATGAAATTTTATTTTTAAAAATAACAAAATCTAATTTTAATTTTGTCCAATTACGTTTATTATTCCATTTTGTTTTCGCAAAATCTTAAAACCAGATTTTTTATTTTCGCTATTTGTGGAATAGCACGTACTCTGTAAAAATGCGATTTTTAACAAGGATACTTTTTGGTAAAATAATTTTTAATTCATAAATATATGTTTACAAAATCCGCATTTTATTGAAATTAGCCGAATCATTTCATGAGCATAACAATAGCCAGTGCTGATGCATCCATATTTGACCCAAATAAATCTTTATCCCTGAAAATGTGGTAAGAGTCTTAACCCGTTCATTAGGTCATATCAGGGCGCATTCGTCGGCGGATGCATGTTTGGCGCGTGCGCACGACATTTCATGGGAAGGATCGTTATAATTCATCTGCTTGTTGCAATTATCGATTATTCATGAACATATCGGTGCGTGTAACTGTAGCCGATGCAGTGTCCTTGCTGACCAGATACTTGTTTTTGCCCATCACGCTACGGCATTTTTACCGGCAATCCACTTGACTTTTTCATAGCGAACGTCATCGAAAAACGTTTTTTTTTCTTCCTTGTACCAAAACGCCCACTGACGAGTTGGCATGCGATTAAACGATCCGTATCAATAATATTATTTAGCATGTATTCACGTTCCAACCAAAGTACTGTGTAAAGAAATATTTTCACAAGCTTATCGTGTCTTTAACTTATATAAACCACTTCGTTCAGGAATGTCTCAACTGCTGCAAAAATTTACATTTCTAACATTAATTTTAATAATAATTTTTTTAGAAATTGTTCCTGTATTTCTTTTAATTTATTAAGAAGCCATTCTTTTTAGAGAGTAAATAAAAGTTAGAGTCTGACTTCTTTGTAATATACAGGTAAAAATTAATGGGTACAAATACTATTAAGTAATTTTTCAGTTAGATTTTAGTTTTACGCGGCTTTCTCTAAGCAACGTTTGAACTGACTGTAAACATCTTTTAATTTTCTTGTAGTCTTCCGATTCAAGTATGCCTTCCAAAATTCCCATAAAAGTCAAGCATCCCCATAGGTGCGAAGAGGCAGTAAAATGCAAATTTGATTAGAACGGAAGCAAAAGCAAACAGCAATCAGCCGGCCCACGTCAAGTAGCCGGGCTTAATCCGCTAAACCAACGCCTTTGCCTTAATTAAACCGGCGTAAAAGTGTACTTCAACCATGGACTATCGAGCGTTCATTGCCGAATTTGCACAAGGAAGATCCCCTTACCTGCCGGTCGGCCCCGGGCCCCCTCCAGGCAGGACCATAATCCCATTAACAGCAGTCCAGCAGCCGCCGTCCTCATTGCGGCGCCGCAGCAATCAATCCCATCCAACCAACTGGACGTAGCGAAATTCGACTACAATATTGCCACTCGAATAACCGCACTCAGAAGATGATGCCGGGTTGTTTGTTTTCTATTCCACCATCCGTCCAGTCAACGGCTGATATTGGACCCATCGTCGGCATCACCATTCACTGGGTCAATGGGGATGTTTTCGCTTGACCAGCTGGACACTTTCTCATATGGCAAATCGATCGCGGTGAAGGATGGACAAAATAATCATCTATCATACGAAATGCCGCTGTAATCAAGCGGATAAGTATAGCGTTCCTATTGGATATCAGAAGAAGATTATTGCGCCAGGGCAAATGTAATCCGTGCAGTTGTTTGAACGGGCCAAATTACAGGAAGTCACCAGTGTGGAAAGGTAAAGAGCGGGAATTAACGAAGCACGTTCCGGTTGTTGTGTGCATACAGAGTAACGGTGAGTGAACGTTGAAGCCGGCGCGGAAATTGTGTAACGTATTTTGCCGGGGATGCCGTTGCATTGTTTTGACCACTCTGAATGAGCGGATCAGCTGTGCCGGCGAAGCGTACGTACGTACGGCGCAGTCCACTACAGAACGGCGCACATGAACGGAGTGGACTGCACCGTACGTACGTACACTGCACCGACCAATCACGAGGCTCGGTAGATTTCCTTATGGTGAGCCGTTTGCTGTGGCCACGCTCTACTTTCCTTCGGCGCCATACATTCTGCTTTTTGTTGGAATGTTTATTTTGATAACAAATAACGATTAGCATGGCCCTTTTTTACCAAAAATTTATTGAATGTTTTTATAGGTATTTTCAGGCCGAAACCATACTCGGTGGTTTTCCTCGGCACTTTGACCGAGTTTCGGCAGCGGAAGCCCAATCAGGGCTTTATGTTCGTTCACCTCGTTAGGCCTGCACACAGCCAACAGGAACTGTGCGCGGATTTCAGGAATCATCACCGGAAATGCGAAATAAATCTGGTGTAAATTTGCCATGAAGGATGCCGATTTTGCTCAGGACAAACATTTCCGATTGCCGTTTCTCATGTTGCACATTTACGTGCCAAGTTAGCAAAAGAAACACAAAGCAAACAAGACGGAAACACGATACCAATTCCAGTGGAAGCCAGAATAATGGAAATGCATGCAACTTCCATTACCATGTATCCATTGGAAGCGGAAATGGTTAGTGGAAGTTGCGCTATATGTGAAACCTGCGACACTTCCATTTCGTTCATTTTCCATTGGAAACGGAAATCAGTAGTGGAAGTATCGCTTCTCACTGCGTGTCTGCTGCTGTTGCTTGGCTTGTTTTAGAAAATCACAACAAACGCTTTCTTTGAGACACTTTTCTTCTTTCGAATAAACGATGTAAGTGGTTGCTCTACGACTACTGTTGCAGAAATTTGCAAGTGTTTATTTGCAGTAGCACTTTGTCGGAAACAATTATGCCGCAGTCTTCCATGGAACAATTGCGGTTGTAAGTTGACTGGTACTCGGAGCCAGTATGTGGCCACGCAAGCGGCCCTTACAAAGTTGTTTAGTGTACGTTTTTAATTCAAAATCGCATCGATCTGTTTCTTTCTCCGCTCCTTCTTGGACATGCCCCGCGATGAGTCGACAGTATTTCCTGCTTCATCATGCTCTTAATTAGCGTTCTGCATGTTTAAAACGGACGCTGCAGGCGGAGGGAGAACAGTCTCCATGCTTCGCTGGTTCTTGGAATTATTTTGGATTTTTATTTTTCTGTTTATTTTTAAATAATCAGTAATTTTTAGAAAAATGTTTAATCTGAATTTCTGTGATAAGCAGACAGTGCACCATGTGTGTGCGTTGTTACTAATTGCGGGGCAAGCGGCGGTGCTGGATTTTTATTTGGTATCGTTTAATCTGCGGAAATTCGGGCATGGTTATCAGTGGTTGGCGTGGGTCGCCGTGGATGCGGTGGGATTGATCATTTACGTGCTGCTGTTTATCCGGGGACGGCGCTATGTCGACAGGCATATGCAAGCGGTGAAAGAGGAAGATCCCGATAATCCCAAGGGTTTACTGCATTTTTTGGGCATTTTGCCCTATGCGTGGGTTTGCTGGTTGTTTTACAGGTACCCAGACGATCATTAAATTTCTTATAATTTTATAACATACGGATACGGCATTTTAATTTATGCTGTAACTGTCTACTCTCTACTCTACAGATACACACTTCAATGTTTTTTTTTTCATATTTTCTAATATAGTAAGCATTATTATTATTCCAATTTATTTTTAACCTGTCTACTTGAAGTACTCGTATCGTCGTATGGTACTGTATCATCAAGAATATTTTGTTGCAGTACACTGTACAGAGTAGATTGAGCAGAATTGTAGAAATACAAATATCTGTACAAAAAGCCTTGAAGAATTATGCTATGCTATGAAATCATCGTAAATCCGAGAACGGTAAATCTGCAGTAGAACGTGACAATATGCCGATGTTAAAATTAATCACAATTCTTTTAATAAAATATTTGCTTAAGTTTGAGAAGGGACAATGAGGGAGTTTGAGAAGGGAGTTTTCCATTCAGTGACATTAATTATGTATTTCGATGCGTTCATGATGTCCGTTATATGAATTTGTTATAAGAACTGCGTCTTAATTAACTTATCGCCCCTTGCAATCACAATTTAATCTAAATACCGATACAGTACTGCAAAGTTGCAAACTAAAAACTGTAGATATGTAAAACTGTTTGACATCGGGATTTGGAATGGATAAGGTGGCTTTCCGGTTCGGAATCGCCGCTGTTCGATGATCGTAAAAAGGCCAGACGAGTACTGGTTGTGAATTCTGCAGACGATTCGTAGTGCCGTGGCTGTCTAGCATGTAGTTACAAAACGTCGAATTTAATTACTGCACATACGTACCGTGTCGATGATTAATACTCGTACTTGTAACACATCGTTTTTTGCTATTAAATTATTCATATCTATATTATGTTGGTTTCTGGATACTTAAAATTATTATTGCTTGCATATACAGTATTCCAGTTCCAGATAAATGTATACATATGTATATATATTCTGGCAAAGCCGGTTGTTTCACATTTTACATGTTCGTTAAAGCTAGCGCAGGGTATTTCGACACAGCTCGTTTTCAGATAATAATTAATATCATAGTTTTGCTGAATACATAACATTGTCGCAATACTGCCGGTTCATTACATGGATGATGGAATTGCAGTGTAGTTTTGGTGGGCAAGATCATCGCCATCTTCAAGACGTTCGGTACGGATCTGCTGGAAACCGACCACCTCGGTATCAACACCATGGAGTTCACCTTTGGCGCGTCGGCCGCGGTATTCATGCTGTTTGTCGGCGGACTGGAGCATCTGGCCACGTCGGCGCAGAAGCACTACATCCGCTGGATGCAGCATTTCGTCCTGCTGGAGATCGTCGACTGCGTGGAATTCCTCACGTCCCTCTTCGTGGCCGCCGAACTGGAAGTGGCCAAGGGCCACGAGAAACCCCGTCTGCCGCATCATCTGGAGAATGCTATTCTGGCCTTCGCCTGCATCAATTTGATCGCCCCGGCACACGCGCTGTATCGGTAAGATGGATGAGATAATTACATAATTTTGCAGTGGTCAGCATAATTTTTGTCGTATCTAAAAGAATTGTCTTCGTTTTTATAACACTACTCGTACATAATCCATTTTTAACGGTGGTAATCGTACAGTAAACTTCCAAATTTGATTAGGTACTACTTATAAGTTGCAGCTTGATATTATTAAGCATGATTTGCGTAGAACAGTGGCATATACCGTATACGGCAGTCGCAAAATCCGTGTATAAGTTTGTTCTAATGAAATTTAATTACGTACTGTACAAGTTGATTCTGCAAGTTTCGAGGATAAGGTATGAGTTTTTACTGTACTGTGACGTCCCTCTGTTTCTCTGATTATGTTTTTTTCAATGATTGCACTGCTAAGTAATTCAAAAAAAAATTTAAAGCTTAGAAATACCTGGATGTTGTTTTAGGGACAGATACGTAAAATTGTTTTTCCAGGAAATACTGAAACTCGCCAACTGATAACATTTCGGAGTTCCGATATTATAAAAATAAACAGATTCTTTTATTTGTTATTTTTCATTTCTATTACGGGAATGATTTAAATTATAATTGGTTATTATTTTGAATAAGGCTTCCTTTCATCTACTCTGCAGTTTTGCTGTCATTCACAGATTGAGCAGTTACCACAATCGGCACCCGGAAACCCGCAACCGTTTCTTCCTAACGCAGACTTTAGTGGGGACGGTGTTCGGGAATATCCCGTACTTTGTGGTGCGATGCTATCTATGGGATCAGCACAGCTACATCACGGGACTGTTCGCCATGAAGAATCTGATCGGGATCTTCACGGACGGGCAGGAGTTGATTGAATTCTGGGGGGAGATGCGGCGCGGACGGGATGAGAGTGATAGTGGTAGTGAGGAGGAGGAAGAATCGGGACCGGCACGCAAGTACAGTGTCGCCAAGAAGTCGGAGAATGTGGAAGCGGTGCCGATGACGGTGCAAAACGGCGGCGGCAAGGCGCAGCAACACACTGAAGCGTTAACCGGTTAACGGGAATGTCAGAATCCGAACCCGGTGCCGTAATTTTTTTACGGCTTTATTTTCTGTTTTACGATTTAATTTTTTTAAACGTTTGTTGTCCGTCCTTTGTTTTGTTGGGGACAAGAGACATTTGCATGGATGAAATATTTTATGTTTTCTGAATGGATGGATTTAGGAGCAGCTTCAGTATTTGCGTACGGTAGTGTTACGTGAATTCAGAATTATTATTGTTGTCAGTGATTGTGTCTGGTATGTAATTTCGTGCCTTATATTCGTTAATGGTTTTATATGGATCTCTCGCCATTTTGTCTGGTCTTTTGCTGATGGAAATTTATTTTGCGATGATATAATAATATTCGTCCAATGATTGATAATATTTGTACGGGTAAATCATACCAAAATTATTCTTCCCCGATTTGTTTTGGCTAGAAGATATGTACTGTACTTTTTTGAATTGTAGAAAGTAATTTATCTTGAGATTGATTATTGGCGGACGATTTTTGAGATGAATTAAAAAATCCCCGAATCTTGCACCGTTTTTTAATTTATTTTAAAAATACACCTTTCGATTGAGAAGAAACTGGAAGAGAAATTGACAACCGGAAGTGTAAATGAAAACAACATACAGGCTGCATATATACATACGTATATACATACATGCTGCATGTGTGACTCAAAAATAAAGGAACATTTTAAAAGGAAAAATTGTGTAATTATCTGCTCTATTTGCTGCGAAATAACAATACTGAAAGCATTTTTTTTGTTGGATAAAAACGGTAGCCGAGTCCTTAATACACGGTAATGGGAATGTCCAGTGGAATGAAAGCGGCCTTATTTCCACGATTCCGGTCGGCGTATACGGTGCAGCACGGTGACGCCTTCCTTATCCAGCCACTGCTTGATGTTGTACATCTTATCGGAGCCGTTGGTGGCGCCACTGAAGATGGGGCGCATCATTACCGACTCCACTAACACTTCGTCGCTGTCTTCCGGATTGATCCGGTGCCGGATGGCCACGCACTGCTTCCATAGGGAGAGGGAAAACTTGCCGAATTGTTTCGTATCGCCTAAGAAGAAAACCAATCTTGCAATATTTATCTGCACCGGTTCAACATGCAATGTTTAACATAAACAGGAAAACTTTACTTTATGATTATAATAATTTTGGTACAAGATATCACTGATACGAGAAGCTAATAAGTAAGTTCCATATTTTATCATAAATTATTACAATTATTGTTATGAGTTCATTATATTATTACATTATTATACATTTTTATCACTAATAAATTATTAAACCAAAAAATGATAAGCTACGTAGTACGTACACATTTCAGCGCTTAATTTCAAAATTAACAATATGTTTATTTTAAGTTATTCATATTTGTTATTGAAAGTTATTGGAAAAACCAGATATATATAAAAAAGAAAAGCATCTTACGGAAGCGTTACGCTTAAAATTGCTTCCTCTTTCGAGAACGAGCATGTATGTATATGCATGTATGACGCGGCTGCAATATTAAAATTAATTATTAAAATAAGTATTAACTGACTGACGTTATTGATGTGTACCTGGTGCTAGGCGAAAGACTTCGCGTTCGGCCCCCTCCTTATCCAGATCCTCCACCGCCAACCGCGTCCACTCCATGGATTTCCCGCTGGACACCAACGCCGCACTTCCGGCCACCACGGCCGACGAGCCGGCCACTACCGCCGCCGCGGTGGCGGTCTTGTTGATGCCCAGTTTCTTGCCGCTGGCGGTACACTCCCCGGCCAGTGCGCCCAGCGATGACACCGTGCCCAGCGCGGTCAGGAGGATCCCGGCGCCCTTCAGGGCCTTATCATCATGTGACAGCTTGATATACCATGTATCGTTGGTGTCGTTGTAAATCGATAGATAGGAGGCCATCGTGTAGACAAGCACAACAGGCGTTGCGCGTGTGGGAAAGCTGTAAGTTTAAAGGAGATCTAGACAAAGAAGGCAACTGCTAGCAAGTGTTACGATCAGACAACTGTGATTTTTTACGGTGTCGCGTCTTGGGTTTTATATACCGGCATCTTCGACGGGATGACTCAGTTGTGGGATGAGTCAGCTAGATGCAAATGATGGGCCGGTCCTTCCAGATAGCGCATCGATTGCAGACCGGTTCGTGTGTAACAAATACAGACTGTACAGTTACAGTACATTTCCTTGTTGCAGTGATTGTAGACGGGTACAACTCCTTTACCAACGATCGGTACGGTACTCCTTTCCCACCAGACTAGTATGATCGTGCAGTCATACTTGTGTATCAGTATCGATTGTCTGCAGCCGTGACTTTGTGCTTCGTAGTTTTTATGAATCAGCTCGTTCGGTGTAAATGATGTCAGGTCTTGTTTTAGTGTTGCCGGCTTGTAGACAAAACGAAGCGCTTTAATTTAGGCGGCTCATGCTTAAGTTATCCATTACTGGCATTACAGTGCTTTCCTTTGATCTTTTACCGTGATTAAGGATGTTGCTGCCGCGTCGCTGGGTTTCGATTAACTTATCTTTGGAAATCTTTGAAAGTTTTCATTGCACAATTCGGTTGAAGCAGTGTGACAGCTGATCTTGAATGGTTGTCTACAACCTCGTGCAGGAACTATTCCTGATTGTTGTAGACGTTAAGCTGATTAAACAAACAAACAAAGGTAGGAGAAATGACTGTGCGGAAAACGTGTTGTTCTTCATTATCAATGACCGAAAAAACTTGAAAGTCAAAAACATAAATTCCTCCAGATTACGCAGTAAACGCCGGTTCACATGATTAACACTTAGTCCAGCCAGTTCTTTTGTTCATTATGTAGACATTGATGCATACTATTGACCTTTCGGTAGTGAATAACTGGGTTTCACGAAATCGTTTATTACGGTTTTTACTACACTATTTTAATTGCGAGAAACTATCTATGGCTACATACCCTTCGATTACACCGAAAGTCCTCCAATGAACTCTAAAATACTACGTAGTACGTATAGCGATTTGCATTACATTCAGGCCCCGAGTGTAATGCAAATCATTAAAGTACTGGCACTCGTTAGTTTGGTGAAACGCCGATGTGTTGAAAGAATCACGTTAATCATGTTAGTATGGCTTCACCGCGCTATGCTGCTAACAACGGAAAACTTTGCATTAAAACTAGAAATTGTGTGAAGCTTTTTTATAACGATGCCATGAAGGGCTTTATTCCAGCGACACCAAAGAGCCCTTTCTACTACGTAGTTTCTGGTGACTGTAGCACTTACTTTACTGCTGCTCACTTTGCTGTTGCTCAGCCTGCTGCTACAATACGTGGTCAATAAAGCACTGTAATAAAATGCAGTCGCAAAAGACTCACTGGTATTACCATAACCGCACTCTTACATTAGTTGTTATCACAGACAGTTTCGCACTGCTACCGGTAGTGGCTACGCAAGTGCATCGACTGGGGATGCTTGGAGTGTTCAAAATTATGTTGACCGACAAACGGTAAGTAACCTCACTACAACTCTGCAAGTAGCCAGATGGTTGACTGGCTGTAAATGTGGGATGATAGGAAAACATTAGCGCAGAAAGCATGATTTTCTACCCCTAATTCCAGGAAGATCACATTATCACTCTAGTCGGAAGTGGGTCCAGTTTGGCGTTACGAATCCGTACCGCACCGTGTCGTGTACGTGGAACTCGTAGACAGGGCGTAAAGACTCATCATGAAATTGTGCAATCTAGCAATTGCCCGACTGAACATCTTTGCGATACCGTTTTTTGTCTGTTGACAATCGAGGTACGCGCGAATACTCGACCGGTTATTGTCATTCTTCTTGTGCAATTACGATGGATAAGTAAACATTTAAGCGCTGCGATCCAGCAAACATTGCAGTACCTTAAAAGAGCGACACAGTTGCCAGCAGCCGGGACCTATGCAATTATGCGACCGTAGTGCCGCAGATCTTATCGCTGTTACGACTTGGGACTGTTCAAGGCTTTTCTGTTGTCGAAGAACTCAGTCGCTTCAAGATGACCATTCTGGGTGCGCATGGAATGCTGTATTTGATGCTGATATTCCTGAGTAGCCCAATAAGCCTTGCCCAAGCAGGGTTGAGCCGAGAAACCGGTAAGCGCAATTGTGAATATACTGCACACTGACAACGTGAACTTCTATGATGGCAAACTGATGCTTGACCACTGGGCCCAACAATTGCAATATGCGATGACTTTTTCAGTAGTCTGATCCCGTCCAAGTCCACATGTTTTTTTTACAGCCCAAATACGCTCTTAAGTTTTTCCTGGCTTCCGAACTGTTGTTTTTGCAGTTAATGAACTCCTGAACGCTGCATTCCGAAGTCGCCGTAATGGCATCGCTTATTTAGTTGAGCCGTCGATGTCAGCCAGCAAATCAGCGGAAACATGGCCACACGCTAGCATTATTAGGTCACCAGAAGGCGGGACAGTAAGACTGCACTGCAATGGAGACATCGCGGTCGCTGAAGCCGACAAGCACACATACCGTCCAGAGATAGCGGTAAACGGGAACCTACTTTTTAACCCAGAAAAAAATGGCTACATCGGGGCTTCCAGTGCAGCTATGCAACTCTATCGGCGATCACTATGACAAGACCGTTATCCGGGTTGACAGCAGTTCCGCCACGGGATCGTTGACTGTAGATTTACCGGTGTTTTCGCATGTGCATACCGGGAAATACGATTGCTTGCAGTACAACGGCAGCCACGTTGTTGTTACTCAGACCTTCTTTGTCAGTCCGATTGTCACCGCGTCCCACGTTTTTCAACCGCCGATGGTCAACGTGACGGTTACGGTTGGCGATACCGCTCGTTTTCCATGCTACGTGAAGTTCTTAGCCATGGAGGGCAATTTTGAGCATCGTTTTCTTTGGAGAAACGAAGACTATGTTTTGTATGCAACGGGAAACAGTAAATTCGCAACTCATTCTGCGCGGGGAGACATTGCCTGGAGTGTCACCACCGTCGTTGGAATAAGTCAGTGTTATTCGACCTTGATTATTCCGGGTGTACAGGCGCAGCATGCCGGGCGCTACCAGTGCTGGTTTAAGGTGGATGATGTTTTCCACGAATGGGCTTTGCAGGAAGCGTATCTCAACGTAATCACGTGACAGTGTATTGGCTAACACGGGCAGGAAAATGGTTGCATGAGCCTGTTACAGTGCTTTACGCCGCTTGTGCTGGTCAGGTCGGTTGTGTTTGCTAATTGCTTAGATGGCATGCTGAGTCCATTTTTGTGCTTCTGCGAGCACGTGTTGCTCTTAGTGGCTTAGTACTTTAGCGTAAAAATGTCAGTAGTCGGGAGTATCAACCTGGTGGTGTATTATATTATCCGTCCGGAGGCAACCGAGAAGCGTGAGTGAAGTGTTGAAGACACCAGCAGTTCTACGAACTGCAAAGACTTCAACTCGACCCTGATCGTTTTGAATTCGCATTAAGTTTCAAGCAGTTGGACAGAGTGGGTGTTTGAACTCGTATCTACACAGATCACGAACTGCAACAACAACCAACAGGTACAGTACACATCAAATTACCTGTAACATAAAACGGAGCAACGCACTAATCGAAAGTAAGAAAACAACTATTAGCGTAAAGGCCGTCCGTCATCAACACAGCACTTTATATGGAACCGCAAGCGTCACGCAGGCCGATACCGGTGCCTGCCGTACTCCGGGTCGCTCGGCTGGCCGCACACTGCTCCACAGATTCAACGAAGCATCGTACACTTCCATCCCGGTTAGCGGCATCCCGTCGCGGTTGCAGCCTCCGCACACGTGCAGCTTATCATGCAAGACGAACATGCAGTGTCCGTAACGGGGCACAGCCAGGTCGGGAAGGCGCTGCCACCGGGCGCCGGCCACGCCCAACTGCAGTCGCTCGCCGCTGCGGAGAACGGTTGTTCCGGCCGCCGGAACCTCTCCGACGCCGCCCGTCACGTACAGGTAGCCTTTGTGGACTTTGGCGGCGAAACTGCAGCGCGACTGGAACATTACCGGCAGACTGCTCCATTGGTTGGTCGCCGCGTTGTACACTTCGCCGGTGGCAAGGATGTCGCGGTTGCGGCCCTTCGCGGGATAGCCGCCACAGAGGTAGAAACAGTGGCCCCACACGTCGAATGCCGCTTCTTTTCTGTGAAAACACGGAAAAGTGTTCGACGAGCATAGTGCAACAGCCGCATATCATATCTAGTTTTTTTCGCTTATTTGGTAACTTTACGTAAACGTATGCTTACTTATATTGGTCTGGCATACCCGCTGTTCATTTTCCCAAACAACACCAAGTTAACAGACCTGGATGGTTTCAAAGCGCTGCATGCTATATCACCAACCTAATGCGCTTGGGATTGCGGATATTGTGTTCGAAGAGGAGCGAAGCGGGACCAAAAGTGTAGGAACTCGTGTTCTTCGTAGCGCCGGTGTTCCAGCCGTATACCAGACCGTTGAGACTGACCAGTGGAAATGCGGCATCGGCCATCTGCTCCTCGTAGATATATTCCATCTGCGCATTCTCCAGAGCATCATCTTCATCAGCATTCAGTGTCAAGGCGTAGGTTCGCAGCTGCGCGCCGTGCTCAACGCGGAACCACACCCGGTTATTGACCACCGGGCCCATCTCCTTCAAAGAGTTCCACGTCTGCAGTTCCACCGGCAGCGAAAGCGGATGCAGTTTTTCTGGTGCGCGTCGTACAGGCGCAGACTGGCAGTGTGTCGGTCGGCGTAGAACAGGCAGGCCACTTCGGTGAAGTGTCGTTCCCGCGGCACGGCGATTAAACGGACGCCCGTCGGCGGGAAGAGGCGCGCCTGCAGGTCCAAGAGGACGTCGCGCAGTGGTTCACTGGCGGTGAGGATGGCCACTGGCAGAATCTCAGACAGCAGATCCCAGCGGATCTCGGGCATGAGAACCTGGAAATTCTCCGCCGTCCAGCGCGCTGGGTAGTCAACGTGGCACCAGTTCATCACTCTCTATAATGCAGTCACTGACATAATTGGGGTTATGATGTAGGAGCTATTGTGCGCTTGTACGTGTGTCCCAGCTGTACTAGCGATGACGTATTCTACCTGTGCTCTTATAGTCTTATTGGCAGCCTCCGACCAGAAGCTGTGCTTCGTCGTCGGCTAGCAATCGGCAGTCTGTGTGAGACTTGGTTTGAGTGAACATCAGTGTGATTCAAATGGTTAACATCGTCTTGATTCTGTGTTTGTGTAGTGAGTTCGGGTAGTGAGCGACCTTCGTTTAGGGAAAGCACTAGTTGGCATTCCTGTGGTGTAGTAGTGAGTGTAGTGAGATCCTGTGCCGTGTTTATCTACGGCAGCAGACAAACGGCAAAACCAACCTCCAGACTCCAGAGTTCCTTCTCTAGCAACTGCGGTCAGATCGGTGAGCTCGGTATAGTGCACGCGGTGCGTCTATTATGTCAGCGTTCTACAGGGACCTATCCAGTGCCCGATAGACAGAGAAATGCAGCGGCTGTTTTGGGCACATTTAATGCACGTCCTAAGATCACCAATGACACTAACGATTTTAGATGTTTTTGCATTGTTTAAATTTTGATCGTTGGACAAGAAAGTGGTGTAACGTTTAGACTACAGCGGTCTTTTATGCACACAGCACACGCACTTACTTGATACAACTCCATCTCCGAGGTGACAGGCAGGAAATCTTGCCGGATCAACGCCAGGACCTCCACTAAAGATAGATGCGCGTAAGCCATAGCAGGATCGACCGACGGTGGTTTGCTTTGGCTGGCGTTTCCGTGCGCTTTGTTGGCCGTGCTGGACGGAGCGCTGGTCGCTGGCTGCGCAACTCCTAGCTCAGCGTAATATTTTGTACATTAACAGAAGATATCTCTATGGAGAAAAAAGCGGAAAGAGAGCCCTACCATGCGATGGTGCCGGTGTCTGTATGGTCTTGATTGCCAGCTGGACGGTCTGACACGCCACGGTCACGGGTTGTTTTGGCGCTTCTACACACGTACCAAATATGTAGCAATCCCCGCAGTAAAACGTGTGTTTTCCTCTAAACATTATCCATGGTATATCACTGCTTCTACAAGTACACTATAGTTCTGGCCCTTTGTCACGGTGTATCATTGCTTTTAGTTCCGGCCCTTTATAAACTTTTGCTGCCACAAATGTAGGATAATTTCAATATTTTCAATAAACTTTCAGCAATTTTCGCAGTGAGACCATTAGCTGGCACCACTCCGAATCAACCCGAAACCAGAGTACCGAAACCTTGCTTTACAAACTTCACCAGTTTATAACTTCTAATAGATTTCTAGCAGTTTTTAGAGCCAGTTATTTCGATTTCTATAAGGGCTGCTGGGTTCTCAAGCATCACCCCCGCCTTCAGTCCGCCTTTGAATTCGCCTTGAATTTCTCAACCTGTACTACTAAACACGTACTACTAAACACTCAACCTGTAAAACACGGTAGCTTACTGTCGGTTGTATCCTGCGCCTGCAGTGTGACAGGCAGGGGGATTTTGAAGAACGCCGCGGCTGCCAGCAGCTGGCTGGCGGTGCTACAAGTTCCGTGCCCCTGAACGCTGGCGTCCAGGGGCAGACGGGGATTGAGGGTGGCCAGCAGGACGAGGTGCGCCGCCCAGGGATCGATGTGCCGCGGCAGGAGGACGTGACACTCGTTGTCCTGCCGGTGATGCGGTATCGCCAGGGCCTCCACCTTCGACCAGGGGGCGTACAAGACAAACTTCCCCGTCACCACTGCCACCAGCTGCGGAGGCGCACGCTGTTCCCGTTCTCCGTCGCTGACGCTCGCCCTAACGTCGCGTCCCGGGTCGGGCTTGACACAGACGCTCTTGGCGGTAGTGTCGCCAGCATCGTCCGCTTTCCGTTTCCCTGCGATCTCCGCAATCGAGATCGCTTCCATGACCATCGCAGTTCTCAAGCAGTTTCAATGAACACAATGCGCCACTATCCGGTACAACAACCACAAGATGATAGCAGGCAGCAGCGGAACGCCACTGTTTTCCAGCTCACTCGATCGTCAAACCTCCTAGGACGGGTATATGGATCCTTTGAATTCCTTTCTACCGTATTTAGCGATTGCTTTATTGAGCTAGTGGTTGTGAAACGATAAGAATGCTTCTCTCACGCTCATGAGCGCACTGACTGGAGGGACAAGAAGCATTCTTATCGTTTATCTCAAAATTTTCGTCAACGGTTGCCTGTGATCACAGGCAGTCGTTGAGGAAAATTTTGAGAGAGCGTTCAAAGCTCACATGATTGCTCCAGCTAGATAGCTCGTTGGTACAAGTGGTCGGGTGCAAATCGAGAAGAGAACGGTGAATGCGTGACTGCAGTACAGGACTTAAAAATTGTAGCAGCATAGGCAAGTTGAAATGGGCGCGTTCAGGGCGGTGAATCGCTTTATGGCTATGCCAACTGGCCAAGCTGGCGTCTGAATCTGCACTTCACTTTGAGCGGCGAGATTTGTCTGCACTTTAACATTTTGTTGTCATTTCCATTGTTTCGTAAACAAACGGGCAGTATACCTTAAGGCAATTTTCTTTTCTTGTGAGTTTGACCGTGCTATTTATTTACTATTTATCCAGGCGTACTTCACTGCTGTTAAACTTGCTTCCTACTTTTCGCTAAATTTTGTATGCAACGGTTTACCGGCTGCTTGCGCTTTTACATAACAAAAAAACTAATTATTCAATTTCTGCATGACCATTATTCGTAAATCGGCAGCGACTGTCTCTTGAGATACAACGCGGCAACGCCGCCTCTGTTTTGGGCACCTCAGAGAGAGCGGAACTGTATAATGAGCTCTTGTTTATTTAGCTGTTCTTAAACCATGTACGCGTTCGGTTTGAAATAGAAGTAAAAGTATTCGTAAAAAAGAATCATTATACGGTGGGATGCACTGCTTTGAATTACCGTTTGATTCCTGTTAAAGCTGGCCGTGCTCAAAAATACGTCTTGACGCGTGCACTGTGGTAACCTAACTTCACTTAAAATGTACAGATACAGAGTCTGTATTTCAGAACTCCGTCCGAGGATCAGAAGTCTGGCTGTTTGTAGTACTGTAATGCTCTCGAAAAATATTTCCGGCACTAGTTCCAGCGAACTTTGCGGTAAGACTGCAGGTATTGCGAAAACGGAGGACGGTGACCTTTGATAGCACCCCATGTGAACGCGGGGTGGCATTGGTAACCGTTTTAGAATAAATCCCGTATGCGAAGTACTTAGCAGCAGGGCTCTGTTAACTGCCGGCTCTTTGTGCTTGCCCAAATCAATAAGAAAAATGTCAAATTAAATTTTGCACTAACACGGCGAAATAATAAACCATACCGACAAATATGTATAGTTGTTGTAACTAACGAAGAATTACGTGGTTCCGTAACAGAGAAACACCCGTTTATCCGGTTTGCAACCACAACTGAAGAGATTTTAGCCCCGTTTAATTGAACACATCAGGAACACCGACAACTGTTAATTAAGACTTAAGTTACGCTAAGTTTGTGTAACACTGTAGAAAGGAACAACGGCTGTAGTAACCGTAGTAACCGTCAATTCATCACAACTCGTACAACAACGGCCCGAATTTCTCCCTGGCCCCGCCTGACAATACACTCATACTCCGCGCCGTCATATGCACCGGCCCGTGCTCCTCTTCCCCATGTGCTTGTCCGTGAATCTGCAGCGCTGACTCCTTCCGACGCAGCTCCCGCAATGCATCCTCATTATGCTCTTCCTCCATGTACAACGAGCCCCACGAGCACACCCATGCCGCTCCCACCGATACAGCCAGTACCGCAAAGAATACCGTCCAGATGGCGGTGGTCGAGCGGCTTTGCAGATCCAGTAGAAATCCCATACCTAACAGGAAAATTCCGCCGCCCAGGCCGCTGCTGGCCTGGATGAGGGAGATAGCCAGATCGGTGTTCTCCGGGCGTACCAGACGGGAAATGGCGTGCGAGACGCTGACGGAGTTGATGGCGTAGCAGAATCCGGTTAGCGAGGTGGTCAGGCCGGGGAAAAAGTACTTGGGAATGGCGGCCGTTAGGACTAGGGTGATGAAGAATAAGCCGATGGCGGCCGAAGATATGGTTAACGGTTTGTTCAAGTAGAACAGAAAAGGAAGGAATAGGCAGGCTGTCCAGGCGAAATCCGGGATGGAGCCGGTGATTAGCGCCGCCATGGATTCGGGACGATCCCGATTTTTCTGGAAGAAGATATAAATTTTACAAAGTCAGGATACCAGTCACGATATTCGGTTTAAAACCAATTTTTACAATTTATCTGTTTTATGAAAAATCGTTCATCTTTTGATACTTTTCATTTTACTTCATCATATCAGTACATACAGACAGTACTTGTACGATAATTGCCAGCCGTGTATCATGGACTCTGCGGTAGGTAAATACACGTAGCAGAAATTCTTGTTCGGCTCACTAAAAAAAATGTACACTTGCGTACCAGTAAGAATTCGGGAAAGTCCGCCGTCAGAGTAAACAAAGCGCTGTTGAAGAACGACACTATGACACATGTCAGCCAAAAATGTGTGGGAAGATGCAACAGCTGCGAGAAGATCCCATAGCGCGACGTGCTGCTGATGAGATAGCTGACTTCGGCTTTGGAAAGTACCGGATAGTTCTTGGCAATTAATGATGCGGCAACCTGATAAACATACATAGAATAAACACTTTTATACATATATGGCGCTAATTTTGAAAAAGCGTATTTAACAAGCATAGTTACCAGGGCAATGGTGCCCAGTACTCCCACTGCAAACGTAATCCACAATGTGTTCTGCAGATACACTTTCTCCAGTATGAAGCCGACAGTAGCGAAATTGATAACCGAACCGAGCTGACTGGCCCCAAAATACACGGCGGTGGCGATGGCCAGATTACGGGGCGAATGGAACCAGTGGCAGTGCATCTGCTGCGCTAAGGACATACTGGCGAAGAAGGCGTACCCGAACAGTACCCGGCCGCATAGCATGGCTCCCAGGGCGATGCGGGTCGTGGTGGCATACGGACCGATGGTGAAGAGAAGACTACAATAATGTCAGAATAAGTATTTTTGCTAATTATTTTTTTAGAAAATGCTTAAAAATTACTAGCTAACGAAGAACGATGATAAGAAAAGTTATTTACTAGTAAATTACTAAAAAAAATTATTGTGTGCTCTCAGCGTGCACATAATATATTATGAACCAATCCAGATATTTTTTGCTCTGCAAAAAACCACGCGCTTTTCATGCTGGCCATTTGAAAGTGTTGTCACGTGTATAAATAAATTAGAATAAATTATAGTTTTCTTATCGGGATTTTCAGCCCGGTTTTCATTGGTTTTGCGCAGATGTTCTGTCAAACTTAGGACACATCTCGAATGACTTACTTTCCAATAACCAGTAGGACAGCGGAAATCCCTGTCATGTTGAGAATTCCCAGTCGGGGCGCAATCATCCCCACGGAGAGGGCGCCCACCGCCCCGGCCCATAAACATCCGACATACAGTCCGTTGAACTCGACAAAATTGAAATCCAGACAACTGTAATCCGGTCGGTCGGGATGGGTGCAGGCATCCGCCGAGTATGTCAAACGGGCCACGAAAATACTGACTTGATCATAGACGACACGGTTCGCCATAACGGCGAGACTGTTCAGCGCCAGGAAAATCCATCGCGCTTTGCTGGTGCTCATCGGCGGGTCGGAAGTTTCGTTATCCATGATGATATTATTAGATTAAATAATTTGGTAGATAAAGATTTGTTATCACATTCTTATCGGTGCAATATGTAAACGCAACAGCAAAACTTTACTACGTTTTCTAACAAAAACATCTGCAATCATGTGCTACAGTATAATATCACTGCTATGTAGACGATGTACGGCAGCTTACGCGTTTTATCAGCGGAAAGTTTATTGTTCGGTCGGGGAGAAAAACAAGTGTGTGCTGCTTAATTAATAAGCTCACATACAATCGATTCACGGCCGTTGTTAAAAAAACCGGATTTTCACGGATCTATTAGACAGCGTACAATGCAATGCACGTACATAGGAATTGTATGTACAGGCCTCTCTCGCCATCCGCCGGTACGGCTTATTTGTATCAGTTTTTTTGCGGCAACTTCGATGTTGGCCTGAGAAGTGTACAGCACGCTAAGCATTCAGCAGTAATTATGTATTATATGCGCTGGAGTGTGAAAGTATAAGTGTATGTACATTTTAATAGGTTTGATCGCCTCAGGGTGTCTTTGTGTGATCATTGTGCAGATACGACATATGACCATTGACTTGGTATAATTATTCAATCAAAAATATATTGTTCTGATACGGTTCCTAACGTGACACATGACACTCGAAAGATAAACGTGATCAGGTGGGAAAACTTTACCAAGAATACCTAACTCCGGTGTTAGCCGACCGGCACAACCGGCCTAAATTAAACTCGTCATCTGCCTAACTGATTTACATTATCTCTCCAAGGTATTACGCTTTGTCCATGGAAAACGTGCTCTATCAAACATGATTTCGAACATCCTAGGGAATTTCGAACATCCTATTCGAAACACACAAGGAACGAGTCCCATGTCATGTTGATTCATGCAGCACTAGTGCTGAGCGCAATGCAAGCAGTACTCACAAAAAATCGTAGCTGCTGCCTGAAACAATTTATAAGGCTTTAGCTGCTTTGCTGCGCGCCCCGAATTTTAGGGCGCATAGCGCTTTCGTATAGTCATAAATCTGAGTTTCGGTCTGCCCTACGATAAGCAGACTTATTTATCGGCAAATACATCCACTTCCTCTTCCACTCTATAATGAAGCTCATGGGTGCACGCTTGTCGGAGTTGTCGCTAACCAATAAACATAAAAATAAGGGTTTCTTCTTTAAAATCTTTCGATACTGGGTAGGAGTTCTGTGGATAATGGGCTTCAGTTCTTTCCCGGCAGATGAACTTTCACAGCGTTCGCTATCAACCGTCATTTTAAACACTCTGGCATTAGTACAACTCGCCATGGTTTTCGCGGTAGAAGCATATTACGCGTATGACTACGCTCTGCGCTACGAATTTTCCAATTTCATCGAAGTCGTCATGTGCGCATCGGATTTTTGTGACTGCTTTACAGTAGTTTGCGCTGGTTTGTTCATGTGGAAATCCAAGAAAGTTGTCCTGCGATGCGCTCCGGAAATCGATGAACGGTTCTCTCATCACTTTGCGCATAACGAGCGCATCGAGCTGCTGTTCTTGGTCGCTGCATGGTGCGCTGTGGAAATGTTGATAACAGCATGCGGTATTTTCGTCTACGATCTTCCTGACTTTTATGCCGCGCGATCGCAGCAGTGCCCGGATGCAGTGTGTTATATTTTCACGGCACTGTATTACTGTTCATGGCGCCTGCACGAGTGTGGGACCCGCATTCTGCAAAGCCTGATTTTGTTCATGGGAATTTTTTTAACGGTCCTCATAAGGAAAGTAAAACATTTAGCCAAAACTGAAGCAGATTTTGGAATGCTACGGGAGCACTATGGTGACCTTAGCATCCTTATAGAAATTCTGGATGGAGAATTTTCATGGTTTAATCTGCTAATCGTATCGCAGTATCTGCGCCTCATTATCGTGGAATCGTATCACATTGGGCAGAGATTTGCCTACGAACGTATCATCGACCCGTACAGCTTCTTTCTAATAACCGTATCAGTCATGCGACTGACGGTGACCGGGGTTGTATTCGTGCAGCTTTATGAGAAAGTAAGTTATGTTGTTAGTAAGTAAAGTTCCGCAGCGAGATAGGATATCTGAGTCTTCATACAAAATTGTATAAAAGTAGAACTGAAAATTGTTGGTGATTTATAGATGCTTTCTGCTTGGTCCTTGCTGCGTTGGAAGGCAATACACCCGCTAAATTCGGGCCAGTTCAAAAAGGCCATGAAAACTGCACCCCCTACATTTTCCGTCGGAGGCTTGGTTGTAACAAGAGAACTGTGTCTCGCGGTACGTTACATCGGTACGTTACACGAACTGATACAGTGATGATGTTGCTGTTTATGACCTTATTCTTTTTAACTGCTGTAGATTGCGGGAGAAATAATGGGATTTGCGGTGGTCTTCAGCGATTTAGGCCACGAAAGCAATTCTCCTACCAAAAGCTGGTTTCTGGGAGAAATTTCCCATGCACTGTTTATTGGTGAAATTTAGTCGAAATGTAGGAATGTGCTGCGTTGGTCGAAATGTGCGAGGTCACAGAATTATTTTCGTAATCAACAAACAAGTTGACTTTTTACAGCCAGTAAAATGAAGTTTTCTCTTGAAGTTTAATGAGCAATGTGTACACAAATAAAAAGTTCACAAGTTGACAAATTCTACGCTGTTGCGGTCATCTCGAGAATCGCAGAATCCAAGGTGTGATTGGCATCCTGGGAGCGCAGCTTTCTTTCGCTGAGTTCGGCAATTAGGATAGTGTAGCTTAAGAGCGTAACAAATACCTGCAGCAAAGCTGCTCTTGTTACATATGTAAATATGTGGATATCCATGATGTTTCCATAAGTTGATTCAAGTGATGGGTTAGTATACTAGTATACAAATTCAAACAGCATCGGCTTACCGTAACCGCTGCTTCCCGGGACAGCATGATGCCGGCAACTGTCAGACACGATCTTTGTTCCTGGATCCTAAACAATCGAGCGCGTATGTTTCTCCGAATTGGTTTAGAAATGTCGTCACTCCAAACCATAACAGTTAACGTGCGCTCCACATTGCACTCCTGCAAAACAGGAACAGCGTCTAGCTCGGATTAATAAAAGCTTGAATAAACGTGGATGTAAAAAATAAGCAAATTTTCTCCCACTACAAAAATAATATCAGCAGTAATAATGTCGCGCATTTTGTACAGCTAAACAGCAGCATAGGTAAGTAAATCAAATGTTTTTAATTATTCCGGCAAAAATTTTATAATACAAGCAAACGATAATTACGTATTATTACATAAATAACTGAAATCGTAACCTCCGCTATGTGCTAATACACAACCTGTTTAAGAAGCGGTATTGAGGAAGTTACACAAAACTCTTGTAAAAAACAAGTACAGTCAAACTTTCATCACGTAGACGGTAAATTTGGAAGTGTATTGTACCTGTTCCATTGCGTAAATGAAAACGGAAAGATATACCGTTAACATGACCACACCCGATGTCACCGGAACATAAACCAACGGACTCGTATAGCCGGGTGAATAGTGCTCCTCACACAAACCGTAGATCGCCAACAACAGACGCAAGATCCGTTCCCACAGGATCACCGCATTCATCCAGCGGATGCTGCGATCCAGCAGCGACACAGCGTTGCACAGATTCTCACAATCGAGCATCTCCTCGCTGACGTTGGTGGATTTTAATTTTTCGTTCATACGGTGGAAAACGCAGCCGGTTATTACCGCGCTGATAAAGATAAACATTTGACTAATCTGTTTACCGGCAACCGAGAGAATGCCCACAAACTGGTAAGTAATAAGTATTCCTGGCGCATGATTAGTAACAAAGCCAGAATCATGATTATCGATAAACTGAGCAACTTGTGCCGAATGATCCCGGACGCACTCATAAATACTAATCGATGCATTCTGAAATGGATGCAGTATAAAAACGACTGTTATAAAAACTATGACAAAAATTCTATCCGTTCGTGTTAAATACAGAAAACTATATCGATCCACTAAATCGGCGAAGTTCTGCAAAGCAGATGCCCCTTTCCATAATATCGCCACGTATATGAGATGTATTGTCGGGACAAGGTAATTATGCAGTTGCAGAATGGATTCCGTTACGCTGGCCGACGATTCGGAGGGAAGAGCCAGAAATTCCACAACTTCGAACCAATTAGCTGCTGATTGAATTATAACGTAAATTACCATAAACGTGACGACAACGTTTTGACGAATACCGAGGCGGACACAGTATTTTTCTGAACAGGGAAGATATCCAAATGCTACCATAATGATAATCCATACATTTAAAATTCTGCTATAGCTTTGAGTATTCTGATTCATTGTTCATTTCGAAGATGAAACGTTTTTTTAAAAAAAGAAGATTCGTTATCGCAGAAACGTGATAAAAATTCACAATTTTCCAGCTTTATAACCGGAGACTGCAATAAATCACGGCCAGAACTTATCCTTGCACGGTTGTACCTGTATCTTGGCGATGGTGTCCGCGGCACTTTGTCATTTGATACTCCACTTATGATTAAAGGTAAACAAGGTATATGCATTACCCAGTTGCTCTGATGACGACGGCTGTGTTCGATCAATAATACTCGTATTACACAATCGTGTCTTACAGTAAAAAAAAAACATGATTCAGTTGTCATTCTTTTAACCGCAAGTCGCAAGTCATAAATTTTATTTCAACCAGACACCTAACCAGCAAATTATTGGCCCAATAGGTTATATTACTAAACACCGGTCCGGTGTTTAGTTAGACATTGAACCGAATGCTGGATAAAAATAAGTGTGCATTATATTCTGCACAAATTTGGCAGTACAAAACATTTAAATGTAGTTTCAAATTTCAGCCAAAATTGGGCCTCTAACAGCGCCCTTTTGTGGACGTATAGCAACGGAAATAGACACATAAACAACATACAAAGTACAAACAACTGATAAAAATAAATACATAATATACATACATATAAATAGATACATAGCAAATATGCATGCAATTATACGTTGATTACACACGCAGACAATCACAGAAGCATGTACTACTTTTATACGCGCGCCAACAAAATGCCCATGAAAGAATCAGTACAGTATGAATGCAGGTTCATCAATAAAATTATATTATTCTGTTATAGGCTTCTACTGCAAAGCTTCATAAATATTCCGACAAATCGCAGCTGCCAGCGGTGCAGCATTGCTGTCAGTGAAACGCTTTATTTATTCTGCCGGTATTATTTTATTTTGGTGATCAGATCATTTGGGAAACTTCGCTCTAACAGTGTGCGTTGCAACACAACCTGAACTTCAAGAAGAAGATGCCACGAATTGCAAATCATTGGTTTCAGCCGGGGCCTAAAAACAACCACGTATCGCCATTCAAGCTCTGTAACTGGAGCGCAAATGCTAATCTATCGAACTTTTAGTCTCTTATACGATGATTTCGTAAAACGTTTCTTGAAATTTTAGAACAACATTCACTAAAGCAGTGAAAATATATTTCGCCATGTCCTGATAGTATTCTTGTAATCAATTTTATGCTGGCACAAGGCTCATTCTGTTTCCGGTGAGAGCAAAACGTACCTTCGGCAGATGTGGCTTTTTTTGTTGCGTCGAAAACACTGGATATATGCGAGCCCGCGCGCAGACGATCTAAGAAAAATAATCGCTATGGAAATTTAACCTTTTAATCGTCTTCTTTCAGTTATCGGTAGTTTTCACCGGTCAGTTATTACTAATCCCGAGTAGTGAAATTTGATATCTCACAAATGCAGCCATTTAAGATTATTGTGGACAAACATGTGGCGTCAGTCACGTACCAAGGCCGAAATCGGGACGGCGCAAGCGTTTACTGCTGAACACAGACGGAGCCGACATGACTAATTGGCCTGACTGCTTGTCGGATCCGGGATTATCTTCCAGTATACTCTTCAACAGCAATACGCTGTCCGCAAAGTTGAAGTCGTACTCTACCCGGCGTTTATCATGAACCCTGCAATAACATTTTGCAGTACAGATAAAGCAGAAGCAGAATCAGCTCAACTGCAAAAAGAAATTTTGTATCTATAATTATAGACTGTAAATACGTACGGAAGCTGAAAGTAGCTCTGGCATTGTGCAGCGCTCGAACATATGAACACCGTCAGCGCAATGCGGATGAATACGAAAAGTTTGATCGTTAACAACATGTTATTCTCACGTGGTAACTACAAAACAATTGTATGCGAGAAACCACTGGTGAATAAAATGAGCGACGGCAGTCAGACACCGCATTTAATACCAGTCGAGATGTAGTTTACCACAAAATAACAAACACTTAACACAGTGTGCGGCGACACAATAACATGCGACACAATCTTATTAAAGTTTCCCCGGGAAACGGGAATCAATGACCAGATAAGCGGCGCATTTATGGATAATGAGGCCGGTAGTCAACTGCTCCCTACATTTAAATTGCCATTGAGGAAATTATACGCCGTGTCTGTCATTCTCTTTCAGAAATCCCCAGAATTATATTAACGGCAGGCACCTGGTCCTTTAATAAGGTGTCCAGAGTAAGCAAACCATACATTTACGTTCAAACTTCAAAGCCGTCGGAAGTGTATCGAGTTCGACAAACCATTGAACGCTTATAGACTATCTGACTGTATTGATGACGCTGTACATGGACACTGGAAAGCTTCCGTTGGAGGTTACCCAGGCAGGGTTAGATTGATGTCTTGGCTAGGGGAGACTGCCGGCACGGGGTGGGCCGCTTCCGCTGCTACGTGACGCTTTGTGGCCCATCTTCAGATCAGCTGGGCATGCATGGACTTTCGTATCTGTACCGTTGCACTGCGTGGATACTTAATATCCACTTATGCTGCGGCCTAGCTCATATTTTAACCGCACAACGGCTTCAACTGTCACTAGACTTTAAAGAAATACAAAATGGAGAAAACCGTGGCGCATGAGTAGCCACTGTCAAAGGAAAACTTAAGGGGAACTATTTTTCGACAGTCTTTACTTGACACCAGCACCGCTACGCAGAGTTAGTTATACTCAGCACGTTTTCGTATACTTAATTTACCTTGCAGAAATTGCATTTACTAGCTGCAGAATCAACGGGACTTGAAGAAATATTACAGATTACTATTGGTATACCATTAATAAAAAAGCGCTTAAAATTACCGAAGCCGATGTACTTGTTTACTCTGGCAGTGTGCACAAAGTATGTATAATAAGCAATGCAGTACGCTAATTAATGGTATTCATGGAACCCGAAAACTGGCGGGACTGTTGGTACAGATAGTTTGAAGATTAAGTTATTGGGCGAAAACTCATTATTGTCCCGCATTGCAGTAATGGGCGTTAATGGCGGTTTTCTTTGACGGCTGATTGGAATCGAGGTTGCGGCATTCATGAACAGCCTCGTTAACCGTTCTTTGCAAACTTTTGCGCTAACCCACAAAAAACCCACAAACTTGCGCTAACCCACAAACTTGCGCTAACCCACAAAAAGCATGTACGGTACACACCTATTTGGACTATTGACTACCACATATGTAATGCCGGCCACTCTGCCTGTTGCGAGCAGTGCCAGAGACAGCTAGCCTGCGAACTACTAGAAGAAATTTAATTCCGCGTTAATTTTTGATTGCGGTGTAGGCATTAAAAAGTAACCGGACAAATAGAGTGTAACGCCACTATTTGTATAGGCGGCCTTTTTAAGGCCATAATGAAATTAGCGTGATTTTTAGCATTTCGTGAGACAAACATATGACGACCGGTAATTTGTTTGGAGTAACCGTTTGTCCGTTTCTAATGCGAGCGCCTGTATTTGGGAGAACTAATAACCGTGCGCGGTTAGTCATATAAACGAGATTGCTTAAAGAAAAAACCCTTTCCGTATGTTTGCCCCATGCACAGGCAAGTACTTTCTACTTTCAGAATCGCCAACATTGACCGCTAGACTAAATGCACCAAGATGATAATCCCAAGAAAAGCAATTTATTTAAATTCAAATAATTTTTCTTGCTTATGCTTCATTTGATTTGTTTTCATAAACGGCTCCAAACCTCGTAATTTTCAACTTTATTATCGATTGCCTTGCATTTAGAATCTACGGACAAGATATGATATCGGTCCTCGGCACAATCCTGGGAGCGGAACGGTTTTGGGAATTCCGCTAGCCGAAAAACAAGAGCTTTGGTGTTTCCGTCCACTCCAGTGGGCGATACATGAGCACAAGGAGAAGTCTTATACAGTATGTCAAACATTTACCCCGATGAAACCGCGAACTGGAAACGTACCGGAAACCATTAGTTTTGTATAAATCGTGTGAGCTAACGGATACCCTTACCACAGACGGATTATACCATTTTTAAAAATGGTCTACTGTACATAACGATTACGTGGGAACGTAATTCTATTGAGCGCGTTCGACGTTTCAGCAGACAAAACTGTTAGTTGGGGACAAAAGCAACTATACAATTTACAAAACATGTTATCAGGTTTGCGTTTGTAATACAAATTGTCTTCATGGAATTCCCATCGTAAACAGCATTTGATCGTCGTCGGGCGACGTCGGTTAACCGTTGCAAATGAATCGTCACGTGCAGAATTTATTGTTCCTATTCAGCAATTTATAAGCTTTTCTCTCGTCTTCCTGTAATTTCTGCTACTGATATACCTGCTGCCTGCTGCAAGAAAATACTCGTAATAAGGTTCGATACTGTCGAATGCAAAGCTATCGTTGTCCGCTTGCAACTGCACTGTAATTTTTCTAGCAGCGCAGAAAATTTTGCTCGTGTTGCATTTGAAACGATCAAGACTTATTGAGTTTTTGATTGATTTTGAAGTTTTCGTCATGAACAACACAAGTGCCACCGCCGGACTTTTCATTCTAAAACTCGATTCACTCCACCTGGATAATATTTTTACAACCGTTTCCTCTGCCCTTTGCGTTATGACTGCCGTGCTGTTTTTGATACTGATGACGATAGTTGTCGCACAGAGATCCCTTCGCACTGGATCCGGCGCTTTAATATCGCATCAGCTATTTGTCGAGTTCTTGATGGTCACTGTTCACTGGCCGACTTTTATTTGGATGATCAGAACATCCCAAAATAGTGCACCACCATCACACGTCTTTTGCCGGCATTATCACTTTGCTTACATGATCATGGTGACCGCCAGTCTGTGGAGTTTAACCATGTTGGCGGGTAACCGTCTCGTTGCTATATATTTTCCGTATATTTATGAAAAATTTATCACACCGGTGGCGTTATGCAGCGCAGTTGCAATAACCTGGCTCATTGGAATTACGATACATGTGCATACCTATTTGGGTATCGACGGCGGTTTTGTGGCAACGCCTCCGTTTGGGGTGTGTGGTTTTGGACACATGGGCAGCGCGTTTAACTTCCTCAATGTAATGCGGGCGTGGTTGTCGGTGGGACTGTCCGGTTTATTTTACCTGCTGATTTTCATAAAGGTCGGCCTGGGGAGAATACGGCGCAGCCACGTAGCGCCCGGTTTACCCAGTGTTACATTGTCTACTTTGAGAGCATCCGGGCTTCGACAACAGGAAAATCCTGTGCGTAAAAACAAGCTGAAAAAACGGCTGCATATGGCGAAACTGTTGGGCTGTGCGTGTCTCATCCATGGATTCTGCTTTCTCGCGGTGCCGATTATGGTGTTTGCTGCTCCGGGTACTTTTCAACGCAATCCGATGATCGGGAACTGGCTGCGATCGGTGTTCTTTCTGGGATACGCGTCGACTCCGGTAAGCAGCATTTTTCGTGCTCGTTGTACCGCTTTTTGTTAATCACTTGAACTGTATTATATATGAGAATAATAAAATCAAAATTTTTTGGTTTTATTCCGTTGCAGGTATTACTTCTGGTAATGAGTCAGGAATACAGGAGCGCGCTAAGAAAACTGTTGCATGGACAGAGCGCTTGGCAGCGATAAAGATTTTAGTAACGTTACAAGTGCACTCCGGCCCGTCTTGTTTTGGTTGACTCAAAAACTTCTCGGAAAGTCCCGCGTGCGCTACATTATTAGATTTGATGCAAAGAGCCTAGATAGTTCCTTTTATTCGACGACGAAGAAATTAATTGTGTATAACACATCTTAACGCGAATCAACTGAGCTTTAATGCTCAAATAACTATGTAGTTCTCCGATTGCGTTTTCTTATGCTTTTAATGCTTTTATGGTTGTATAATCTATGTCACTGTCAACATCGTTGTTGGATGACTGACCAGGTGGGCGAATAAGATCGTGTAAATTGCTAATTCACGTGGGTTCACTAGCCTGTTGTGATTTCTTCGCGAGAACTGTGACTGTCACAGAAGGATGGCGAAAGATTATCTTGTTTAGCATGTATGTTTCCAGTCGCTAGCATTTCATACCAAAATAACCGGTTTAATACTCAAAACAAAAGTCATGCTGCTGTATTTGCAAAATTTAACAATACAACGAAATTGGAGCGACAAAGGTCAGAATTCAAATTAACATAACAACCTTTTGTTGATATCGGTACTTATGAAGGTGCCATGATACGTATTCTTGATTCGATGTACAAACAGATATATTTTAAGTTCAATGAATTTAAGCAGTCTGTGCTGCAGAAAGCTTAAATTATCCAATTGATACCTGGACGTTCATCTGCAAGCGCTCAGTATTTGCCCACACCATGTGTAATCACACGGCAGCCGTACTTCATTACAAGGAATTATACTGTTACATTAGACATGTAGACCAAAATAATTAGGCGTGTCTATACGTACCTAGAAATTACTGGTTTCGTGTTCTCGTAATTACCGGAACCAGTGCACAGAAATAACCCTTTGAGATGAGAAATGGGAGAAGTTTTGTTATTCTATCTCACGTCCGCAGCATCATCGGAGGCAGCATTTCCCCTTTATATACGATCCATGTTATCTGTTAACTAAATTACCCTTTTGCAGTACTGCTGCCCTTTTTTTCTACAGCCTGTAGGTACTTCAATGTGGAAGGCGTCGATAACGATGACTTATTTTCTTCAACCGCTGTAGCCATTCGAGTCTGCGATTTTGTCGGGCATGCTGCCTGGTTGCAAGTATTGCTTAACCCTTCTCGTTTATATTTTTCCTAAAAATCCCATCAATAACTCATCTACGCGACCTTTAGGATTTCTGTCATGAACAACACAACGAACAGCACCGGACTGCGCATTTTCAAACTCGATGCAATTCAACTGGATATTTTTACTAGCGTTTCCGTTGCGCTTTGCATAGTAACATGTGCGTTGTTCTTGTTGCTGCTCGCGGGGATTCTCGCACAGCGCTCCCTGATTGCTGGATCCGGCGTCCTGATTTTTCATCAGCTGTTAGCGGAGCTGTCGATGGTCGCCGTACACTGGCCGACCTTTATCTGGATGATCCAAACATCCCAAATCAACACACCGCCATCACACACTTTCTGCCGGCATTATCACTTTGCCTACATGATTATGGTAACCGCCAGTCTATGGAGTTTAACAATGCTAGCGGCTAACCGCTTTATCGCTATATATTTTCCGTATGTTTATGAAAAATTTATCACACCGATGGCTTTATGCAGCGCCATTGCGCTGACCTGGTTAATCGGAATTTCTGTACATGTGCATACTTATCTTGGTGCTGAAGGCGGATTTGTGGCGACTCCCCCTTTTGGAGTGTGCGGGTTCGCCCGAATGGGCAGCACGTTTAACTACCTGAACATCTTACGCGCGTGGTTGCCGGTGGGAATGTCCGGTGCTTTCTATCTGCTGATATTCGTGAAAGCTGGTTTAGGCAGAATACGGCGCAGTCACGTTGCACCTGGGTTACCCAGCGCCACATTGTCGACTATCAGAGCTTCGGGTCTGCGTCTGGAAAACCATACGGTGCGCAAAACTAAACTTAAAAAACGGTTGAATATGGCGAAACTGTTGGGTTGCGCGTGTGTGATTCATGGATTTTGTTTTCTTGCCGTGCCGATACTAGTGTTCTCTACGCGCGGAGTTTTTCATCCAGTGATCGGTTATTATTTGCGATCCGTGTTCTTTCTAGGCTACGCGTCAACCCCGGTAAGCAGAACTAACACATATTGCACTAATATGGTGAGGAGGTTAAAAAAAACCACAATTTTACCTACTAAAAATAATTTTGTGCTTCTTTTTATTACAGGTTCTGCTGATGGCAATGAGTCGGGAGTATCGTACTGCGTTAAAGAGACTGTTGTAGATCAAGGGCATGGGCGCGACAATTACAGTATTTGTATAGTGCAACAGATACGCGCTCCGGCATATGAAGTCATGTGGGTCAATCCTGTTGCTACTTAAAATAGGTAGCCGCTATGCCACCTGATATACAGAGTATTTTTTTATAGAGAAGCTGAGGCGATAGAGAAGATATGTGCGAGTGGGGTTATCTGGAAGCTTATTTCCATTTGGTTTAGTGACGAATTACTTTATTGGTCAAATCAATGCCTCAATACACCAATTCGAAGAAAAGAAAACACGCTAAACTATAACAGAAAAATTTCGTTCAGCTTATCCAGTCCTTCCATAGTGCCTAGCACTGACGCCGCATTTCCCCGTTGAATTTCTATGGACAATCGCTGCCACAGAAATTCGTGCGAGCGTGCTTCTCCGGTGTACTGCTGCAGTCTTTTTCCCAGTTCTTTGATGATGGCGATCGCCGACGGTCCTCACGGGCCCAGTGTTTCGAAGGCGATCGGGACGAATAGGTAGCGGCCGACCAGATAGGAATATAGTCCTGATTTCCGTAACTCTGCTTGCATGGCGGCCGCTCCGGCTGTGGTGGAAGTGGCCTTGACATGTGAAAGCGCAACAGTGTCTACACAGGTCACGTCCCAAGCGAGGCATAATCCGCGTTTCCATGCAAAAGTCGTGCAGCCATCTGGGCGGCGTTCATTGATGTGAGAGGTGCCCCGCGGCTCCAGTTTCGCGGGCACACCAGCGGATACAAAGGCTCTGCAGACAATGCTGTTCAACGCGCCGTGACGTGGATGCCGCCCGGCGGAAAAGGCACATGACAGCCCGTGGTGCCCGTAACCACCAACCGGTTTGTGGCACTTGACGCAGTCGTGGGGTTCACAAATTGTAGCACCGAGACGGAGGCCGATGCTGATCTTCAGTTCGTCATCGCCCAGTAGATTACCGATGTGAGCGGACGGTAAGGCGTTCAACCAGATGCCGGCCTCTGGCCTGGACTGGGCAAGCAGGCGCGCTGTGTTGACTTCGTCTCCTTGAAACACCTCCAGCAGGGCCGCAAGAGACACGTTGCATAATGGCAAGTCCCAGGCCTTTTGGGACTTCCGAAATGCAGCTTCCGGGAGTACGGGTTGACGGGCTTTTAATTTCCATGACTCCGAGGCACCAGTGACGTCAGCAGCGGCGTGGTTAGGCAGTAGTGCGGATAGCAAACCGGATACGGAATGAATCGAAGCCAGGAAGGCTGGAAGGGATAATTCTTCCGACCGGCGGATGCCGATTCCACCTCTGCTAACCGGTAACGTTGCTTGACGCCAAGGCGGGTAGTCGTTGTGATTAGTCCGTACATTCGACAAATTCTGGAAACAGCAGCGCATTGCTTCGTCCAGCTGATATAGTAATGCAGGGTATTTCCATGCATTACAGCACCGCAACATGTAGATAATTTTTGGGGCGCCGAGACAATTTTTAAGGAGAAACAAGGCTTGATGACTAGGTAGTAACTGAAGTCGTTCCCACATTAACTTCAAGGTACTGGCCTTCTCGTTCAGTACAGGGCCGATTGCTACATCCAATACGGGTGCACCGAGTAAAGACATGGTGGATTCCGTCAGAATACGTAGTCGTGGGTAACGCTCTAGGAATTCCGCTGTGACATCGCGCTGCGATTCAGATGACCCACCGAATTCCAGCAGTTCGCATTTAGCCTCGTTAACTTGCAAACCGATAGCAAGCGCGCCTTCAATAAGTCGGCGGAAACAATCAGCAACCGTCGTCGGTGCACCGCCCAGGGTTCCCTCGTCTAGGAACCAGGCATTGAGTTCCACGTTCAGGAGTGCCACCAAAGAGTTACTTCAAGTTTGCTATCTTGCATTAACTTTGAATGTCTCCTACATTATCCTCCTTTGAATCTCTCTGTAAATTGTAATTGTACAAAAGTGAGGAGTGCAAAGAAAGGGGGCACAAGAGGTTTTATCTACCATTGGTAATTTGGTAGCGATGGTAGGTAAAACCTCTTGTGCCGCAGCTGTGAGGAAAAACGAATAAAACTGTGATTACTGTCTAAAGTGTATCATTTACTGTACTTAACGTACTCATATAAAAACCGCAGTGCATCAATCAAAATAATGAATATCGGTCATATTGGCCGTTACAATTTAACACCGAAAGTGCCAAGTGCGTTATCGGCAGCTGCAATTCGATTCAGCGATAATGGTTTTGACAGCACTATCGCTTGACAAAAGCGCATCTACCAAATTTAAAAGATGCCTGTATCTTTCTTGCCGTTTAAAAACTTCTTTCTTGGTTACATTCAGCGTAACACAAGCAGCTTCCACGCGCAAAATGCAAGCGACCAGTGCGCTTTCTACAGCTGGATGATTGTACGGTGTACAGATATGGTTATATGCGTTCGTTTTGCTGAGACCTCAAACCTTTTTTTGAACAGGAATACGAACTGTTGCAACCTTGTTAAACATAATCAGTATGACGTCGTTGTTGGCTCAGTTGGTGGCAGCACGCGAACTGCGAAACAAAAGAAGAACGGAGCCGGAATCGTTAAATGAGAGATGTGCATGTCAGTATAAAAGACGAGATAAGCATATCATTGGGTTCGGTACAACGGCCTACGTCGTTGAACTGGCCACAGTGACACAGTGTGGTGCCTCTTGTGGCCAAAACAAGCGAGCCATTAAAATTGCCTCCTTGGCCAATTCAAAAACTGGGGCCACTGATTGGGAACGGATGCGTAGTCGCTGGGAGAATTTATGTGACCTTATTCACCCTCATCTAGTTGCTTACCACAATATCTTTAAATTGCGCCCACTGGACGAACGAACTACCGTCGAGTTTGTAATGGACTATTATCGAGGTAAGGTATTATAAACTCCGTTAATTTCCTAATCTTATCGTTGCAAACATACTCTTTGAGGAACCAAAATTTAGCGTTGTGTTAGTAATGTTACTACCAATACGGACGTGCGTGGAGGATAGAACTCCACACATCCGTACGCTCTGTATTCTGTAATGAGAACGGGTCTGGCTTTTTCATGAGGTTGTCAGCTACAGCAAGTGTTGAGAGTTACTTAATTAACAAGTATTTTCCAAAGCTCTTCCTGACGTTCGTAATCTTTCTCGGATTATAGCGTAGAAGATCACGGTACACTTGTAGTCTGGTGACCCGCATTAACTGACACCTTGTCGCCCAGATCACTGAGGGTTCCAGAATAGGGATTCCTGTTATCCAGATTCGTGTACGTTCCATTGTTTATCACAGTAGCAGTTGATAACTTAATATACATTATAAAGAGTTGCTCTACCGACCGAGTCGTCGTGCCTGGGAGGTGGGTAACCTCTACATTCACCTCTACAAAGGCTATGTATACGACACTACCATAGCGAGATATTTGATAGACTTTTGATTAATGCAGGTATGGTTGCGGTTTGCAGAGTTGAGAAAATACCGAATCATAAGCTCATTTTATTACACGGATAAATTATCTCGCGCATAAAATGGAGATACCAAAACCGAAGCCCAACAGAAACAGCATGCCCAGTTTTCGATTAGCATGCGTAGTTTAGTTCGGTATTTTGCGCTCTTGACCAGCTCGTCAGATCAAGCAGTTAAAATAGCATAAACCAACGGGAAAATATCAGGTACCACTCTTCCGGTTCCGTATTCTTGCTTTTGCAGATGGCAATTTGTCGGAATTATTAGACCGGAAACCGACCGTTGTATCGTCTATTGACCATTCGGTAATTCTTTCCTTTGGAATCCAGATTGCTAACGCGCTGAATTACTTTCATCAAAACGGCATTACCCACGGAAATTTAAAACCCGACAACATTTTCTTAAAGTGCAAAGCGAATAATTATCACAAGCTGATAGTTGGTAGCCTGGAAGGTCTCCACGAACTGTATGACAATCCTCGTGGTGCGCCAGCCGACATAACCCTGTACAAGCCAGAAATTCACTATATGTCGCCAGAGTTGCTGCTAAAACGTTTCACGGATCCCCGACGACCAGTTGACGAGGAAACGGACATCTGGAGTTTAGGCTGCATACTGGTGGATCTGGCCACTTACTGTGCAGGGAAATATAAGAAAGGTCGCCGTTGCATGATTCTGGGCGACCAGAAATTTATCGGTGAAGTGGAGAGAAAGGAAGAGTTCGCTGACAAAGTCGTGACCGGGTTCATTCCGTTCGCTCCTATCGGCACACCCGCAGATTTTGCTAGCTGCATTGAATACTGTTTGCAGGAGAACATTACAAAGAGAGCGAAAGCCAGAGAGGTACTTAGAGAGTTGATTGGCCAAGCAGAAAATACCGTCAGCGGGCTAATGCGAACGGTAGCCTCCTGTGACAAATATGAACTGTACTACCCACTCTGATAATACTCGAAGTTAAAGTATGGTTAATTTCCTGGCAAGATTGAATGTTTTTCAAACGTACTCTCCGGACATTTTTATGTTGTCGCATGCACCAGGTTTATTCGATTATTACTCAGTGCTGCATGGAAAACTAGCAATCTTTCGCAAGTGCCAGCTGTACTCGGCTTTTCCCCGAGTAAATATTAATTTTGTTATCACGTAAACATCCAAAAAGTTTGTGTCAGTATCACCCCCACGAATAGCTGCGATAGCGAAAATGATCGTACGGTACAATGCCGTGAATGAAATCGTGCACGTTTTTTTATTCTTATTTGTTCGATGCACGAATTCGAGCATGTGATATTTCAGAATTGGATAACAAGTATGCACTGGATGTCATTTCGTCTTTTTAAGAAGACTTTAAACTTTAGATGATTAGCAGCAGCTACTTTAGATCATTAGGAGCAGCAATCGTACGTCGTCACAAAACCATGTACAGGTATGTATCTTAAGCTGGTTCCCATCAGTATAAGGTTGTATTTCCTTGCGTTGGAGAGTACTGTCTGTTGTCTTTGGTGGTGATTTCATATACAACCACCAAGTACGTCAAAAGCGCTCCAATAACCTAAAAAATTTAAGAAGAAGTTATACCGTGTTGAAGTGTTCGTGGTCTGAGCGGCAGAATCACTTGTGCGCGATGTGCACGTTCACTGCACAACGTTGACAGCAGAACCGTACAGCTTCTAAGTTATAACAACCAAAATGGTTCTGCTACCCATCTGTATGAGGAAAACAAATTTTCGTATGTGCTTAGCCCAAAAAATCTTGTGTTTGGTACTCTGAATTTTCAAAATATAATAATTAATTTCATTGTACAGTATTTAGAAAAATTCAGATTTACCGTAGAAGCGGCGTAAACTACAATAGGAAAAACCCTGAGAAGAGTTTTTGTGTTTAAGGTTTAAAACACTCCAAAATTCGCGTTTTTGTGCACCAGAAGTCACTTTTACTTTTTGTGTAGCCTGTTAGGAAACAGCTACTCACAAAATCCTCCCTAAAGTTGTTAGCAAATGATTATGATTATGATCCGTGTTATGTCTTCCTCTTTGTCTTACGGCTTTGTTATCTTTTCGTGTCCTTACTGACACGAAGGTTTTTGATAGGTTTGTGACGACCAGCAGTGCTTACGGAAACAATAAAGTTTTTATCGAATAGGACAATTCCCAAGCTGTAAATCCCACTGGATTGTCCCGAACGCGTTCTATGCAGCTGGTGGTAACGCCTTCAATCTTGGGCCTCCATTTGCATGATATCTCCGCGAATCCATAATATGCATTAATGATGCCGTGTGCCTAAAATAATATACAAAACACCTTACGTACAGATTAACCGCATGAGTATGGCAGCGGGTAATTTCGCACCGCAGTATTAAAATCTGATCCATACGCAGAATCTGATGCACTGTTATTCTATGTAGGTTATTTTGACCACTATTAATGTTGCGTGTTCGACTGCTCGCGCTACGGTACCAAAAGTATAGAAATACAGTGGACGCCATTAATGTGGTTACACTAGACAATCGGCCCGAGGACCGATATTTTAACGGCAAGACCAACAGCAGACCAAAATAAGTCGGTCATGTCCATTGCGCGTAGACTCGTATGCTAAACTTAGGCACTTGGAACTTGCACATTTCTCAACGAAAACCACCAAGCGATATCTCAAAAGAATAAGAAAGAAATTCTAAGAATTTTGGTACCAAACAAATTGGTTTTTATTACATCTAAGAGAAAATCGAGACTCCTAAAGTTTCCCGTAGACATAGCATAGGATTTGAATCCACTGTTTGGTTTGTTGTCACGCATATGCTTTGTCTACCGGAAACTTCAGGAGCCTCGATTTTCTCTTAGATGAAATAAAAACAGATTTGTCTGGTATCAAAATTCTTAGAATTTTTTTCTCATTCTTTTGAGATATCGCGTGATGGTTTTCGTTGGGAAATGTGCAAGGTGCAATTGTAAACATCAGCAGGCCGATGGCCAGCACGGAATTGGCTGTCTGAGTACAGATAAGTATCTGGTTGCGCGCGGTTTGAATGTAACCACATTTATGGTGTCCACTGTATCATCTGTAATCTGTATTATTACCTGAGTATTTTGGTGCGCAGCCGATAAAAGTCGCCCAAACAGCAGAAAAGAATTGGCACATGCAAATCCTAGTAGAGTCATATAATCCACCACCGTATTCTGAACAAATACACCCAGCGATACTTTAAGCGGGCCTCCCATGACGATGCCGATCATCAGCGCAATGGCCAAGACGTCGAATATTGTGTGGAAAAACGACACAGCAGAGAAAACCGAGTCTAGGTTCTGCGTGACCTTTGTCAGTTTCTCGTGCCTTTCGCGCGATAACTCTAACTGCTCGAGAACATCCTTTAACTCGGTTTCTCCTCGCTGGATTCGCTGTATGAACGCAGTATTTAAACTAAACGCCTGGACAAGGCACAGACAGATATACTGATACGGAATAACGAAACCAAACTGACCGAAACCGGCGAGCATCGAGGGAACCAGCTGAAGTACGATGAGAATGAGATGCATTGGAAATTCATAGCTAATAAAAAACAACGATAGGATCTGCAAAGAAGAGAACTGGCAGGCATGGAGAACTACAAGCTATTAATAAAGGTCATTTGGCTAATCATTATATAGGATATGCGTCGTCGAGATTGTCTTGA